TTGAGTATCTGTTTCTATTACGGCATCTCCAGAAACCGTTGTGTTTGCATATCATATCTGTATCTCAAAAAGTATCTTAAGCTCTAACGACGTCTATATTTGTGGCCATTGGTAATTGTGGTACAGGTTTTGGCCAGCTTTGAAGGCCGTGCGGTTCCACATTGGTTGACAGTGTCATGCCTAACTGGATTACATGTATGTCATATGAAAGTTATGCAAAAATAAATGACAATTAAGTTTCAAGCAAATTATGTTGCAAATTGAACGTGAAAATGGGCAACACACAGCAAATTGACTCAACAACATGACTTGCACTTAATTAATGCTGACCTATCGCAATTTGAATATCTAATATTAGCGATTGTTAATTCACTCTCAGAGCAATTAAATTTATAGTGGCAGCAGTAGAAGTGTAAAACAATTTGTTTACAATTTTATATAACATTTTTAAATAATCATTAATAGAATCTATAAATTTAAATGAATTTGTAATATTCTTTAAAGCAATATGCATATATTATATTACTAATTATTATAATAAACACATTTGATTTGACGCTGCTCTTGTCAAGGAAATGCCTAAACTGTGTTCATAGCGGGAATTCAGCATCCTTTAACCAGCAATGAGTTGTCATGGGATGGCAACATTGTTGCCGGTGTTTCATGTAGACTAATCTGACAAGTAAAAAGAGATGGCAGCTGCCATGACTTTATCAACTTGGAAAATGGCTGGCAAGTTTACAGTAAAAACATTTGAATTAAAGCTTACAGGGCAGAAGAGAGTGAGAGAGAAAGAGTGAGAGCGAGAGAAAAAGAGACTAATGGAAATATACAGATAGAAAGAGATAGAAAGGGAGAAAGACAGAGAGACAAACAAGAGGGCGAGACAGAAGGAAATAGAGAGAGAGAAAAGAAGGGAAAGACAAAGGAGAGAGGAAGAGGGTGAGAGAGAGAAACGGAGAAAGAGAAGGAGAGAGAGAGGCAGAAGGGAGAGATATAGAAAGAGAGACAAAAGGAGACAGAGAAAGTGAGAGAATGAATGAGGGAGAGAGACCGAGAGAGAAAGAGAGAGAGAGAGAGAGAGAGCGATCGAGCGAGAGAGAGAGCAGGAGAGATAGAAACAAGGCGAGCGAGAGATGGAAAAAACGACAGAAAGAGGGAGAAAAGAGAGATACTAAATGGAATTAGAGATGAAGTTGTCATCATGGTGTAGTATCTTGCAACCTTACAAGACACCTTAAGCTTAATAAAATCATATTGTTATTAAAGCTTCCTCAGGGAAAACAACAAATGTAAACAAAAAATGTAATTGAACAAATGGTTGCAATATACTTTATAAAAGAGAAACCGCAAATCTCTGTTGATGGCCACATTTCCTCTTGTAGGCTCGTCCGGCAGACAGGCAGAAAAAATATTACGTCAAGTAACATAATTTCGACCATAATCGATGTCATGAAAAACCCATCAGCTGATCGGCAGCTGGTCAAAAGGGGCAGCTCCCAGCCAACTTATCGCCGCTGGGACAAACTTAATGCTTCACATTATCTTTAATTGCCAAAGAGTCAAGTGGATTCATAAGTTGATTTCATGTCGCTGCTACTTTAGTACTTTCACCTGACATTCTGGGGTTCCAGTTCATAAACATATCCAAAGTATAATTGCTTTTGGTTCGGACTATGCTCAGGTTGTTTCCCCTATTGACTTTATTTCATATAACTTCATAGTAGAAATGTGCTCGTTTTAGCTATAATATTTGACTTGAAAAAAAAAAACTAAATAGAATATGCTGATTAAAGAATTTTCTTACTGTTGCGTCAGGTATCGAAAAGATAAAACCCGATTTCAATGAGTTCACAGCATAAGAACAGCATTCAGATTATTGAGCTAAACTGGAATATAAAATGAAGATTTCAAGCTTGAGTTGACTCGACGCAGACTGAACTACTGTCCCACTGACAATATGATTACACTTAAGTTTAATGCCCCCAAAAATACGATAACTGTAAATTGAATTCTACTTTTACATTTGTATCTCCAGAGTTAAGTGCTTCAAAAAACGTGTTCTCTTTGATAGCCTTCTCTCTCCCTGTCTCTGTCTTTGTGGAAAAGAGATTTTCAATTATAATCCATCAATATTGATGCATTTAATTCATTTTGTGACTCCTCCATTTGGGACACACGGACTAGCCGAGCAAAAAAAATCGAAAAATTGCATTGGCCTCTTGCCAAAAATGCAAAAGAAGCAACTGAAAAGCGAACAAGAGGAATTTATAACATTTTGTCATTGGAGGCTGCTCGCAGATGCGAGCGAAAACATTTTTGCTGTGACACGAAAAATGGAAAGCATGAAAGCAATAAGCTGAAGCATTTGTGGGTCAACACGAATAACCAAATAGAATATATATAATACTATAGAGTATGTAGGTAGTGGGCACGTTTAGGGCTACGGCAAGCTGTGCTCAGGGTGCATATGCATTAAGAGCGGCACATAATTGGTTAACTGGTTCAGTGGGCAGTGGGCGGAGGCAGCGGCAGCGCCTGACAAAGTGCAATCCGGCCAGAACATTAGCCGGGCATTTGCCCCAAAACAAATGGGTCAGATTGGAAGCCGTAAATTACAGTTAAGCGCCGCAGCCGTACAGAGAGTAGTGCCAGAAGTTAGCTCCGGCAAATCTTCAATTAGCCATGCAATTTACATGAGCTAACCCCAGCTGGCGGGGATCGGAACAACAGCGAACAGCAGGTGGAATGTTGGCCATTTGCTGATTTTCATATTTGCTTCGGCCGCGTTGCTAATCGATAGCCCTCTGCAATGACCAAATACGGACACACACGCACACACATACATATATATATATAAATTTATATATATATATATGATATATGTGAATGTGGGTGTTGTGGGCGTGTTCAAGTGCTGTTGTTGCTATAGTAGTTGTAGCTGTTTTGCCGCTCTTTGCTGAGCCGCATATTAATGAAAGGGAAATCAGCAGCTGACGTCTGTCGTGTCGTGTCGCGTTGCGTCGCGTCGACGCTTGCTACTGCGTCTTTTGTTGCCAATTCATTCCCAGCCAGCAGCGCTCGACTCGTCCTCAGCCCTTTTTAGAAACGAGTCCACAGCCACACATGGTCATATAACGTGTGTATTTTTAATCTGAAACGGCACCAGCCTCAGCCTCAGCCTCAGTCTCTGCCATTGTCAGCCTCGACTCGAGCTGCCTCACATATACAGTTCAGTGGTTCAGTAGGTGGGCTGGGCTGGGGGGAGGTGTGGTGTGGTGTGTTTGGCACCACTAAAGTGCTGACTGCCTGGCGTCTTCCGTAATTATATCGCAGCCAGCCAGCCCGCCAGCATGTGCAGCAGCTCATGGCCACTTGTCGTGTTGGCTGGCACAAAGATTTAAGGCACAATTAGTCGTGCAATAGAATCCAACACTTCAGGACACCCGGAAGTCAATTGTACAAGAAATGTGCGTATGCTATAGTCCCCCCTATCCTGTCCCTCTGTCTCGCTCTCCCATCACTTCTATAGAAACGCGTAGTCTTCATTCCGATTATGCTCTTGACTTCTGCGTGTGCGACAAGAGCACAATAAATAATTTGAGCCATGTGCTAAGGCTGCTGCTCATAGTTCTGTCTGTGTTTCAGATGGCTTCCAGTCAGGCCAAGTGGGTGGCTGGAGTGGGACTTGTAAGTCTCTGTCAATTGTCACTTCATTTGTATTTCCAAACGCATCGCATTCCTATTTCTTTAATTACTTTTCCTTCACATTACGTGCAATGTTTTAAGATCGTGCGATAAAGTTAATGAAGCGCCTAATACATCATTAAATAGAAACTCTTTGATGATATAATATTGCTAATACAATTGGAGATTAAATAGATGGAATCGCATTATATCATAACTTCTTTATGGTTTAGCCAAACTGAATATTTATTAATTAATAATTAATTTGGTATATTCCAGTTACTCAGTGCTTGCTGTGCATTGACATATTTTAATTTGAATTTATTTTTTAAATTTTTTGAATTTAAAACTAAGGAAATATAACCTGCTATATAGATAATTTCTTATCTACGCATTTTGTTACATAATACTAAAGCAGCTGTAATTAGTGATATTGATATTGATATATATATATATTTTTATTATCGAACTTGTATAATAAATTATTTTGCTTTCGTCTGCTTTTCTGTTGCTTGCAGTGAAATGCCTATAGCCTGAGGACGGGAGAAAGGCAAAAGTACTGATTGAATGGTCGTGGAATACGGTTCGTTTTATAACGTAAATGCAACATTATGTCAGCCAAGAGAACATCTACACAACATACACATACAGAGCAGTATACGAATCCCTCCTTCGAGCAGGAGTTCAGTCCAGCCACAGCAGCAACAGCAGCAGCAGCAGCGGCAACAGCAACTACAACAAACAAAGGCACCGCAGGCCCGGTGACAACAACTGGAACTGGAACTAGTTCGGGCACAGGCGCAGGCACAGGCATCGCTGTCGGCACCGGTTCCATCTTAGGTTCAGGTTCAGGTTCAGTTTCAGGCGTCTGCACGAGCGATGCAGAGGCGGGCACAGCACATCGCAAAGGTCACAGGTGAGCAAATGTGCAACACGACAGCAGACATTAGTCAAAGCGTTTCCTAGACCCAAAAACGCGACCATTTACATAAATTGACACCTTTGCTCGTGCAAACAGAACTCCAAATTATCGTATTCGATCCAATGGGGCGGCGGCTGTTCTGTGTGTAATTAGGCCTGGGGTTGAGCAAATTGTCTGCAGCTCGTGCGACATCAATAATTCATTGCGGATAGACACAATCGATGGCAGTCGATTACGGCGACTCGGTCAAATATTGAAATATTGATAGAGCATTCAGAGGCCACCCTTGTCAATGCACACGTCGAGTCAGGGCCAGGCCAACAAGCCCCACAAGCAGCTAGGCAAATAGGCAGCCAGGCATGTGAGCCTCTTGGCCACATTCAGTTACTCCGCGAAACGGCTGGCTGGTTGGTGTTGGGAGATTGCTGGGAGATGTAGCTGCAGTTGCCAATGGCGAGAATTGGCTTTCGGCCTGAAAAGAAAAGCCTTTGTTTGACATTGGAATCAAACATTGCAAATGCCCTGTCCTCGCTGCAGTCCTTCGATTGAATTGAATTGCCGCAACCTAGAACTTGCTCGTAGTTCTAGGTCAGCCAATTGAGTTGGTTCAATTTGTTGTGATCTCTCAGCAGGTCGTACTTTGCGGCAAATGTTACACAACAATACCAAAAGTGCTCACCAAATATTTTATATAAGTTTTAATTTGACATCATTTTTGTTGTGCGCTTCGGATACTAATTGTCGGTGCCGTTCGAGTTTGAATATTTAGCCCTTCGCACAGACTGTGTTGTTTTTTCTTCATGAAATTCAGATGTAGTTTTTCAAAATTTTGTACCCAGATTTCTAAAATAATTTTAACTTAAAAAAACCTCTCGAGCGATCTTCAGGAATGAACACAGACTATAGTTTGTGATTGTAGTCAATAATCAGGGTTTTTTTTTGTTATATTTGCCGCTCGATGCCATAGCTTCAGGAAGTCAATTCATATTGCGAAGGTATTTGATCCGTATATTGTCCTGATTGTTCTGAACTGTTTTGTAATTAGTTCATAGTTACCTTAACGTTAAAACGTCAAATTTTTCAAAAAATAAATTTAAATTGCAGTTTTTCAACCTTTTTTCCTCCCATCGAGCCTTACACTAAATTTCGGACAAGAAAAGTCATGACAATTGTGTGGCAAGCTACTGTTTGGTCCAGGCGCTGATCGATTTGTCTACTTGCAGGCGACAGGAATCAATGTACCAGATGACAGGCCTCTATTCGGAGACGAACAGCGGCGACGACAGCAGCATAGATGCCACCCAGGACAACTCACATGTGGGTGAGCTGTCCAAGCCGGCGACGCTGGCCACGACATCGGCGGTCGCTATGGATAATGCCGTCCTCAAATGCCACAGTCGACAGCCATCTGCCGCGGCAGCAGCGGCTGCAGCTGCAGCAGCAACTGGCAAGTGCGCCAATGGCGATCATCAGCGAGACGACGATGAGGATGAGGAGCAATTCCGGACGCGCGATTGTGGCATATTGAATTGTCGGCCGTATGGCATTCAAAGATTCGCTAGAATCAAGATATTCGTGCTGCTGCTGTCGTTGCTGGTGATGATGCAGCAGGCGCTGAGCTCTGGATACATCAACTCCGTGATTACAACCATTGAGAAACGCTTCGAGATACCCTCCAGCTATTCGGGTCTCATTGCCTCTAGCTATGAGATCGGCAATGTGATAACCGTCATCTTCGTCAGCTACTTGGGCAGCCGTCGACATATACCAGTCTGGATTGGCATCGGTGCCGTGATCATGGGCATCGGTTCGCTGGTGTTCATGGTGCCGCATTTTACAGGCGAGCCTAATCCGGGCATTGCGATCAAGAACAAGAGCAGTGACAACATTTGCCGCAGCGCTCTAGTACGGGATCAAGACATGGACCTGGGTAGACTTTCCAGTGGTCTCTCCAATCAGCCGCTTGCTCCACACACACTTCGCGAGGACAACTGCCTGGAAGGTAAAGCTTCCACGACAGGACCCGTGCTGCTCTTTGTACTCGCCCAACTGTTGCTCGGCTGCGGAGGCAGTCCGCTCTTCACGCTGGGCACCACTTATGTGGATGATCATGTGCGAACCGAAAGCTCCTCGATGTATATCGGCTGTATGTACAGCATGGCAGCCTTTGGACCAGTCGTTGGCTTTCTGCTTGGCGCCTATTTGCTCTCCTTTCACATGGACTCACTCTCATCCATCATCATATCCATAAGTGAGTATATTTTTTACATCTTACGCCTTAACCTAATCTTCAATCCAATCCAATGCGTTGCAGCGCCTGGTGACCGTCGCTGGGTTGGCATGTGGTGGGGTGGCTTTCTGCTCTGCGGCGTCATTCTGCTTGTGGTGGCTGTGCCGTTCTTCTCCTTTCCCAAGGTGCTGACGCGCGAGAAGAAAAAGATACGTAAGAGCAGCGTTGTGCAGCTGACATTGCCGAACAATTCGGGCGCTGCTGCCACGGATGAGTTGGGCAAGGTAAAGAAGGAGATTGTTGCTGTAACGAGCAAGGAGGAGGAGGCAGTTACGCCACCCAAGGTGGATACCGGCTATGGCAAGGACATCAAGGATATACCGCAGTCCATGTTACGCCTGGTCAAGAATCCCGTCTATATAGTTACCTGCCTCGGAGCTTGCATGGAACTCATGATTGTCTCTGGCTTTGTCGTATTTCTGCCGAAATATCTGGAGACACAGTTCAGTCTGGGCAAAAGCCAAGCAAACATATTCACCGGCTCGATCGCAGTGCCTGGCGCCTGCATTGGCATCTTCATCGGTGGCTGCGTGCTGAAGCGCTTTCAGCTCAAGCCGAAGGGCGCCGTACAATTCGTGCTCATTACAAACGTTATCTGCCTGGCCTGCTATGCGATGCTGTTCTTCTTGGGCTGCGACAACCTGAAAATGGCCGGCACCACGATACCCTATTACACTAAACACGGCTCGACGCTAGACCAACCGTTCCAGGTCAATCTGACGGCCGCATGCAATTTGGGCTGCGAGTGTCTGACCAGTGAAGTGGAACCTGTTTGCGGAAACAATGGCCTGACCTACTTTAGCCCCTGTCACGCCGGTTGCACTGCCTTCTCGTCCAGCTCCAACTACACTAACTGTGCCTGTGAGTATGCCTCGCTTGCTAATAACTAAATCGTTATTTAAACTGCTCTTTCCCGTGTTCTCCCAGGTGTTCACGCGAACATTTCGAGCAACATTTATCGGGGCGCCGGCGGTAGCCAGGCTCAGGCATTGAGTGCCAACGAGGACTTCGCTGAGGTCACAGTCGTGCCGGTGGCCACTGCTGGACCATGTGCCACGCCCTGCCGCACCATTTACCCCTTCCTAATACTGCTGTTCTTCATGACTTTCATTGTGGCATCCACCCAGATGCCTTTGCTAATGATTGTGCTGCGCTCTGTATCCGAGGAGGAGCGCTCCTTTGCTCTGGGCATGCAGTTCGTTATATTCCGGCTTTTTGGCTATATACCAGCGCCTATACTCTTTGGTAATCTCATTGATTCTACTTGTATCTTGTGGAAGTCGTCGTGTGGGGAGAAGGGCGGTCGTTGTCTCATCTACGACATAGAGAAGTTTCGTTACAAGTAAGCTCAGCAATTCAATATACCCGACTGCAGCTTATTTACTCTTGTTTCTCTTCAGATACGTGGGTCTGTGTGCCTCTGTTAAGATAGTAGCGCTGTTTATCTTCATTGTGGACTGGTGGCTCGTACGCAGGCGCAAGCAGCTCGAAAAAATGAAGCCACTGAATGCAAGCGATCCCATCATCGGATCCATCATCAGCTTGGATAAACGTAAGTCAAATACTCAGCTTATACGTGGAGTCTTCCCGAAATGTTAACAAATGTTTATGTATTTATGTTGCAGTATTTGAGGAGAAGCTGACAGGCGGGGACACGAGCACTGCTTTTGTGGCAGGCAATGGCGAGCTAATTATCCCAACAGAGATATTGCGGCACTCTCGCAACGACTCGCGCACCATGCAGTTGGAATACTGGTAAGCTTTGGACCTAAGCAACGCTAATGCCGCAACTAATTGGAATTCTTTGCAGCTATGACAAGTGTGGACAAGTGCTACCAGCAGTTAACAGCTGCCATGTGCCGCAGACCAAATCGAAGAAGCATTTCCGCAGCGCTTCGTGTGATGTGAAGATGATCAAGAGCTTTGCCAAAGACCACAATGTGGCTAGCAGCGTTGCAGACGCCGCTGGCGATAAGTTCAGGAATCTTAAGAAGCTGCAGTCACACACACGTAATCACTCCACTGATCTGAATCCTCATGATGTGCGTCACAAGACTTTGCGCGACGATCCATCGTTGCCTATACGCTTTATACAAAACCAGCTGCGACCACAGGACTGCGCCGAAGAGGATGATGATGACGAACTAACCACAGGCTGTGGTCATTTCGTTAAGAAGCATTCGCGCAATCATAGCTATGATCAGATCTACATGCCCAACAATATACGCTTTGATGCAGACTTCCTGCGCCATCCACACTCACATCACAGCAACCCCAAGAAGAATGTCAATGTGCTGAAGAACGTGGTGGCTGATGCCAGCAAGGTGAAGAACTCCAATGAGATGGAGGGTAGCAGTGGCTCGCGTTGCCACTCGCGGACCAATTCCAAGGATCTGAACAGTCAAGTGGCCTTAGCTGAGTCATCGTCGAGTGGTCTAAGTATTCTGCGTCATCGTCGCACCAACTCAAAAGACCTTAACTACAGCATCCTGCCCTCTGGCAGCAACGTAGAAGTTCCAACGGTAGCACCGACTAATGTCCATGCCACAGGTGCCACACAGAACCGAGCAACACAGCAGCAACAGCAGCAGCAGCAGCAGCAACAGCAGCAGCACGCGAGAAATACGTCGCATCACAAAATCCAGATCGATGATGATCGTAACGAGCTAATTAACGATAACGATGATGAGGATGAGTCAAGTTCAATTCGCTTGTAGTTGCGATAGTTCAACAAGTTCCTGTGCGTGTAGTTCAGCAATCTCAACAAATGTCTCACATAGCTTTAAGCTGATTCGGCTTGGAGCACAGAGATGCCTGTGCTAGCATTCCAAGTGTGCCTCCAATCTCAAGCAAGGAATCACAAACCCTATGGCAGACTTTATAATTTCCTTAAAAGCTGAAACCAGCTACTGTACTTGTACTTACAACCAAGTGTTCAATTGTACTTTCCTTGTAGATAACAAGAAATAATCTTTTATACAATGTTTCAAAACGGTTCACAGAAGTTCACATTTGGAGCGTTGCAACAATATTTATAAATAGTTTATTTATTGTGTAAGCATATTGTAGATTCGTATTGTAGTCTTAGCTCCTTGTGATAGGCATATTTTATATTGTATACGTACCATTTACATTATAAGAGCTATTTGACTGTTGTTCCTCATGAGTCGACCTAACAGTTAATCAATAGTTAATCACAATGTGAATGATTGAATTATCCCCTATAGAAACAGTCCGCTCAGCTCTGACCAATCGGACACATGTCGCCAGCTGCCAAAGTTAAAATTTAATTTGAATTCATGTTATCCGATGAGAGCTCCCTCCCTCTAAAGAACATACCTACTACAATATAAAATTCCAGACTATTAGATCGATGTAAACAGTTCACGATTTTATATATTTTAATCCAAAAGCTTTTACACTGTGCAAATCTCGGTTTCGAAATGCGAAATGCGAAATTTTTGATGTGCAAACATTTTGACTGCGGCACTTTAAAGCATAGAAAGAAAATAAAACAATAGAAAATTTTGAAAATGCAGCTGAACTAATATATCAATATTTTAACAATTGTCAATGGAAATTGTGCTGTGAAATGATGTGTGAGTAATGAAAATAAAACGTAATAATAATAAAACACAAAGAATGTTGTTGAAAACATAACGAACGCAATTAATAGAATATATTAAAAGTAAATTAACTACAAAAATGCAATTTATATATATATATATATATATATATATATATATATATATATATTTTATGTGTATATGTTGTACAAAATTATATAAGGAATTCATATCAGAGCAAACACAGATTCCGCTCGAGTCGAACATAGAAAGCGTATATTTTAGAAAGTTCGACGAATTCCTTCATTTCATGTTTTCAACAATCGATTGGAGCCACGTTTGAATACAGAGAGTGTCGTACTTTAGCGATAATGCCTTAAATATATCAATTAATTATACACTAAAGAAATGCATAGAGTTAGCCAGTAAGTTAGCATACACATAGTTAGTATCTGTTTGGCTAAGTATAGTTAGTATCTGTTGGACACCTATTGGACAGTTGCATCTGTTTATTGACGGATTGTCAAAGCTTTCCCATTGCATTCGTGTGATTCCCCAATCCACTCGCTGCTATATTCAATTATTTTCGAAAATATTTAGAATACAACTAAAGTTTACACAAACATCGAGTCCCAACTCACATTAATATAAACCCAGCACCCTTTCGCCCTCCACATCCCTTCCCGCAGCCAACCTCACGTGCTCTACAATAGATATGCAATTATACAAAGATATGATATGATATGATATGATATAATATATGTACAATTATAAATGGATTTTATGAAACACACCGTTTAGCGTATTTCAATATTAGGTGCGAGTAAATTAAACATAAATCAAGAATTATTTAGCACTTTAAGAAATGCATATTTTTATTTTAGTGAAAATATTGAATTAACAATATGAAATAATACATGAAATGAAAACATGAGACTATACAAACAAAATAAATAATAAATGTACTAGGCAAATGCAATGTTGTGTTTTTATTTTTAACTTTGTCCGAAATTACAAAATATATTGTTGTCAGACTTCTTTTCAGACTACCCTCGCATATATTTTGTATCTTTTGCTTAAGTAATTATTTCTGGTATTTAGAAAACTCAACTAATTGACTTTAAAGTAAAACCAATAAAAGCGGTTTTACAATTGAAATCAAATATAAAATTTAACGAAAGGCAATGATTACTTTGGCTCACCCTAATACAGCCAATATCAAAACCTAGACGAGAGCTTTTGTTTGGCATGTTTTTAAGTACAATAGGTTGTTGACTCGGCTAGGGTGCAGTGCCGCCTAGTCCAATTGGAGGTTTAAGATATATGAGATATTTTAAGACTACATGTTTTGTGTTGCAAGACTATTTTTCATATTTTACTTTTATTATTAGTACTATTCTTTTATATAAACTTAATTTTAATGACATTGCCGGAAATTGAACTTTTCTTTTTCCTGATATGGCAACAATATATGGCAATAACTTGATAGCTTATCTTATTTCAAATTGACTGATAAGACTTAGGGAACTTCTGACTAATCGAAACAGTCCAAAAGCAGTTTGCAACATGGAGCGACCAACGTCTTCTGCCATGCAAATGATTTATGCAGAACTGGCCGCAGGTGCGTATACTTAATGCCAATCAGAAAATGCCTCTAAGGTAGATTCCAGTTAAAGCACAGAATGCGCGTTTGGAGGAGGAGAATATTCTGCTACGTCACAGACTGAATCGCGCATCCACAGATCAACACACGAACGCCACAGTGAATGTGGAGGCCAAGATCAGGGCATTCCAATTGGAAGAGGAGCGCGATCGCATGGTAGAGACGCTGCAGATGCACAAGAAGAAGTACAATAAGCTACAGGATGCATACCTAGACAAGATGAAACGTTGCAAAGCGCTGGAGGAGATGTTCAAGCGGCAAAAGACGCTCACTGGGCTGGTTATGAAATCCGCACTCGCTCAACGCCAATCGGGTGAGAATCAAAAGGCATCATATGTAAATATAAATATATATGTATATATCCACTATTTAACCCAACTCGAGTAGAGCAGCAAATAATGCTCGAGAAGCGTCAGTCACAACAAAGCAAAAGCAGCTCAGCGGAGGTTGAGCAGCTGCAGGCGAAGTTAGCAAAAATGCAAACGGCGCTAGATGAGTCCTATGACATTATTGACGAAATGGACTTTGAGCTGGAAAGCGTAATAAAATCTAGTTGGGAAATCGTTGCATCGTTTCGTTCTAATAAGTCTCTTTGCACCAAGGTCGATTTGCTGGAGATGCAGAACAAGAGTTTGCGCGAAGAGTTGGCAGCGCTCAGGACGCAACTGGACGAGGGTGCAGCACAAGTCCCTTCAGCTGTTCCCGCAGACGACGATGATCCACCGCCCAAATACGAACCGACCGACCAGGCGCGTCGCAGCTATCGCCAACATGTAGCCTCGTCGACCTGTGATTGCTGTTTGAAGAATGACGACGCCGATGCGGAATCACTAGAACGCGCAGCAATGACACACAGCGTAAGTCACAACAAATAAATGATTAGTGCTTGATAACGATATTCCACGACGGTTGCAGCTGGTACAAACTATTGAGGCCGAAAGCAATTGCCTGCGACGCGAGCTTTTGCGGTCACGCTTGCAGCACAAAATACGCGCCAAATTGGATAAAGAAGAAGAGGAGGAGGATTAGGCTCTGGCAGTCCAATAGGATTTGCTTTTCAGCTGCTGACAAAGGCTGAATGTAATGCATTGGTGCATTGAAGTGGAATTGGACTAGAGTTTGTTTTGTGCTCCTGACACAGGCTGCATGCTACAAGTAGTGTACATGACATTAAATGAAGTTTTGAAGTGGGACTGGGTTTTAGTTGTATTTGTGCAGCGGACACAGGCTGTATGCTACAAGTGATATAAATGGAATGAAATAAAGCATTGAAGCGGAATTGGATTTGTGCTGCTGAAACGGACTGCATGTACAACTGATGTAAACGGAATGAAATGAAACATAGAGGGAAGATCAAAGGAAAGTTGGAATTAAATTGGATTAATTATTGCTTAATTAATTATTAAGATATTATTTAAAATCTGTTATGATATTTTATTAAATAAATTTAACGAATTTTTATTCGATAAGAAGGACATATAATATAAATACTATTTAAAGCAGACAAATATTCAAGTAAAATTTACAAATGTAAGTTCAATTTTAATAGATATATTACATTTGAGGCATTTCACAAATTTGTCCACTCATTAAGCCTTATCTTTTCACCTCCACTTTAAAGAGAACCCTCCACATTAATCAAATCTCTTTCATAATCAATAACGTCGCAATCCAGTCTGTTAGCCCAGTCGACAAGTGCAACTGGCCAAAAATGCGGCTATGCAAAATGCGATCTTATTTTGCACTTAGTTTTTCGATATTGGGTATGTTTAACCCAGTTTGGGGCAACTTACGCCTGCAACACACAAGTGCGCATGCCACAATTTGCAAAGCGAGCGAGAAAAATTAATAAAACTATAAAAAAATATTGAGAGTATTGAAATCGTGATAACCTGAATTCGAAGCCATCAAATAAGGCAAACGCCGCCGCCGTCTAATGACAATTAATTAAAATATTTGTTAATGACACCAAACGAGTTATAGCCACTTCAATTAGCCACCTCTCGGGAGGATCTACCGAGCACTAAATAGCCAAAGGCGACGACGGCACATGCCAAATGACAAATTTTCATGTTCATCTAGATCAAATGCAATTATTCTCCACACATTGCGTAAATTATTCAAAAAGCAAAATAAGATTAATAATATTTTATGAATTGTAAAGATCAACTAATGGCAAAATTAACATTTGATTTAAGACACAAAATAAAGCTGAAATAAGAATGCACTTAGATAACATTTGCCGGCTTCGATATGATTGCATTTGTTTTAGTTTTTTTTCAATATAATACTCTTATAAAAGGTATTATAAATTTTTTATAAAAGAAGTCACACTACTATAGAAGATGCCTGTATTTATATGAAGTACAAGGATTCTTGCTCTGATACACATATGAATTGCTTAAGCTAATTGTAATCTTCATCTAAATCTTATATCACATAGATTCTTGAGAAAACATTCACCAAGGAATGAAGGCAGAAAAATATTAATTAAATATAATTAACCAAAATATAAATAAATAAATGAAATATGAAAATAAAATAAAAAAAAAATATATATATATATGTATATATATAATTATATAATTAATATAAAAGCTGAAATCATTTTAAATGTAAAGCTCATCTCGTGCACACTTAAATAGTTTTATGTAAATGAAGTTGTCATTCTGTCATCTAGCTTAAAATGATTTATATACATTGGAAGACTGATGTAATTAGTTATAGTTAGTAGGCAAGACTTTGACAAATTCTGGTTGGGTATTGGTGTGGCCTACGCTTGTCTTTGCATTTTCTCATTTTCTTCTCCAATTGGAATCAATTCGTGTTGTTGTTGTCTTGGCCAAGTGAGCACTTTGCGTATTTCGTGTTTTTTAATTTATTTTTTTTCATTGCTCTGCTAATGAGCGCGCTGCTTGATTTTGGGAGCCATTTGAAAGATTCGAACACAGATTGCCCCACATCCAGTGAGACGGAGCTTGAAGTACGATTGAGACGTTGGGGCTGTCATGCGAGTGGAGTATAAAAACGCTGAGGACTTCACAGTTTAATTACAACGATCTCGATCAGCGTCGTGTGCGTACACAGTTCTCGAGTTGAAGCCAGATAAATATATCCGATTTGTAAATGATGGGAAAAGTAAGTTCGATTCGTGGTGACTAAGGTACAAGTCCTAATTGCTACGGCTATCCTTCAGCTCAACTATCTGTTCTGCATTTGCCTGACGCTGGCCAGCGCCGCCGTCTGGGCCATTGAGCTCCAGCCCGAGCCGGACTATGGGCCGGTGGCATATGAGTTCCACTGGTCGGTCAGCGATCCGCACACGGGCGACATCAAGAGCCAGAAGGAGACCCGCAAGGACGACAAGGTCGTGGGCCAGTACACGCTGATCGATGCCGATGGCTACTTGCGCACCGTCGACTACACGGTGGATGATCACAACGGCTTCAATGCTCTCGTTCGCCGTGAGCCGACCGACATCAAGATACCGCAACCCTCACCGGAGCCCAAGAAACTGATTGCCACCAAGCTGCTGTCGCCTCTGACTCCCCTCGTTCACTATGCGCCCAAGGCCATACTGAAGGCCGCCGAGCCGTCTGAGGGCAATTATGTCTCCGTCTTGGGACCCACGGCCCAATACAAATACTAGAATGTCATATTTTAGTCAATCGATCATAACTTCGACTACATCTCAACATCTCATGAGCTGCACGAGCCGTCAAGGAATCTGTTAAATTAACTCACTTGCGCCAACCTAATCAATTGCCAATTCATTTACGAGCCTTACTTAAGTTATATACGTACATAACACACTCATTTTATAGATGCATCCTACATACATACATACATACATAATGCTTACATAAAAATACATATATATATTGAATTTGTTCTCTAGAAGAACACAAAATATTTCGCCTTTTTGCTTGATGAAAACTGAAGTTGCATTAGGAAATTTGAAGTTTTACGAGTTTCCATTAAATTTAAAATCTGAAAAGAAATTTCTTAAGAGTGAACTTGAAAATAGTCACTGACAAACAGTTGCTTTCTATATACTATGTACTATACAATATCCTCGCCTCAGCTTATGGGGACTTACTCGGCTTTGGCTTATCAAATAACTCAAAAATGAGAAACTTTTTCCGATTTGCCACGCCTCCTATGGGCGCACATATATATGTGTGCAGCAAGACGGACATGGCTAAATCCAATATACTCTTATCACTTGATGAACGAGTATTAATATTTGAATTCAAATATTCTTAACATGTCAACTATAGCTCACAATTGAATAAGTTCCAGTGAAAAATTAGGTAGCAGCTAAAACGTGTCTCAGTTATAGCCACAAGCTTCCTGTTGTTGATAGAAAAAGTTGGTTAGATGTGCGAACACTACACATAGATATCGTATAAGATATAAGAAATAGATATATAGAACACTTGCAATTTAATAAAAGTAAAAGCTATTAGAAATATTAGAACTAGAGAGCAAGCAGCTGAGATAAGTCTTATATCTTGACTAGAATACAATCACAATTGGGAAACAATGATTTCATTATAATATCAACTCTCATATCATAGACATATCTATCTATCTGGCTATCTAGCGTTTCATTCAGCTTCTCTCTGATGGAAAGAGGTTTCAGCGTCGCTGAGTTACTCACAGATATGATTTGTGATGTGTCATCGTTGGATAAGGTGAAATGGAACCGCAGAGATGGTCTGATTAACTAATGCTATCTGCAGACGAGACTCGAGACGAGCAGCCACCGAAGTTGATAATCTCACGTAGCAGACGCGTCATCGCCTCCAGCTCTATCGAGTGGCGCACGTGCAAGCTGGGAGACTCTTCCATTCTATTGGCCGCCTCAGCCGAAAATCAAAATGCAACGATGGATGCCGTCGACTTGGAGCGTTCAGTAGCAAAATGAGCGACGCGGCGCCTACACGACCCACACGACTCACAATCACCTTACTGCTGCTGGCTCTGCTAGGCTCTATTGCGAGCGAGAAGCCGTCATCGGTCGAGGACACAGCGTGGATGGCGCCATTGCAGCAGCAATATGGCTGGGATGCCAGCGAACTGAAGAACAAGGTGCAGCAGGGCGACGTGACCACCTACGAGCTGGGCACACCCAACTACCAGATCTTGAATCCAGAGGATGAGCCAGAGTACATAACGGCCGATCAGCCGCACTACCAGGAGATGCTGCAGCGCTTAACCAACTCCAGCAATGGCAGCCATACGATAGACATGACCATGCCCAGTACCATCTCCAGTGCCAGTGCCAGTGCCAGTGGCTCAGCCACAGCCTCAGATGAGCCAAAAGAGGTTAAGTGGGAGAAGCTGCAGAAGCGCAGCTTTGAGCAACCATCAATCGGCAGCGCCAGCCAGAATCATGTGGAGGCCATGCACCTCAATGAAAGAAGCCATCATCCAAGGATACAAGTCTATGCCGGGGCCAAGCCATTCCAGACACTGATTGCCAATTTGAGTTAGATTCTGATTTGATTGTTAGTTTTATCAATTACAAGTCGTCAATCAATCAATCAATTAATTATTTGTGAGCGTGATAAAAGTTGTGCTAAAAGCTAAATAAATATTAATTAAGTGAGGTTTTATTTCAATTTTTAATGTGAGAAAACTTTAATAATATAAGCAATAAAGAACTATTATGAATATCTCTTTGTCGTAGTAGTGAAACTAAGAAAAGTCTTTTGGCTTAGGCTAAGTTGGATTAAGAAAGGCAAAAAGCTCGATTCAACTACCTCATTGTGGGAAAAGTTGGGGCAGAGAGCTTCAGTGCCTCATTACCCGAGAGGCAGAGAGCTTCAGTACCTTCAGTAGCTTCAGGTAAGGTTAAGCATATCGAAAGAAAACAAATATAATGGTATTTTTTATGGAACTGAACTAAATTGATTTTTTTAATTAATAATAGTTTATAATTTTATATCATTATTATTATTAGTTTTTTTTTAATATAATTTATATATACTGAATTTATTTTAATACTTTAATTAATATTTTTTATTTTTGTTTTGTTTTTTTTTCAAATTGTAACTCTTTGTTAAGTAATTTTGAATTTATGTACAAAAATTAATAATAAAATTATTTGATTATTATTATTATTATTCATTTTTTTTAATTATTAGTTACTAATTTGTGTACATTTTTAATAAAAATATTTAATAAATTTTTAATTTAATTAACTTAAATTTTAATTGAGGGCAAGTTAAGTCTGATAGAATTATATTCCGTGCTCGCTTGATTGGTTGGCAAAGTGACTGAGTCAGTCAGGTTAAAATCCCAACCTATTACATAAATCCATTCATGTCTTAGACTGGGTACAGCTGAATAAGTCTCCAAGCTTACAACTATAAGCCAGATAGAATACAACTTTCTCAATAAAATTATATTTGTATAAGAAATTGTATGAAGAAGGTATTTGATATTCGAAAATGCATTGAAAACATGAAGATTCCAAATGTTAGAATTATATTTAATTGAATGAGCTGATCCCAAATACACTCTGTTCAATTCAATATTTAAGCTTTTAGTTACTAGTTAATATTTCCTAAAGAAACACATGCATAGAACATATGGAATCACAGCTCATATCGACTGACAAATAAATCATTTTGTTAGAGGAGAGCTTAAGCAGGTCTCCAGTATCGACGCAGTACGTGTTTCGACCCACGAAAATATTTCCCAATTGATAAGTTAATCGAGAGATTGATAAGCAAACTAAACTTGAAATTAATGCTAAAAATAAAAACAAACAACAACAGCTATGAGTGAGCCGCTCCAGACTCAGAGCCAGACGGCAGACAGAATTTATAAATCCATCGAGCAGTCGCCACTGAAACTTCAGACACAAAAAAATGGTCAATGCGTGCAGAGCTAGAATTGAAAATGTGAAATGAAAATGTTTAATGAAAATGGAACTGGAATCGGAACTAGAGCATGAGTCGGAGCCAGCAGAGTGGCTGAACTGTGGCTCTGACTACGGCTATCAGCGAATGCTCTGCGCAATGCATGAAATTCTTTTACGGAAGCGCTTGAGATTGCGATTGTGTTTGTGATTCTTCAGCATAGCCAATATATAATTATGGCTCTGGGCTATCAGACGCCGTGGCAAGCGTTGGCGTCAGCATCGGCGTCGGCGTCGGCGTCGGCGTCGACGACATCATCCCCATGCCCCCCGGCCGTGTTGAGTGCAGCATTTGGAACGTGCTGGGGGCAACGCTTCCGCGACCCATTTGCACAGCGCTGTAATATTTGCAAATAGCTCGCAGCCAGCGAAAAACGTATTTAAGAGCTATTCAGCAAATTGCTTTAAAGAAGTTGCACGCGACCAAGCAGAGACCGACCAAGCGCTATCCGAGCCGACGCCTAAATCCAAATACTGCTGAAAGGTAAAAATCATCGTCAACACGAATCAATTGCCGATTGCCAATAGCTCACAACTGTGAACTGTGTCGTTGACCCTTGGAGCGAGTTGCCAAAGTGACCCATTTTCGCACTACTTTTAGATGATCGTGCGACACAATTCGATATTTGCGCTGCTGGCGTTCAGCGCTCTTGCCCTCAGCCATGCCCACTTTCCGGAGTATTGCGCCGAGTGCGAGCAGGAGATTTGGGAGCAGGTGCCGTGCAGCGAGATAAGCTCTACCACGTCCCGGCCACCCATCACAACGACTGGCTCGACGCCCACGATCAGCACCACAACGCAAACACCGCCGACTGTGACCACGCCCTCCACCACATTGCCCCCAACACTGCCGCCCATTACGTCAACCCTGCCCCACATCTACACGACGCCGCCAACGCCCTACCCAACGTCATCGACCTACAAGAAGTGTTACTGCGAGTGCAAGCTGGGCTGCAAGGAGTTCTGCCGCAAGGTGTCCGTGGCCAGTCCCAAGCAACAGATCACGCAGATCTCCTCCACTGGCGACTATGCGCCAGGCGGTCAGGTCGAGTACACGCAGTCGCTGCAGCGCAAATACTATCCCAAGTATGCGGTGGCCGGCAAGAGCTACAAGCCCTACCCCGCGGTATACAATGAGGCGGCGGTCGCCGCATCCGCGCCAGCTGCGAATAACATAAATGCGCCCAACTACACGCTGGAGGAGCTGGCGCATCTGCTGAGCTCATCCTATGGCGTTCGCAAGGGCTATCCGGCCAGTCCGCAGCCGCCGCAACAGCAAACGGTCTACTACGCACCACAGCCTCTGATCTCTCGACTCCAGCCGCAGTACAGGCAGGTCATCAACAAAGTTTCGCCACGCAAGGAGCATGTTATAATTAAGACAGCATCGGCTGCGGTTGCTGCCTCGGGTGGTGCCGTGGCCAAGGCCAAGACGCCGTACGGTGAGGTGGTGGCCACATCGGCGCCCATCTATGAGAGCACCACCTCGTATCCCATTCCAGCGCCAGAGCCACCCAAATCGTATGCTGAGCCCGAGCCAGAGCCTGAGCCAGTGCCAGTGCCAGTGCCCGAGCCAGTGCCCGTGCCACTGCCCATGCCCCAGACCGAGGCATACCCCTCCCAGACAGAGGCCTATCCGGACAAGTCCTACGATGCGCCCGAGCCGAAGATCAAATCAGAATCATCGTCCTTCGATCTGGCCATAGACAATTACCTGAAGGACTTCGGCTACGGCAACCAAGTGCGAGATCTGGATTACTAGCTCGCTGCGCCGCCAATTGTTATTAGTTGTTGCTAGGTTTAGGGCTAAGCCTAAGTATTATGTATGTATGCACGTCTACATATGTACGTATTTAGTCTGACAACGCATTGTTCATGTATTTATTTATTTCTCTCCTTGTGCGTTGACTTGTTGAACTCATCATAATATATCAATCAATGATTATAAAACCTTTGCAGTGGAATTTTTTCTGAGACTTTAGAGCGCAACGAATCAGCCTCATCAGCCTCTTGGCTATTCAGGAATATATAGCATATATATGCTCATTCTCAGTTCGAAGACTTCCTTTGAGCACCACGTCAAGCAAGAATAGCATCAAGTCAAGACAAACTCATTTGTAACATCAAAAAGTATCTATAAAAGTATATCTCTTGCTTAATGATTAAGATACATTTATCAAGTACAAACCATTTATGAGAATTTTTACATATATTTTTCTGTATAACAAGTGGTGTTGCAGCTGGTCTTAAGTCTTAGATTTGAGATAATCTGTAAGCCATAATAATGTGATTTGAGTATAGGAAATATCCTTATTATAAACTGGAATTATGTTTCAATAGAAGCTGCGAAACTATTAAAAGAAATTTCCTCTTTTAATAATTTTATGTCTTTTAGACTTGTGTATAGGGAATACCCTTATTGTTCAACTGGTGGTGGACATATATTAAAGCATATATATTAATCAAAATTTTATATGAAATCAACATAATAAAAGAGATACAAATAAGAAAAATATCAATTCAAGAGGGAAAAACCCTTTCCACAAACATTTTAATGAATTGCTTACAAATTTCATTGAAATCTAGTTTTTTCGGCTCTTTTCTTGAGTGAGGCAAAAACATTTGTAATTTCCAAGGAATTTAATTGCCACTAAGTCTGCAACGGGCAACGCTTGCTGTTTAATGTTTTGAGTCACTTTTGGCCAACATAACACTCTGCACACCTCCGGCACCGGCGTCACCTTCAGTGACCTTCAGGCACTCAGCTGGTATCAAAGAGTTTTGGGCACTTGTACTTTGCAGCAAAGTGGGCAGAAGGCGATTTATTTGGCATATGCCAAAACAGTCACTGAGCTAAGTACTCGTGGAGCACCTCAATCTCAGTGTGTGTGTGCGTGTGTGTGTGTTGGTATCGGACAATCTACAAAGTGTGTACATGTCGCTAAGTAGACACAACTTATTATTTATGGAGTCTACTTAAATGTGAGCTCGTGCAGTGGATACGCATGGAGTTGATTGGGTTGGGCGACAACGACAGCCAACGACAGCGGGCGTGCCGCAACGACTGCAACTGGACCTGTGCGTGAGCCGTGTTCCACTCGTGCACTAGTGCAGTGGTGCAGTGGTGCAGTGTCTGGAGTGTTGCAGCTCTTGAAAACCACTCGCCACGCAGTCGTAATCTTGTTCTAAATGAATGTGGCGCAAGATACGCGCCGAGCCGCTTATTACTTCATATCGAATTTACCTACGTGTCTCGATTGGATATTTGCTTTGGCTTTTCACTCTTAGCGGCGATCGGCGGTGTCGCATTGATTTGTGTGCGTCGAGCGCCAAGTGCGTGAAAGGCCTCTGGCATGTGGGCACAGCGCACAGAGCACAGCCAACGCCCCTCCCACCTGGCTAAAGGTGGCTTTGGCTGCAACTGCTTTGCCTCTATCTGTAACTGTGGCTGTGGCTGCGGTATCTTGTGTGGCATACGGACGGATGTTGCAATTTGATTAATTAATTAAGTAGAAAAACTGCAAGCTCGCCGAAGGCTGTCTGAATGTCAATGTGCAATTTGTAGTGCATTTGATGGAGTTATCGACGGCATAATTAATCCCAGCTCATTTTGTACTTCACTTAAAGCTGATGCTGCTGTGATAGATTGATTGATTGAGCTAGTGCCCACAACTTGGCCGGAATTTATCAATTGCTTGTGCTGAAGATTTGGTATATGCTAAAATTAATTAAAAGAAATATCTGCTTTGGGTAATTGATTCAATCAAAACTTTTTCTTTTTCGGTAGGTTTAAATATTTCATATATTTTGTATATATATTTTTTTTAATGTATTAAAAATATATATTAAATATATAATATAATTTTTTTAATATATATAATGTATAATAATATATTAACCATTTTCTGATGAATATTTCATATTGTTATATTCCAGTTTATAATTTCACTTACTTGCAGTCTAATTATGTATCTAAAACTCAGTGCAATGCTTGGAACATAATATAATATAGTTCAGTTATAATAGAGTCTAGGTTTAATATTCACTTATAACGTTATATAAGTTCTGATCTTGGTTCTTCTTTCTATTAAACTCTTACGTTCAGACTGATCATAATTTAAGTATCTGTTTTGACTTCAAAGCAGAAAAACATTAATTGGAAATATGCACTAAAATTGTTTAACTTTTTAAACTGAAGAGTTATAGAAACTTGTTGTCTTTCCAATTCTTATCTTTCAATTATAAATCGCCTAAAGCTGCATAATGTCGGCTAATGTGTACCACTTAGTGTTCACCTAAGATAGCTAAATGATTTTTAAATGGTTTTGGATTTCCTGTGCTGATTAGTTTTTCAATCGCTATGGAAAAAGAAAAATTAAGAAAAATATAAAATTAATTTAAAGCAATTATTAACTCAACAGAACTTCCTGTCTTTGCCTACTTCAAGTTGTTAAGCTATAGAAAAAAACAGTATGTAAACAAAAAAAGCAGCTCTAACTCTAATGGATATACAAGAGCACATATTACAGATATCTAGTTCTAGTTTCCATACTGTAGTAGTATAGTAGTTAGCGTAACCCATAAAATTTATATGCCCAAAGATCTTCTGAACATTTATTGTGCATTCTTTCAATTGGTTTCTTTTGAAACTTTTGATTGCTACCTCACAGCAATCAATCAAAAATAATTAAGAAATTTCAAAAATATAGCAACAAAAGTTGTTTTTGAGTACCTCTAAGAATTTGCATAATAAAACTATTTTTAAGCTGATCAATATTTTGATGCAGGTTTTAATAGAGTTGGGCCGAGCCAATCATTTTTATATATATATATATATATATTTATATATTATTTTCTTTACCGAACCAGTTCGCCTCCACAACATATCAAATACATTTTAAGTCAATTTTTGTGATCTACTGCATATATTTTAATTGCATTCAATAATAAAAGTAATAAATTACATATTTTTTATCGATTTAATATATATATTTTGAGGTCTAATGCAATTTTATGCTCTGCAAATTAGAGTAATAAAAGGCCGAAAAAAATATATCAAACTGAGTCACGATTTGCTGCAATGAGATGCGCTCTAATAGCAGCTATAATAATATATGAGCAGATACCGATTTTTCCAACTACATTTTGTTCAAGTTGAAAACTCTCAGCAGTCAAAGATTTGGCCAATTTGCATCAAAAGTGAAATTCGTCTGCTGCCTGAAAGCTGATGAACAATAATCCAATAAGAATATATTTTCCAATAGGAACACAAGTTCTCATGAAACTTTTGGGAAACACTCAAAGCTAAATTTTATTTATAGCATTAAAAATATTATAAGACAGTTAAATTGATCATATAAATAATTCATACACAATTGAATCTCTGTTCACATTTGATTGGTAAACAAAATGAATTACTTTTGCTTTATCTCAAATTTTACTTTCACTCGACTTTGAAATATGATAATTATTGGCTCGTAAATCGGCTGCTGCTGGTGCTGGCTATGCAAGCAGTAGATCAGCTTGACATATATGTATTTATGTTGCGGTGTCTGGCTGATCCCTTGCACGAGTGACCCACAGAAACAAAAGTCGCTTTGACAAGCAGCCAAAAATTGCAAACTGGATCAGCATATACAACAAGTAAAATTGTGTATTATTTTTATTTTTTTTTTATTTTGATTTTGATTTTATTTTTATTTGATTTTGAGTTTGATTTTTATTTGGGTGGTAATACAAAATATTGGCAATCAAAGCCGCAGTGGCAAAACAAAAAGTAACTGTTTTAGATTCGGCTGGATTCCGGTTCGGGCTGGGACTAATCCGCACGAACCGTGGAGGTGGGGCTCGAGCTGTGCAAACGATTTTGGTATAAAAGTTGCGTGCGCGACATTTGACAACATAGTTCAACGCAGGAGCCTCAAGTGTAGTGATCCAAGCAACTCAATTCAGCTCAATTCAGCTCAACTCAATTCAAAACTCAAAATGTTCTCAGTGAGTTTTCTGAAATAAGCGAAATGCTGAAAATATCGTCAGACTAAAGTGAACCAATCTTCATTCCAGCTTATGTCTGTGTTCGTCCTGGGCGTGGCTGCTGCCGCTGCCATTGAGCTGAGCCCCATCTACTCTGCGCCAACAGCACATCTGGTGAAGCCATTGCTGAAGACCGTCGAGGTGGAGGCACCTGCCCATTACGACTTCGCCTACTCCGTGCATGACGAACACACTGGTGACATCAAGAGCCAGACAGAGTCCCGCAAGGGCGATCAGGTCCAGGGACAGTACACGCTGATCGATGCCGATGGCTACCAGCGCATCGTGGATTATACATCGGATGCCCACAACGGTTTCAATGCCGTCGTTCGCCGTGAGCCTCTGGGCCAAAAGATCATTAAGGCTGCACCCGTTGCCAAGATTGTGTCTCCATTGCCATTGGCCTATGCGCAACCCAAGCTTCTGGCTGCCCCCAAGCTGCCCTTGGGCCTGTACCACTAGGATCGTGACAAAGAGCGAGAGCCAGAGCGTGAGAGAGAATTCCAAACACTGATTTCATTGCATTGACGACCCATCTCAAACTGAACACTCAACTCAGCTGAAAGCAACTGTAATTGTAACTGTAACATTTCTAGACACTATTTTCCATACTTTCCTCTACTCACTTTCACACACCTACGCGCATCAGTCCCTCTATTAAGACTCTTTAAACACGATTTATATATGCAAACATGTTTCATTATAAATTCGTGCTGCTTATGTATTATAAAATACGAATATTTTTAAAAATAAACGCAATAAATGCATTTCTATAAATCCAAACTCTGTTAAGCTTCAGCTCTCAATTCAACAGTCTGCTAGATATGTATAAATCTTAGTTCTTATACTTTATCCTTTGAAGTTGTTAACTTAACAGTGCGTCAATTTTTGGCTTCCACACACTAAACTGTTAAGGCTACCCTTATAAAACTGTTAATATAACAGCTAGCAAAAATATTAACAGAAATAAGTCTTATAACTCAAAATGCTAATGTTGTCTAGCAGAGCTAAAGCTGTTAAACTAACAGCGAAACCACTGCTATGTACAACATGAATACTTAACATAATAAAAATTGCTTACAGCAAATACGTTCCAGCTTATTGAATGGCTGCAATATTATTATCAGCATATTTTGAAACAACATTGAAATATTAAAATATTGAATGTGAGATATAGATAAACAAAAAATTAATTTTGCAAGACCTTCTTTAACTAAAGATTATATAGATTAAAAACGAACATATGTTAGACTGATTGTTGACTGGTAAGTTCCAAACTGAATATATAATTCCTTCCCAAAAATTAAATCAATTGCATATATAGTTTTTAACAGCCTTTTAATAGTAATAGTAGTATGCAAATCAGACATGATGCTTTATAACCAGTTTGTAAATGTTTTAATGACGTGAGAGAATTGAGATGGGTTCGCGACGCACATGAGCACTGAAGCCCAGCAGCGGGTCGGAGCTGTAGTCAACGATGCGACGATGTCCATCGGGTTCGATGAGCGAATAGCGACCCGTAACGTATTCGCCTCGTCGATGCTCGAACTGATCCTTCACATCGCCCGTATGGCTGTCGTGCACGGAATAATGGAATTCATATTGAGGCGGGCTGGAGATCAACTCATCGGCATGGCCTATGATGCCCGCCTGAGCAGTTGCAGCTGCAGCGCACAGAATAAAACTGATGATCTGCAATCAATACAGAATTCGATATATTTTATTATTGCATTATCAAATCCCATCCACTTACCAAGACTTTCATGGTGCTTCCAGTTGAGTTTCTATTGCAGAGCGAGCACAGCTGACTCAAAAGCCGAGATCTAGTGAACTGATGACAAACCGATCGCGATACCGTCTTTTTATATGCACCAACCTGGGCAACCTACTGCCAAGTGCCCCATTGTCACCGTGGCCATGTTATGAAGCTGTGAAGCTTTGAAACCGAATCCCCCGACAGTGCAATCTCTTACGCAATGCACGCGTCGCTGCTGCCGTCTCGACTGCAGTTGCAGACATAGGGGAAATGATACCTGATGCGCTTCAGAAAATAAACTTGGTCTTAAGTTAAATATAACTAAGCAGACTAGATTTGCAATAATTAATAAACATTTAATTCAAGATTTAACAAAAAATGCAGCATCACAAATCTTTCAAATTTATAGCCCATTGCTACCGAAATGGGTCTTAATCCAGACTCGCTGCGCTTAGATTTGCATAAAGAAATAAAGACATTTTTATAACTTTTCAATGCATATGTTAAGAGATTGCTGATTGTAATAAAAGTTGACATTGACTTGAAGGTCATATGGGCTTAACACCATTTGCAGAATGGATGTTGACTCAAACAATGGAAAGTTATAAGATTATGAGATTTCTAGTTTCCACTTTGAATATATAAAGATAAAGTGTTCCTAGTTTCTTATACTCCTTCAATTATAATTTTCTTTCAATAATATAATATTTTCAATAGAATGATACCATCAAAAGCAAACAATTCCTAATCGAATCATCATCAATAACTTTAAAAAGAAAAAAATAAATATAAATTATTTAGACATAATTTATTGTGGACTTAAATTAACCGTTAACATAATATAGTTATTTGTTACATATTTATGTCTTTCTATAATTATCACAGCATTAAAATTAATGGATTTTATAAACACATCTAATTTAGTTCGATTTACACGATGATTATTATCCTTCTACTTGGTGTATGAATTCAGTTCGATGAAAACGTAGAAGGAAACGCGCTGAATGGGTTTTTATTTCTTTGTGTGGTTTATTTAAGACCCGAAGGTTTCAGGGTTTCAGGTACGACAACATAAACGAGTGCTCGAGTTCTCATGCCACGCTTAGTACTTCCTTATCAAAACTTGTTTTCCAACAACGATCCTGTCAAAGGAATGAAATATGAAATATATCCAATATATGCTTTCTGCTAAGGTGCATCTATCTGGAAGTCAGATCACCCATTTTAATTTTTAATTTCAATCTCAATTTACCGTTCTCGGCGACCATCCAAGCTGTTAGTTTTTCGTCCTCTGTTTTGTTCGTCTCATCCCAGGGAAACGTGGCCGCCTTTTCCTTTAGTGTTTTTTGAGCTCTGTAATTATTTTTCGAATGTTTTTAGAATTTTTTATAGAAAACGTTTCTACGTCTATCATAGTTTGACAAACATCTAGCATGCATATACGTGAAACTAACTATATATACATATACTTTAATACATATTTAATATAATAATATTTTTATTTAGTAATCTTTGTTTTATTTTTTTCAAATTTCCTATTTAGAACTTCTTATTAAGCTTCTGATATCTTTTTTTGAAGTAATAAAGTTTTTTGTTTAGTCATCAGTAAATCCAAAGAGCAACTTCTATCAGGTTTTCACAGAATGTATAGCATAGAAAAAATATATATTGACTAGTCTGCCTAGCCAAAGTCCATTTATGTAATGCTTTACAAGCTAATCTTCCAGATTTAGAGAGATGATCAGTAAGTTATGCTTAGATATGTGTATCTGTATATGCACTATATATCTGTACTATATATACTATATATACGCAGTAGAAAGGAGCTAATAATAAGATTTGACATTCTACTAAACTTTTATTTTATAATTTTAGTTTTGGTATTTTTTCGATAATTAAATTTCGTTTACCTTCTACAATTTATACACACATCCTACATAATCTACAGTAAAACACATTCAGCCTGTCTATATATTTGAAGTCTTTAAAATGTCAATTTTCTTAATACCCCATATATTAAAATTTTACTAATATTTTATTTAATATTACTTTGTTAAGACGCACTAAATAATAAATTTGCGAAAACTACATATTAACGATTCATTGGAATTAAATTTAATTTGTGGCTTGCCATATATCAATTTATATAACATCGTGTCAAGAATTATAAAGAAAATCATAGTAGGGGTATTCAACTTTGCTTTAAGTAACTGTGTGTTGGTGATAAAAGGTGTAAAATGAAAAAAAAAACACAACTACTTTAGCTTGTAGATGATGAGCTTATAAATGAATAAGTCTACTCTATAGGTTTATGTATTTACAGTTTACAGTTGACGAATGCTGGGTTTTACCTTATGGGCCAAAAGCGACAGCCTTCATCATTTGAGGAGTCGTTTTGGGTATCACTGGGGCACGCACAAAATGTTCAGTGATCAATGACAAGCAAATGAAAAGACACAAAGAAAACAATATAAGGGAAAACAAGAGACAGAGAGAGATAGAGACAGAGACAGAGAGAGATAGCACAATGGAGACATTCAAAGAAGCACAAGATATGAGGTTCGATCATACAATACAAATATGAGTATGAATGTATTCAAATCGAATGAGTATTCTGTCATGCCACAGCAAATGCTGCAACTACTTACGGATTCGTGGAGAGCGAATCTGTGCGGCTGCCATTGTTCGCCTCGAGGCTGTTGGGGCTGCGCCTTTTCACGACTCGTTCGCGCTTGAAGTTCTCGCTGAAGAAGTCGCGTCCGTTCTGGGAACTGGTCGTCGTTTGGCCACTCTTCGCCTGCTGCGTGGGCGGCACAGTGTGCGGATACTTGCTATCGCTGTCCGAGTCCATGGACAGATGTCCGAACAGATCCTCCAGCAGGATGTTCGACTTGGCATTGCGTTGACGTTTCGCTGACGTTTTCAGTTTTGAGCTGTATGGAAGTGAGAACGACTATTTGAACAAGGTACAAAGCACATCAAAGGAAATGGAAAATAACAGGGTATCTACAGTGCGAATACTCTTTGGAGGACACAATTGAGTGGACGGCACAGACCAAACACACAAATGCTACGCAGGACAGCAATGGACAAATAATATTTATATTATATTTAATTAGTATTCCCTGTATACCCTGCATTTACTGAAAGGTTACAAAAGGGTATCATGCTGCATATGGGACGGACAGAAGATAGCACAAGCTATCTCATGATCTATCTATATTCTTAGTCAAGACCAACCACCAAATCTTGTTTCAAAACGGTATCCACTTACCCCAATATCAGATCCAGATCATCAGCCTTTATCCTTGCCTCCGCTGACGGCGCTGCCTGCGAACGCGCCGACAGTCGCATGGCAGAGCCATTGAGCAGGGACGTCGGCTCGAAGGGCAGCTGTGGTTGGTGATGGCGTACGATGAGATTTGGTGGCGCTTGGACGGCGCTCACCTTGGAGAACATGTTGTACACCTTGGCCTCGGGCTGCAGCAGCGTGGGTCGCGTCTGCACGTAGTAGCCGCCGATACCAGGTGCCATACGGCTGCTGTTTTTGGCATTCTTATTGGCCGTCTCGTAGCTTAGTTGGCTGCCATTCACATAGATGGCGCCACCATTGCGTGTCGACGTATTGCTGAAGGAGACGTTGGGAGGCAGCTGTGGTTGTGCCTGCTGCTGCTGCTGCTGCTGCTGCTGCTGTTGAGGCACGGACGGAGCTGGCAGACCAAACAGCTGCGAAATGTTGCGATTCAGATAAATATCATTGATGGACTCTTTGCCCGATTGCTGCGTGGCCACGCCCAGGCCGAGGCCGGATGGGTCAGTGGTCCCCAACCCAGACAGATCGTTGTTGGAGAGGAAGCTTAGCTTGGGCTGATATTTGATGGGCATGCTCACATTTTTGCTGATCTGGCCATTGTACAAGGATTTGCCATTGTTCTTGTTGTTGTTGTCGCTGTTGTTGTTATTGTTGGTGTTAATGTTGTTGTTGTTGTTGTTGATATTGCTCTGATGTATGAGCTCAGTCACGGCCTGCAGTTTCTCCTGCACCGGAAGCACATTATTTGACAGAGTGGGAGGAAGGACAAGGTGCACGGGTCCAGAGCCAGCACCATACTTGGAGCTAAGCCTCACATTGGCCTTGGCAGCCGCTGTGGGCGAGATGCGCTTTAACGCATGAAAATATGGATACTTGAGACTCTGCTGAGCCGTTGGCCGTTTCTCGGGATCATAGGCCAACAGATCCTCTAGCAAATCCAAGCCGTTTTGGCTGCACCGACTGACCACGCTGCTCAGCGGCACCTTGATGCAGTCCGGATACCGAAAGTGTATCATGGCAGCCAGTCGATAGCCATCGGGCCAATCGCTCTGTTGAATAAAAGAGAAGCTGCTTTATGAATCAGCTAGCATAAGCTGGCAGACCCACCTTTCCGGGCGTGCCCAGCACGGAGCAAATCTTGAACAGCTGATCCACCTCACTGCTGCCGGGGAAGAGCGGCCGGAACGTGTACAGCTCGGCCATGATGCAACCCATGGCCCAGAGATCGATGGTGCTGCCATAGTTGGTCGAGTGCAGCAGCACCTCCGGCGCCCGGTACCAGCGCGTGGACACATAGTCCGTAAAGGGCGGGCGCGAGCGAATCTCTCGCGCTAGCCCAAAGTCCGCAATTTTAATCAACTCCGGACCGGAGCATAACAAATTCTCCGGCTTCAGGTCGCGATGAAAGAAACCATGTCGATGCATGAAAGCCAAGCCCGTTAAAACCTAAAACAACAAATGATTCACATATTCCATTAAGAATTGCAATCCCGAGCCATACCTGAAACAGAATACTCTTGAGCTCCGGCTCAGGTAAATGCGTATCTCGATCCTTGATCATTTGATACAGATTCTCCTTCATGTACTCAAACACAAAGTACAACGTGTCGTTCTCTCGTATGACTTCTTTCAGCTTTACGATATTCGGATGCGATAATTTCTTAAGAGACTGCGAAAAACAAATTATATATTAATTAGATAATGGATAAAGAATAACTGAATATCATGTTATATAGCTAACCTTCACTTCTCGCAGATTCATAGCCTCCTCCCAGGAATAATATTTTCGCTTCATGCGCTTTATGGCCACCTTCTCGCCGGTGTCCTTCCGCTGGCCCAGCACCACGGTTCCATATGTTCCGTCACCCAGTTGGGTCAGTGTTATATACCGATTCATCTTACTATCAGCATGGGAGCGTTTTTACATATTTTCCACAAGCAACTAAAAAAGATTAAAATTATTTTAAATTAAATATTCATGAATTTCAGATATTCTTTTTGCTATAAAAGTATATGAATGCTGCATTAAATACTTCATTATCAGAACTATTTGCTTGTTGATTAGTGTTGGTGTCGACATGCCCAAAGGGACTTGTTGGAAAACGGAGCGCCATTAAAGCAAATGCAAACACTTAAAATCGAATCAGATCGTCGTGTTGAGTTCTATCAGCTAAAGTAACTGTTAATTAATTGAATCGAGCGAACACCTGAACACCTTAAGGGCAGGGACCACATGTTGAGGTCTGTTTTTATTTGCCTGGATGCCTCCAATTGGGAAATAATCAATATATTGATTGAGCTGTAAACTTGAACTATTTAGGACTTGACCAATTCATTCGAACCATGATGATATCAGTCGTCCATGTGCTCCCCCAACCATCAAGGTCAGCTGTCATAGTTTTGGAGTAAACAAAAGAATCAATTGGCAGCATTGATTGCGACACAATGGATATATAAATAAGTATTCGTGGATACTTAGTGAGATCCATTATCATAATAAACGTATCATCAGCCATTTGTAATTAGGGACTCATTCCCTTTTGATATAGTAAACGCCTATATCAAAAGGTGCTCTCCATGTGCTCTGTAATTGTGTTTAGTTTTTAATAAATTATTCGTTTCACTGCCTTCAAATGCGCCTAATGAATTTTTCATTTGACAGTTTTTTATTCAATAAAATGGGATTCACTCATTCAAAGGACAATCTGGATTTTAGAGGGTGATGTGTGGGTAAGGTGACTTTTGATTTTGCGTTAAAGAATGATATATAGACTATATCATAATATTCATAAATACATAATGAGATAGATTAGTTTTCAATTCCCTCAAATATGAATATTAATGTTTATCCTCTGGTTTCAGCCTAGCACTAGCCTTAAATCTATCGCTAGGAGCTTAAAACCAAATATCTATTTGGATAAATAGGTTGACTTAACGACTCCAAAGATTCGCACAATTTTCATAAGAAGTCTACCGTTTAGCTATGTGCTGCCCTTTAACATTTTGAATGGCTGCCAAGTGCTATATTTACATGAACTTTGGAAATTTCGCCCTTACATGGAGGCACCCTGTATATAAAAATAAAAAATGCAGTCACATAGCCAAGTGTGCGTCCCCATTTGGTATCGCATTTCAGAGACAATTAGAAGCTACAAATGTTGGGCTGTTCTATTATTTATTCATTGCACCATGTCAAATTATAAGACGATTCGTTGAAAGTCCCAAGTCTTAATACACTAGAAATGTGCATGTGTGGAGCAGTAGGAGGAGCAGCAGGAGCAGCAGGAGGTATGGGGCACCGGAACCAAAACTTGAGTCAGCAAGACTTTTGTTTTGGCTTAGCCGTAGCTGTAGCCGTCGCCGTAGCCTTGAAACACATTTAACATATTATTTAATTGAATTCTTCATATAAGCACGCACACCAATAAAACATGTTTATATATTATGTATGTATATACTATATATATATATATATATATATATATATATATATATATATATATATACATGTATGTATTCGAGAGCAGCTCAAAGACGAACTTTAAGTAATTTCGGGGTTCACTTTATCGATTAACTCTAGTTAACTTTAAATAGCAGGAGTTTGCCATCAATTTCGTATTGGCAGTCTTAAGCTTTACCTAGGACGCACTTGGAACCGACGCTGGAACTTTTGGCAATATTTTTGAGTTTATTTTGTTAGCAAATTGCAGATATTTATGTTGCGAAATTGAGCTTATCTCAATATCTACTGCGAGCAGAAGTTTATTTTAGAAGCAAACGTGAACAACTACCAACTATGCCGATATCCACAACAACCGCAACCCTAAGTAGACCAAGCGCCCCTCCCAAGTCCGTTGTCAACAAACACGCCTCGGGAGCGACAGAGAGAAAGAGAGCCACGCACGAAGCCCAACGACTACGTGGAATCATTAGAGGAGCCAGGCACTTGCACCTGTTCAAGTCGCCAGGGTTGAACCTGTTTTTTTTTTTTTTTTTGGCAGCCAAGGAGCGGGACCACAACACGCATTCTCCACATGCGACTTGAGAGTCGGTGGAGTAGCCTTTCGGCTGGTAACCAGGCATCCGCTGCACTCGATGGCTTCGTATTTACCAAATTATTGTTTGCGACACTAGCGCGTTGCCAGGACAACGCTTTGCCAACGCTCGAGCGAGTCAAGTTCCCATCATATGTTCTATGGCCATCAAGCAAAATGGACGAAGAGACGAAGTCACCGAGTGTGCAGCCAAATAAATCGTTTCTGGAAGAGGTCAACTTTCCTGAGCCGGGCATTATTAATCTGGACATGATTAAGTCATCTTACCTGGAGGAGGGACAGCATGGTGAAGCGCGTCGCCTACATCAACTGGAACCGATTATATTGGAGCGAATAAAGACACTGCAATTGGAGTTCAAAAGTTAGTTAAATGTGAAGCGAAAATTAAACAGTTAAAATTAAAGTTCCTTGAATTATATACTAATATAAATAATAATACTAATATCGCAATAAATATTAATAAGAACAACACTAATATTAATACTAATACTAATACTAATACTAATACTAATACTAATACTAATACTAATACTAATACCAATATTAATAAAATTTAGCATAAACATATTAAAATTTTAATTTCCTAATTTATAAACTGATTACAATATGAATATGAGATAAATGCAGATATACTACGCATCGATCATCTATGGGTTCTACCAAACCTAACTAAACTCTGCCTGAACTGCAATAAAATTGAAGTAATTGAACATATTGGAATGCTAACGGCACTCAAGGAACTTAACCTGAGCTTTAACTATATAACAAAAATTGAAAATCTGGAGACGTTAGTCAATCTGGAAGTGCTATCATTATTCAGTAATCGCATAACAAAGATTGAAAACCTGGAAACACTTGACAAGTTGGTTATACTCAGCATTGGTAATAATTTAATCAACGTCTTGGATGGCGTAAGTTGAACATACCAATAGCAATGCATAGCTAGTTAATATTGTAACTATATTCCGCAGCTAGATCGGTTGCGCTTTGTCAATAGCTTAAAGGTGCTTAATCTGGAGGGTAATCCCATTGCCAAGCTACCAGACTTTCCATTGTCCCAATATGTTACAGCTATATTGCCACAATTGAACTACTATGAATATGTTTTTATCAAGGATGAAATGCGGGAAGCAGCTCAAAAGAGATTTTAGTAAGACTGAAATATCTGAGATAATTGGTTATAATATATATATTTATTGCCTTAAATAGTAGAGAACTGCGCGAAATTGAGGCCAAACAGGAGAAGGAAATACATGATCGAGAGACGGAGGCACGTGAGCTTGCCGAGGCGGCACGTTTGGCCTCCAGCTTTGTGGAGCATCTGGATGGCCACCAGCTGTACGAGACTATGTGGCGGGCCGATGATGATGGACGAGTACTCATGCTGATTGGAGCACCGGCTCTGGAACTAGCCGAGGAGTACGAAAAGGATGTCTATGAGCTAACCCAGAAGATATATAAACTGGGACTAGAACGTTTCAGCGAACGCGATGCGGATATTAAGGATTTTTTGGGCTGTCTACAGGAAGGACGAGAAGAGTTTCAATCCCTAGGCCAAAAACATATTGAGGAATTTATGCAGTACAGAGATAAGACTTTTGAAGAAGCAAGCGTCACTCTCCGTGAGCTGGAGACTTGCGATGAGAATAGTCCAGAGCACTTGCAGCTATGTGAAGCGATGGACACGCTGAATGCCCAGTTCGACGATGCACTCAGCGAGATGTGGCACAACCTAATGGCCCAAGAGTTGCATTTGCATGAGGCAGTTGAGGTGACTGCGAATTCTTAGATATGCTTCCAAGTATAATACATTTTGAAGGGTTTTCATTTAGGAGTCTACGTTGAACTTTGAGCGCAGATTTTCTCGCCTGATGTCCAACTTTGTGGAGGAGGCACAACTCTATTTTCTGCAGCTGCGCCATGTTTGCGAATACTTCTCTGATAGCATGACGGATGCAGTGTCGTGTTTCATATCGAATAAGCTGGCCCAGCAAGATCTGGATGCTGTGCCCCAAGAATTGCGTATGTGCATCGATGATCGAGAGTCTGTGCTAAAGCTTGTGGACGCCATGAAAGCCACGCATACAGCACGCATTGAAGAACGCGAGGATCGCATGGCCACCCGTAGCAAGGAGTTCATAAGCAACTATATTAAGAAGCTAAACAAGTGAGTCGCCTCCTATTTCATAGCCAATTGTATGCAAACAATTTAAACCCGCAGGGAGGAAATCGAGCGTCATCGTGCTAAGATATTGGAAATCAATTCGTTTATGGAGATGATGACAAAGGCCATGGCAAACCTGCCAGAGGAGATACACGCCGAGTTGTTCTTGGAGGAACAGTAAAAGGCGAGGCTTAATAAATGACTTTAAAAATACGTCTTAGTTAATTTTATTCTTGTTAATGTTTAATGAATCACTTTGTATACATACACACTCAGACAGCATTCAATTGCTGCTTTTTCTTCAAGCTGTTGAGATAGATGCCCAGACCCTCCTGCATTTGTGGATGATTTATGAACGCTAAGAAACTTTCCAAGTCTTTAGCTCGTTCGGTTTGAAACCTTTGTAAGTCTGCTGCTCTAAACTGCTGCTTAGCTAGTGAACGTGCCAAGGGATTAACTTTCGCAAATGTGTCTATAAACTTGGTACATTTGTCGAGTGCTTCCCCCTTGCTGCTGACCACATCGTCCACTAGGCCGATTTGCAACGCTTGCTCTGTAGTAAACATTTGTCCCTGACTCAGCGAACGTTCAGCCACACGACGTGGCAATACATTTAAGAAGTTGAACATGCAGAATATCGGTGGCACAATCCCCAGTTGAGTTTCATTGAAACCAATTCGACATTTCGGCAGCATAACTCGATACTCGCATACGGTGGCAAGTAAGCAGCCGCCGGCTGGTGCGTAACAATTGAAATTTGTATATATAGCCAAATAAATGAACTTATAATATTTGCATTTATAGCAGCAGCTGTCGGCAAATCACAGCTGTAGAGCGCCAACCAAACATCCTGTAGCTTGATCCATAGCAAACGAGCTCTGTCCTTGTCGGGCCTATACATTTCGTTCAAGTCCAGGCCGGCTGAAAATACCTTATCGTTTGACTGCAAATTAAGCATAAATTAACATAAAACTGGTAGATCACACTATTCAAACAAGTCTTTACCGATGTTAGAATAAGGCCTCGGCTTTTATTGTCCTCTATTTCCTTAATAGATTCGTTTAGATCTTGCAACAATTCCACATTAAGAGCATTTATAGGCGACCGGTTCAAGGTAAGTGTAGCAATGCCAGTTTTATCATTAACATCTATAGTGGTCAGCTTTGTGGCAGTAGACATGCTTCTGCAAACACTTGGAGCACGAATCAGCAGACTCAAGAACTTTGAACGCATCATCTTGATAACACTTAATTTTTGAATATGTAAACAACCTAAGATGAACATTGGATGCTATTCTATAACAATGATATACCTTAAAGAAATAATATTTTAGCAAAGATAGTGTGCTCTACAACATACATATCTCTCTTTAAACTAATTACGTTTGTTTTTAAGCATTAACGACACAGCACAACCTGTTGCGTGCTATTCGTGCCCATTCGATCATTGTAACATCGATTGCAGTAAAAATAAATTTTTCTTAACACTACGACTACCTATATTCGATTATTGCACTGTCGAATACATTAAATTAAAACTACATTTGCCTCCACTTTAACGTACTTTGCTGAAAGAGCTACAATAGTTTTAATAACATGTATATTTAAAATATAACAAAAACATTTGCTTACAGAAACAGGTGACACTGTTATCGTCATAAACCCCTACCCTTATAAATGCATAGATTAACACAGTAAGTTTCACATGGAACATCACTTTCAGTCCTTGCCCTTCAGGTTACGGAGATGCTCTCCTAAACCTTCTTGAAACAACGGCTTATTTATATAGTCCAAAGCTTCGCGTAATTGACCTTCAGGATCGTTAATCAGCACCTGCACGTCTTGCGCACGAAACTGTTTCTTGGTCAGCGCTCGAGCAGCCGGTTGTGTGTGCTTAAAGCTGTTAATGAATTCGGCACATTTGCATAATGCTTCAACTTTGCTGTCGACCACCTCATCCACTAAATTCACATTCAGCGCTTCTTCGGTACTGAACAGCTTGCCCTGGAGTAGCGCTCGTTCAGCTATGCGTCGCGGCAATACACTCAAATACGAAATCAATATAAAATGCGGCACTACGTAGCCAAACTTTGTGGCATGGATACCAATGCTGAAGCCGGGCAGCATGACTCGATACTCACAAGCTGCAGACAAAACACAACCGAGGGCAATGGCATGACCCTGTTGGGTAAAAAGTACATTTAGAAATTATCTAAGCTTTGGAAATTAACTTACATTGATAGCAGCTGCTGTGGGTACACTGCATTGGTACAGAGACAGCCACATGTCATGCAATGCTGTCCAGAATGCTACCAAACGTTCCTGGTTAGGTTTGTACAATTCGTTTAGATCCAGTCCAGATGAGAACACCTTATCGTTGGACTGTAAAACGATAGGAATATATAAATATATAAGCTCGCATAACTCTTTAAATGAACTCACCGATGTCAGTATCAGTCCGCGACTTTTATTGCACTCGATCTGCTTAATGTTCTCGTTTAGCTCCAGCAATAGGTCCAAATTGCAACTGTTTACAGGTGGTCTATTTAGAGTTAGCGTAGCAATACCAGTCTTGTCATCTACCTCAACCAAGGTCAGATTGGATACATTTGCTTTTGTCTGGCATCTCCTTACGCCAAGCAGTTGGCGCCTGCCCAAGCCCAATAGTTTTGTTTGGCTACGCAGCATTTTAGCGACTGTTGATCACATGTTATTTAAAAGATAAGGTCAATAATTTTGCGAGCTTTGTTTGCTTAAGCTGTTCGTCACAACATTGATACCTTATTAACACTTGTGACGTCACTGCCATCAAGGCTAGCAAGTAATTTCATATTTACTTCGTACCATGTGTGGATCGCGCTATAAGAAGAAGAAATAAGCTCGTTCCATTCCCTTGTTTCCCTTGCCGCCAGCGAAGTTCAGAACCATCTATAGACACAAACCCCGCAAAATGTACACACACAATTTTCTCTTATCAAACGACAAATATTTGTGATTTTTTTGTATTTTAAAAACTTTTTAGTGTATATTTAAAATCAGTATATGAGAATAGTTACAAATCGAAAATTGATAAAGAATTCAATTCTTTGCCTTCTTTTTCAGACTTTCCAAATAAATGCCCAACCCTTTTTGCACTGCCGGTTGATTAATAAAGAACAAAAACTTTTCCAAATCCTGAGCACGTTCATTTTCCAACTGCTCCAATTCCACAGCTCTGAGTTGTTGCTTGGTTAATGAGCGAGCCAGTGGATTCACTTTGGCAAATGTGCCAATAAATTGTGCACATTTGTCCAATGCCTCTTCTTTGGTGCTAGCGGCCTCATCAACGAGACCGATCTGCAGGGCTTCGTCTGTTGTAAACATACGTCCTTGGTTGAGTGCACGCTCAGCCTCACGTCTAGGCAGAACGCTTAGGAAGGATGCCATAAACCACTTGGGGGCCACAATTCCAAGTTTAGTTTCGTTTAGGCCAATCGTAAACTTAGGCAGCATAACACGATATTCGCAAGCTGTAGCTAAAAGGCAACCTCCAGCTGGTGAATGGCCCTGTAGTAGGCATGTAAAAAAATATATTCTAAAGTGAAATACAGTTTCTTACATTAATGGCAGCTGCGGTTGGCACACTGCTGCCATAGAGCGCCAACCAGACATCCTGCAGCGATGTCCAAAATGCTCGAATTCTCTCCTTGTCTGGTTTGTACATTTCGAGTATGTCCAGACCGGCAGAGAATATAGTTGCATTTGACTAGAAATTAATTATAAATTTTAATTCAGGCAAATCGTGATAGATCCAGGATCATCTTACAGATGTCAATATGAGGCCACGACTTTTATTGCCCTCTATTTCTTCAATTGATTTATGTAGGTCGCGCAATAATTCCAAATTGAGTCCATTTACAGGCGGACGGTTCATGGTAAGTGTAGCAATGCCCGTTTTATCATTTACCTCCACTGTGGTCAGCTTTGTGGCAGTAGACATAGTCCTGCAGGCACCTGTGGCGCGTGGCACAAGACTCAAAACTTTTGAACGCATCATTTCTACAAAAAAAATGCATATTTCAATACATGTCAACAACATTAAATGACCTTTGGACGCGGTCTAATATTAGAGCAATTGTATAAGATGAAAACATCTTTTATGTAAAACAATATTTTAAATAAACAAATGAATGTTTTTAAGGCAACAATTTGTCAAATAAAAATTGGATATATTTAAATAAATCACCTTTAAATTTAAACTTTTAAGTATAAACAGCTGTTACAGAACCTGTTGCTCTGCTCTGTAGCAGTGATATTGATTACTCGATTAATTATATCGATTTTACCAGGGCTGCACCAACTGAACTGCTTCATATCGATTCACATAATTTCTGCAGACAGCTCACAAAATAATAAATGTAATACTAATATTTTGCTGCAGCTCAAATTCAAATCAGTGTTGAGTAATCAAGTTAGCTTATTAGGCCGTAACTTGAAACATATCAAAGGTGGGCTGTGTTCAGCAAATGAACCACTTTGTCGAGTGAAGACTGGTCAAGTTCATATCGCGGAGCAACTTTGTATTTTGACATTTTACACGTCACTACGCCGCTTCTGTCACTTTGCCGATTCGACTGCCTTCGTGTCCGCTTTACTCTTATTCGTCGTTCGCCTGTCTGAGTTGCTGTAACTTTCACTAACGCAAATCACATAAAACATACACGCAGAAAAATGGGCTCTGGCAAGCAACAAAAAGTGCAATCATCTGGTTTCACCAAGGAGGAGGAGCTGCTATTACAGGACTTCAGTCGCAACGTCAGCACCAAGTCGGCGACAATCTTCTATGGCAACGCTTTCATCGTCTCTGCACTGCCAATATGTAAGTAACAAGGTAAATAGTGACACGTTGTTGATTTTGCTAAGGGCGACCCTTGTTGTTGATATTTACCAGGGCTCTTCTGGCGCATTCACAACATGGATCTGTGGCCCAGCTCTATTCTGTTCGTGCTGGTGACAGCTGCAAGCACCTACTTGATGGCTACAGCCTACAAGAATATCAAGTTCCAGCTGAAGCACAAGATTGCAGTGCGCCGCGAAGAGGCTGTTACACGCGAAGTGAACCGTCAGCTGGGCGACGACAAGAAGGTCACGCGCAAGGAGAAGGACGAACGCATCCTGTGGAAGAAGAATGAGGTTGCAGACTACGAGGCTACTACTTATTCCATTTTCTATAACAATGCCATCTACTTGGCCATCATCATCTTCATCAGCTTCTTCCTGCTGAAGAATGCCACACCATTTGTGAACTACATTTTCTCCATTGGCGTCGCGAGTGGTGTCCTGGCGTTGTTCTCCACCAGCGCCCAAACGAACTGAACAACATACACTTTCACGTACTCGTAATGTTAGGCCCATTAAGAGATTCTTACCTTAAATATGCGAGCAACAAATTCCATTCATCCCTCGCATTGTTGACTTGATTGTAAACATTTTAGCTATTTCGAGAATATAAATTTTATAATGAAATGTTGTCTTTCTTGTAGAAAGCTTTATGAACACTTCCATTTGCAAAATGTTTAAAATAAATTTGTAAAACTCCAAACATCAAATTATCAGTCCTTAATTTTATTATGTATTTCAATCAAAACGCTTAATCTTATTGTAAATGCAGAATATGTTTGATTCTAGACAGCCTCGAGGAGCAGAGCAATGCCCTGGCCGCCGCCAATGCAAGCAGAGCCGATGCCATACTTGAGTTTCTTGCGCCTGCGAGGAAGGAATTTGAGAATATCATGAATGGAACTCGATATAAGACACGTTGTCTACTTACTGCAACTCATGCACCAGATGGCCAGTAATGCGAGAGCCACTGGCGCCCAGTGGATGACCCAGGGCAATGGCACCACCATTCACATTCAACTTCGATGGATCCAGCTTCAGTGCTTCGGCGCAGGCCAAGGTCTGTGCTGCAAAGGCTTCGTTGATCTGCGGAGCAAAAGATGTTACGTTGCAACTCATTTTGGAATATGCACTTAAGGATCTACCTCGATCAGGTCAATGTCCTCCAATTTCTTGCCAGAAACTCTGAGCACATTTTGTATAGCTGGCACTGGGCCAATGCCCATAATCTCTGGCTTCACACCCACAAACGAGAAGGCAACGAGACGCGCGAGTGGCTTCAGATTGTACTCCTTAAGCGCCTCCTCGGAGGCAACGATGACAGCGGCAGCACCATCACAGATGCCGGAAGCTGTGCCTGCGGTGACGACGCCATTCTTCTTGAACAGCGACGGCAGCTTGGCCAGACCCTCGATGGTGGTCTTGGGACGCGGATGCTCATCTACGACAAAGTCCACCTCCTTGCCCTTGACCTTCAGCTTGATGGGCGCAATTTCAGCATTAAAGGCGCCCTCCTGCTGTCCCTTCTCCCAGTTCTTTTGCGAAAGCAGCGAAAACTCATCCACACGCTCCCTGGAGATCTTATACTGATCGGCCAGGTTCTCGGCAGTCAATGCCATGGGCAGTTTGCAGTAGGTGTCCGTGAGACCCGCCCACAGCGCATCCTCCAGATTGTAATTGCCACCCAATGTGGTGCCAAAGCGCATATTGCGCGCTATGAACGGAGTCTGGGACATGCTCTCCACGCCACCAGTGAGCGCCACCTTAGCACCGCCCACCAAAATGTCCTGGGCGCCATTCACAATGGACTGGAACCCGGAGCCGCACAAGCGATTAATGCCCAATGCGGGCTTCTCAATGGGAACGCCACAGTTCAGACCCACATGACGTGGCACATAGATGCCATCCGTGGAGGACGACTGCAATGGAAACAAATTTCAAATAAATTAAAATAAAGTTCAGATGAAATATATACTATTAAAAAAAAATAGAAAAAATTGATAATAAATAAAAACTAAATATAAATCATTTATATTAGAAATAGCAAAAAATGGTATACATATTTTGCAAACTAAAAAATAAATATAAGTATTTATAAAACATCTAAAAAATAACAAAAATAAATAAAAATATATGAAATTATAAAAATATAATAATAAAAAAAATATATATATGTATTATATATATGTATATGTCAAATATATCTATACATGCACACATACATACATACAAACATACATACACACATATATACACATATATTATGTATATATACTCTAATTAAAATTGATTAAATCATGATACACATCACCATATCTCCATGTCTGCTAGCCAAGATCTAGGTCACTTTTATCAGCTAGATCCTAAGCGAGTGGCTCAGAGTTCGCTCCGGCAATCTTAATTTACTTACCGCAATCACGTTGCCCACGATAACCGTGTCCACCTGCTCGCCCTTGAGGCCAGCCGCATCCAGGGCCGCTTTGGCTGCTGTGGTCTGTAGCTGTGTCTGGTTTATGTTCTTCAGAGCTCCACCAAAGGTGCCAAAGGCCGTGCGCTTGGCAGCGACAATATAGATGCCTGCAAAGGCAAATAAATATATATGTGTTTATATGGCATGTCTGATATAAAGATTATTCAAATTAGGAATGGTTAACGAAAGCAAATCTTGTTTTTTTATTTTCCACTCAACAGGTCCAAAGTGCAGATGTTCGCATCAGTTTGTGTTAAAGGGGGGCAGTCGGCAGAAGATAACGACGCAGCAACAAGTCCAAAGTTCGATTTCAACATATCAAAACTTTCGTTGGCAAACAAAGAAATATATGCACTTCACGTACCTTTTGTAACTCCAGACATTTTATACAAATTTCACTTGCTCAGAACAATCGAATGGATAAGAAAATGTAATTAATATTTATAATCACAGCAGAGTTAGCACAATTAGAACCGCAGGGGACAAGCGCTCGACGTCAACTTGAATTCCAATTGGGAACCGGCAGACATTTTGTAGAGCGTAAAAGCTCTCGCCTGCAACTCTCTGCAAAGCTTTTTAGCGGCACAAAAGCCGAAAGCCAAACAAACACATTCAGCTGTTAAATGCACAGCGGGAAAAGAATTGACTTTTTTTTGCGAAATTAATGCCAAATACAACATTCTAATTAGAACTCATGGCTGTAGTCTGATTGATTAGAATGAAAAGCTTATCAGAAGTGAATATATAAAATGAAATGTGAGTAAATGATAGTCGGTTGTGCACGACTAGGAGATATACTGAGCAGCGTATATACAAAGACAACATATTCAATATGAATATTGAAATAGTATAAATTAACAGCCAAGGGCTCACTCTTATATCTTACAATCTGAAAACGATTTGAGTTCTTGGTTCTCAAGTTAAGCCCTAAATTAAAACAGTTGAAAAATTGTTAAACTTAGGCTAGTGTTGTATATTCAATATTTTACTTAAATAAACATACATGTGTAAATGCTGGACTTTTGAATCAAACTTTATACTTGGAACTAGGACAGAGCAGAGCAATACAAAATCTCAAAGCGGTCACATAATAGAAATTGGCATTTATATAGATTTAATTAGCAAAAGTAAAGTAAGTTTTTTTTATCTGTTTGTATTTCTTGTTATCAAAATGTGTTCAAATGATAGGGTCGTTTCATCTTTATGGTGAATTGGATATATCCATGTTGTCGGATTTCTCAACGCTGACCGATTTACGGGAAATCTTTGCCTCCACATCCTCCGTAATGGCCTTCAGTTTGCGTGCGTCGGGTGTGCGTGAGCGTCGTCGCGAGGAGGACGATGCCGACGACTTGGTAGAAATAGTGGTAACATCTTTGCTTCGACTGGATCGCGACTTGCTGGGCACAGGTGGCGGTGATGGCGAACTGCGTTTGCTGCGCGAGCGTGGTGAACGTGCGCGATGGGATTTCTTGCTGCGCTCGCGAGATCTGGAACGTTTGCCATTGCCGCTACTGATAGAGACGACAGCACTGCCGCTGCCACCGAGTCCTCCTCCTCCGCCTGCGCCATGCGATCGGGAGCGTCGTGTGCGTGATGTGCTGCGGCGGTGGCGAGATCTGGAACGTTTACCACGTGACCTCGACGAACGTGAATGCTTGCCACCACGTGAACGTGAGCGGCGCGAGCGTGAGCTGCTGCGGCGATGGCGCGAGCGAGAGCGTTTGCTGCGCGATCGTGATGAGTGTTTGCCGCGAGAGCGCGAGCGCCTAGACCTGGATACGCTACGTCGCTCGCGTGTGCCCGAACGGCGTCGGCGACGTGAGCTGGAGCGATGAGAACGGGATCGACTGGTGGTGCGCCTTTCACGTGAACGTGAGTGTGAGCGAGAACGCCGCCGCTTGTCCTTGGCTAACATGCCAATGACTGGATCTATAGCGGCCGATATCATGCTCTGTGCTTCCTTGACAATCGTCATGGCCTCCTCAATCTCTGCCTGGGCTGCCTCATTGGACTTGGCCTCCGGCTTCGTAATGGAGTACGTTGAGTGATAGACACTTAAGTGCCCACCCTTAAACTCCTGACCCTGCAGGCGCAGCGCATGTATGACGCTCGTCTGCTCACAAAACTCAATCATGCAGTACGTCTTATTATCCTTTTCAGCCCAACGCGCATATTTGACCTCGCCGGCGCGTTGAAAGCACTCCATTAGATCGTCCAAGCGCCACTCGTTTCTCACATCGCACACAATGATGGTGCGACGAATTTCCTCAATCTTGCGAGCATCGTAGAACGAGGGCAACGCTGGGTATTCGGGCAGATTGAACTCGACCAGCTTTGGATCGTACGTCTTGATGACTTGCTGCGGCAGTTGTCCTTCAATGCGATTGATTACCTCTGGTGGCAGCTTAGAGTCTGGTTTCTGCAAGCCCGGCACAATGGTCCCGTTCTTTAGCATCTCCAGAGCACGGTACTCATCGGGTATGGCCAGCACCGGGATGACAATGAGTGCCCGGTCAATGAAAACGGTATTGGTCAAATGCTGAGCCACGGGCACACTACTAGTCTCCGTGTACTTAACATAGCAGATACGTGACTGTACTGGGCATGAAACATCCCGGATGGTGGGGTACAGTCGAATCTCCTCAATTTTGCCAATGTTGCCGAACAACGTTTGCATCTGATCCTTGGTGGCCTGCGGCGCAATATTGGTCACCTGTATTACACGCGGTGTGTTGCCGCCCGCCATGTTCGATGTTTCACTCTTGTTAACAAACTTGGGAAAATTTGTTTTAGTTTTAAGCAGAAAATAAATATTCAATTAACCTCTCTCACACAAGTGGAAAAAATTCTACAAGGGCTGCAAACAGCGTCGCGAAAATCTCGATTGGCCCACAGGGCTATCGCACCGATAACAGCTTCGCGTCGCGAACGGTCATCGTTATCGATTGCGATTGGCATTGGTGTGCAACTACGAGTGCTGATTATTTGTGTGAATTGTAAATTGTGAATGCAAAAGTTGTAGGAAAATTTTTTACAGTAGATGTTAAATCGAACGCCAATTGCAATTATTATTTCTAAATAAAACGTCAACAATTGTTAACATTCGGCTAGCCTCAGACATGTCGGAAAGCCAAGCGCCATCTGTCTCCAAATCTAGTTTGAACGATTTGCGACAGTTTCGCATAAATAAAAATGCAGCTGCCGCAGCTGCCAGCCCAAGTCGAACTGGTAGGCATTGTGTTTATTGTTCGCAAGCCGAATGGAAGCTGCATAGAACAAAATGTAACTATATTGCATTTCAGAGCGTGTGCCTGGCAAAAAACGCATCCAAGTGATGGCGGACAGTGACAGCGACAGCGCCGACTGTCAGACACCAAAAAAGGCCAAACTTGTGCTGACCGTCAAGGAAAAAGAAGAACGTTATATGGCGGCCGCAAAAATAATGCCAAACTATGATACAATGGTAAGTCATCGAGCAATTGACATGGGATTTTTTCTTTTTCATTTGTGCTTGGTGCGGGGGGGCAAAGCGCGCGCGTCGTTTACATGTGTTCGGAATATGGCGACTCGGGCCCGGCATTGCGAACAGCTGTTGGACACAGTGGCGTCGCATGAAAAAGGGGTTGCTCAGTAATTGATAGTGGGCTTAAGAATGGCAAAATTTCTTTGCGATTGGAAAACAGAATCCAAACCTTTCTTTTTAATTTTTAAAAATATGTGTTGATCACTAATATTTGGCGTATATAAAAGAACAAATGCTTTAAGGTATAAATTCACTTCTTATGCATATTTTAGGCAATTCAAGATTCGCTGGCCCGATCCGATTGGGATGTAGCCACGGCAATACGTTATCTGAAAGAACACTGTAAGCCGAAAGCACAAAATGGTCCTCTGGATAAGCTTAAATTAAAGCACAGCTCAAATGGCAGCGGAACCAAGTTGCATGGGAAGTCGAGTGGCAACTACTCAGACTATGACAATTCCGATGATGATGATGTCAAGCAGTCCAAGGATCAGGTGTACGACAGCGATGACAGTGATACAGAAATGTCCACAAAAATGACCGGGCAGCGTAAGAAAGTATTTCAATTCATGAACACTGCCAGCCTGCTCGAACTGCAGTCGGTGAAGACGCTATCGGAGAAGAAGGCAACGTTACTTATAGATTTACGACCGTTCAATGATTGGGCGGATCTGCGGCAAAAACTGGAGGCTAATCGTTTATCGGCGGATTTACTTAACTACGCACAGGATCTGATCAACAAACAGAATACCGTTGCCACTATATTAAGTAAATGCAATGGGATGGTGCAGCGTCTGGAAACGGCTATAGCTAATGGAGCGGGCATTGTGGAGCAGCCAAAAATGCTTAGCAGCAAGTATGTGTATATATAAAAGGATTCAAGATTTTTTTGAGTTTGAGCGATTCGTTTACGATATATATTCGGATGAGTCGAAATATTTGTCTGTCTGTTTCCATACTGCTTAGTCTAAAGACTAAGACAATCCAATATATTTATATATCCGTAAATAATGATTACAAATTTCTGTCTCACGTCTCTCTCTGAAGACATACTTTAAATCAATTGATCATTGAAACATCTCACAATTTTGCTCATGTTAAATGGTATAAGCACAGCCTATTCTAATGTATTAAAACTACAGTCACGTAAAAGGTTACGTTTCACTAAGATTTTCTTTCGAATCTGTTACAGTTTACAATTGGCCGATTATCAAATAATTGGCCTTAATTGGCTGACAGTTATGCATAAGCAGGAGATGAACGGCATTTTGGCGGATGAAATGGGTCTGGGTAAGACCATACAGGTTATAGCCTTCCTGGCGTACCTCAAGGAAAATGGCCTTAGCAAGGGAGCCCACCTAATTGTTGTACCTTCGTCCACGTTGGATAATTGGGAAGCTGAAATTTCTAAATGGTGTCCCAGTCTAATAGTGGAAAAATATCACGGCTCGCAGGATGAGCGACGCAGAATGCGTGTACGTTTCGCCAAGGATGGATTTACTGGATTTGATGTCCTGCTTACCACGTAAGTGATTGTTGGGTCAACTTTTTTCATTCGGTTGCTTAATCTGAAACTTTGCCAGATACCATATAGTTGGCTCTACGCCGGAAGAGCGAAAGATGTTCCGCGTTTGCAAGCTGCACTATGTCATCTTCGATGAGGCACACATGCTGAAGAACATGACGACACAACGCTACGTAAATCTGATCACAATTAATGCCGAGATGCGTATTTTACTCACCGGCACACCACTACAGAACAATTTACTGGAATTAATTTCATTGTTGTGCTTCGTAATGCCCAAGTTCTTTTCCAAGAGCATTGAAGACATCAAGAGTCTGTTCGTCAAGGTAAGTGTCTGGCAATCATTTCGCTGACTAAATTATTAACTAATTTCTAAATTTGCAGAAAAATAAAACCGATGGCGATCAGGAGGAAGTTTCACAATTCCAAGAGACACAAGTACAACGCGCCAAGCGTATTATGAAACCTTTTGTGCTACGGCGCCTCAAAAAGGATGTGTTAAACAACTTGCCCTCTAAGCACAGTTGTGTGGTAAGTTATCGAGCTGACTTAATTTAATATATATTGCAGTTAATTAAAGACATCTTATCTTTATGTAGGAAAAAGTTCCAATGTGTGCTTCACAGAAGCAATACTATAAGGAGCTGGTTGAATATTATTCAAATAACAAAGGTGAGATCTGTGGTAGTAGCGATCGTGCCGGTGTGGGTATTATGATGGAAATGCGACGTATGGCCAATCATCCGTTGCTAATGCGTCACTATTTTACTGACGAGCAATTGCGTGGCTTTTCTAAGCGTCTGGCACGCGTCAATTCCTATAAGAAAACTAATGAGCAGTACATATTCGAAGAGTTGGCAATTATGTCCGATTTTCAGGTCTATCAGCTGTGCAACAAATACGTAAGTTTTCTGGAATGCTTGTAAATACCTTCTAGAGTGATTAAAACGTCTTAATATTTTAAGGATCTGTATGACGTAAAAATTCCAGACAAATTAATCTGTGAATCGGGCAAATTCCTATATTTGGATACACTCTTGCCCAAACTGAAGGCGGAGGGACATCGTGTCCTGCTCTTTAGTCAGTTTACCATGATGCTGGACGTTGTGGAGCAATATCTGAGGATACGAAAGCATGGCTTTTGTCGTTTGGATGGCGCAACAGCTGTCAAAGAACGACAGGATCTGATCACAGATTTCAATGTCGATGATAATATCTTTGTGTTTCTGTTATCAACAAAAGCCGGCGGCGTGGGCATAAATTTAACCGCAGCAGACACCTGCATCATTCACGACATAGACTTCAATCCCTACAATGATAAACAGGCTGAGGATCGCTGTCATCGTATGGGGCAGAGTCGCCCAGTCACCATTTACCGTTTGATATCAGAGAGCACCATTGAGGAGGGCATTTTGATGGCTGCCGAAGAGAAGCTAAAACTAGAAAAGGATATTACGTCAACAGAGAAAGGCGAAGTGCATGAACAGCGTTGCGTAGTGAAATTGTTAACCATGGCCTTGGGCCTGGACAAGGACGAAGAGGAGCAGTTGAACAACTCATTGAACAATTCCTTGGGAACGCCTACAAATTAGTTTATTAATATGGCCGCTGCAGCGACTTACTTTCCATTTTCCAACAACACTGTTTTTGTAATAGGGTATCATTTAATAATTTTTTAAAAATGTATACTTAAATTATTTACGAGCGTTTCGCTAATATCATTTTCGTCTATTTATAAGAATCAATATCGTATTAAATTATATATTATAATATATTGACATTAAGCGCATTTGTTGATTTTTTAAAGATTATATGCAAGAATCGAAGTGGGGAAGCGAGCGTATTACAAAGGAATTCACTTGTAAAATTTCAATTGTAATTCTGATAGATAATTATATATACACAAATTTGGGACTAGATTGGCTCGACTGATGATGGACACAAACAAACTCTCTATATATTACTATGTAAGTTACTTTATTATTATATAAAATGCATTATTTTTAAACTTAATTTGAAGTGAGACAAATGCTTGCAGTCTTTTCTGTATCAAATATATATAGATATTAACTTTCATTGATTTATAAACTAGCATTTAGTAAAAATAGACGGCTTCCGTCTTGCTTTCAAGAATTAAATAATTGTCTAACAATTAAAATTTTTAACATTAATATTTATGCAGATAAATACATTTGATTCATTGAGTTGGGCAAATCAAACTCGACAACCCTCAAAAGAGATCGCGACGCTCTCTCTCTCTCTGTGTTTAAGCAAGATCACATGCAGGGCGATAATTTCGCGCTCTCTCTCTCTCTCTCTCTCTCCGTCTGCCTCTCTGTTAAGTTTTGTAGAAGCTTTTCATAGCTGCGGCGATTCATCAGGTTTTTAGTCTTTAACTGATCGCTCGCGCCGATGATTTAATTTTTAAGTTTAAACGCTGATTTTGTAGCACAGAGAACACAAAACCCTGCGTCAAGCGTAGCAAACCGAACGATACTCACATTGCCTACCATATATATATATGTATATATATAATACATACATCTCGACAAAAGTGCGAATATTAAATAAAAATATAAAATAAACGAACAAAATTAGCAATAAAAATCGAAAGTTCTATGTGAATAAAAAATCTATATATATATATATACATACCAATATATACTATATATATATATATTTATATTTGTGCATTCATCTCTATGTATTTAGTTGTGTGCAGCGAAGTATTGTAAATGTTGTATTCTATTCTATTCTAATGAGTCGCTTTGCTATTATGTGATTCATATTGTTGTGTACATACATAAGTTTTTTGTATTTGGCCGATTTATATTTATAAATAGCCGAGCCGCTCGCCAAACGGAAATCATATTGGTCCAAATACAAATAGTTAGTCACAAAAATTACAAAATAAATATTATATGTATTTCAAAATATATTCCAAAAGCAGCTAAACGTCAACAGACGACGTCATATTGTGGCTGTCTAGCGGAAACGGAAGAATACAGTAGACGCACCTACGCTGCCTATATAGAGAGTATAAATGCATACATACAAGCACGTATACATATAAATATAGATACATACGAATGTATATATATATATTATTTAAGTATGCGGCACATGTGTCTAATTCGCAAATATAAATTTGTTAAAAACAAATGCGCGTGCAAAAGAGCAAACATAAAAATAAATTAATTTCTATGCTTATTTCATATGGCCAGGCCTTATACACAACGTATCTTTGTTTGTGTGCGTGTGCGTGTGTGTGTGACTAATAGCCAAGAAAACTAGCGAGCGATCTAAGAAAAAATAACGAAAAACAAAATATAAACGAAAATTACGCGAACAAACCCAAAATAAAGAGAACAACAACAACAGTTGACAACGAGCTAAAGAACAAGCGCAAAGCAACAAACCAAAAATAGACAGCACAAAGCAGAAGCAGGCGCAGCTAACGACGACGACGACGACGTCAGCGTCAACGGTGCGTATACTTAACCAGCAGCCGCCTCTTTTCTCTCTCTCTCTCTCTCTCTTTGTCTCTCTCACACGCATACAACATACCAACCCCCCTCACTCATTGACTCATTCAACTCGTAAACAGCTGCTCGCGAACCACTAACAACAACAACACAAACGAAAAAAACAGCAGCAACTGTAAAGAATAACAAGACACAATCATCAATTGTTTCTGCGCCGCTGTATCAGTGTATGCGTGTGTGTGCGTGTGCTGTGTGCAGTTGTGTGCGGCGCGCGACGATCCAAAAAGCTAAGCGCAGAACTCACTTACTCATAGTTGTCTATAAGGCATTCATATTGCCTGACTGCAAATTATAATTAAATAAAATAATGAAAAAAAGAATTTGTTGTTATTTTTTTGGTTAATATTGTTAGCGTATGTTATGTGCCGAGCATAATTAAACGACACACGAAGACCGTATCAAAAGAAAGGAAAATTTAATGAATATAAAACATATATCTATACGAATCCCAACGACGACGACGACGAAGACTACGCGAAATCCACAACGACATTTTGTAATCTAAACAACTTGCAAGTGAGAGCGAAAGAGATATACCGAAATAATAGCAGAAGGAAAAAACAGATAAAGAGATAAATAAAATAAGAAGAAGCTGAACGAACAGCAACGAAACCCAAACAGAATATTGGATCAATTTTATATTGCATTAAAAGGTAAGCATAATTAACGCTAAATAGCAGGTACTTATTAATTTTGGGTGGGGCCTAAAGTCACGAAGAAATGTAAAAAATGTATGAGAATAAGTTCTAAGACGCTTTGTAACATTATTTGTTTATGAAGATAGTCAGGGCATACCATATATTGGCACATATATGATCAAATGGCAAATCTTACAGGAGATTTGAACAGCTGCATGTTATCGATAACCAAAACAGCTGTCGATAATTGCTATCGAAAATAGTATCACTCTTGTTTGTTTATATGATTTCTATAGTAAGGCCAAAGTCAAGCTTTTATGAAAATTTCATTTTAAAAATACTTAAAAATTCAGCAAATTTACCGGAGTAAATCTGTTAATGCCTGCTCGTATTAGAGATTGAGGAGATTTTGGACTTAGCTTAAAGTCGTACAAATTTTCTTATTTAACTCGAAGTTTTAATGGTTATAGAAAAACTTCTTAAAAATAAACAGTCTAAGAACATTTGCACTCGACACACTCATCGGATTGATTGTAAAGATATTTTTATTGTTTATTGTGATTAAATTTTTGTGGTTGTGAATTTGTGTAATCAAAGCATAGTCGAATCTACATTAATAATAATATTTATATTGATTTGTATACATATTATATTTAGGACAATTTCCTTCGTTCTACTCTCGTTCATGAAGTGAAAAGAGCATATTAGTTTTGTGTCCGCATACCTTAATTTGGAATAAATAAAAGTTAGTCTTAATAAGTGTTCAGATTTTTATGCCCACTGGGGCATGACAAGTTTTGCAGGTGAATCACAGTTGACCCGCGCTGCTAGTGGAACGTGATCAGAAATTGTCGATTTAGCTGAGAATTCATACTAAACTTTTTAGCTTAAACTTGCCTAAAAATCGTAATGGTAGTAAAAAGTTTGTTTTTAAATAGATTTTGTTTGATTTAAGAATCATTTTGCTCTAATAATTTAGACTGTTTGTTTAACTAGCTGTCATAGTGGGAATTTGTTTATTAGAGTATGTGCATTTCGGCAATACGAAAATAGCTTGAACACACACGCACACACACACAGAGTCTTTCTTTATGGGTACTTCAAAAAGCTGAAAAATTAGACAAAAAATTGCTCACAGCTGATGTCATTCGATCTGAAGTGCGCTCCCTGTTCGCGCGGTCTTGAAACCAGATGCACTCCTACGCGCAGTCGCAAAGCCGGTTAACTGGCTGTGGATGTACCTATGAAGTACATAAATATATATATATATATATATATATATATATATATATATATATATATATAAATAAATAAATTGTGTGTGTGTGTGTATATATAGCTGATCGATCGATCAGTTAACAGCGCAAATAGTGTTTATGCTTTTCTCTTTCTGCACTCAACTAAACTGTTTTGCCCAAGATACAAACTTGATTTTTGTTTTTATACCCACTCAGTTCTTTATTTATTATAATATGCTTGAAGAGTGACGCAGACTCTAGCTGAGTGTTTGGAAATCTATAAAAATAGAAGTGTTTCTCTTGACTAATTGACTTGACTGATTGCTGATTAGATTTTTGCGACGATCTATATCAAATCTTAACTTGCATTTGCATAGATCTTATTATTTCCATATTGAAAGTATATTCGGGTAAAATAACTCACAAAACACTATTTTAAAGACCGTTCCTAGCAAGATAGACCTTTTGATCAGACCTCGTCCACCTCTACAAATACACATTTCTTAACATTCCTCCTCTTTCATTTCAGACCACGCTAATACTTATAAAAGGAATGAATACTATTTGTCTTCAACATAAGACTACGAAAAGAAACTAAGTCTAGATAATTGTATTAAAAAGAAAACAAAAATATAAGAGATAAAAAAAAACAAGAATTGTGATATGTACAACTTTACTCAAATATTGAAAAAACATATATAAAAAGTTTATTTCAAGTATTCCGATCGCTCAAGAGACGGACGCGCGAATAACCCAAGATAATTGCAAAACATAAACAAGAAGAAGAATAAAGAAACCAAAGATTAGGGTTTTCAATTAGTTTATCGTATAAGAAGCAGTAGCAACAATGGCAGAAAAAGTGGAAATCTCACCAGCCACATTTAATAATAATCAACAGCAACAACAACAACAGAACGACGCTCGAAAGGTGCGCAAGTCGCCCGATTTTCAACCCATAATGCCAGGTGTCATATCCAGAGAGCGCAGCTTTGTGCGCACATCAAATCAACAGGTTGGCAACACATAATACATTTCAAGCTATATTATTTATCCGATTGCATAATCAACTTATCTGTTTACAGAACATAAACAAAAGGCGCAGTTTGGCGTTCAACGTGCCTGGAAATCAACCTGGACAGATGCGTGGCAAGCCAGCAATGGACATATACAGACCTCCAAGTAAGTGATATCGATATAGTATTAGATCATATATAACGCCTGTAAGCTCAGCTTGCATTACACTAGACTCAAATGCATTACATTTCAATCATTATTTATAAATTATTATTTATTAGTTATATTATTAGTTATATTTATTATTATTATTTATTATTTTATTTTCTATTATTTATTATTTCAATATAATTTAGTAATTTGTTAATCAAAATAATTTCAAACCATTTTGTGTGATCGTTGACTTTTAAATTTAAAAAGAGCCGCCAAAATCATTCTGCTCAGTGTTGATAAACGCTAAACTTTTTAGTGTCGCTCAGACCAAAAACCGTTTTTATTCAAATTGAGTATTAAAGTACTTTAAGTAGAGAAACTAAAATTTACTTTAATCAATTATTTTGAAAGGAAATAGGCTTCAAATTGAAATATACCTTTGAAATTGATATTAAAACTAGTTAAACTCTGCGAAATTTTACTTTCAAGATGCTTCACATGCTGCTTTAACGCCAGCTGTGCATTTCACACAATCCAAATGCCAATATAACAATATTTATTTTGTCAATGTTTTCTCTCTTCTTCTTTTCATATATGTCTATCTCATAAAAAATCTACCTTCCTCCCAAAAACAAAATAAAACAAACAAATATCATCACATACCTGTAATTATGTTAATTCAATGAACAATGTTTAACGTTATCAAGATGTACGCGGCGATTTAGCCAGCGAAGGTGGTGCCAATGGTGGTGGTGGTGGTAGCGGTGGTGTTAGTGGCAGTGGTGGTGGTGCGAGTGTCTCGAACAAACTGAACATAAATGCCCAGGAGTTCACAATGACGACCAACTCACGTGCGACGCCACCGGCTGAGGCACTTAACAATAATCGGTAACGCCAACACTATTTTAATGCCAAGCTTTATCCCTCTTGCCATCTTCTTGCAGAGCTAAACCACAATATACAACATTCTTCCAGTTCGTCCCTTATCTTTCCCATGACTGGCGGGCCGAGTCTCCTGCAGCAGCAGCAGCAACAACAATATGTGGCAGCTGCATCCAATGCGATTCTGAATAGACGCCAAGCGGGTCTCTCACTGGGCAATATGCCTGCCATGAACAGTCTCAAGGGTGGTCATCATCGTTCCATCCTGGTAACGCATCCCATCAATACAATGGGCGGACAGATTCCGCTCATGAATTCACCATCCAGCGGCAACATACTGCATGTAAATATAAATTCAAATAAATTATCAAATCGGATTTAATTTGAATATGAATGTAGTAGCCTGTGAAATAGGAGCGCGGATTTTCATTACTGTTTTTCAAATTCTAACACATTTTATCTTTCGTACAGTCGACAAATCGAGTGAAGTTTGCACCAGAGCCTAGGGCTCAGAAGTCAGGACAGCACAATCAGTACTACAATAATGGACATCAGCCGTATCAATTGAATGGCATGGATCCCTATATGAATGGAACTGCGCTGCAGCGCTCCAAATCGCTATCGTCGGCTGATGCACTGACACGTGGCATGGCCGGCTTGGGTTTGGGCCTGGGCAATGAGGTAGCCGACATCGGGCAGTTTACGCCGGAAATACAGCAACTGATCGAAACAGCTCTGGAGGATCCGAACAAATTAAATTCACGATGCCTTATGGAGCTCACGTCGCAGTTTATTAAACGCGCCGTTGAGAGTCGACGTTTCGCTTTGCCCATTTCGCGGCTCTGCTTGAACATTATCGCTAAGGAGCAGAAGGAGACTTTTCTGGAGGCGCTGCTTAATACGTGCCGTCAGTGGTATCAGGAGCGCGAAAAGGTAAGGAAACCTATCTTATCTTATATTACTACTGCAACTTCATTTGCATTACTCTGTCCAACAGCTACTGTTTGCCATTCAAGGAATGAAGTCGCCATCGCGGGTTCGTTTTACGGCTTTCATGGCATTTCTTACGGAAATGTTTTGCCAGTTGAAACGCCGCCAGCTCCAGTTGCGTACCCACAGCGAGGGAACGCCGCCACCTTTAGTGTTGCTCAGTTTGCTCTCCAAGTGCTGCGAGGATTGTGTGCGTCCCCCAGTGCGTTCGCTTTCAGAGGTAAATACAACAATTCCTAATAAGTTCGATAAAAATTAATTAACTAATGAACTAATGAACTAATTCCATGATCAGTGAATAATGTAGTTCAGTTGGCCATGAACTGTATTCTCAGCTGAGCTGAGCTACCAAATCGCTCATGAACAATTTGTTCAGTGCTCTATGGAGCTGTTATGCAGTTATTCAGCGACTAAATAAATTTGATTTATGAGTTGCTGAATTAGATAACAATTCGATAATGCATACGATATAAATGGCTTACTCTTAAAAAAAACTATAACTAATCGATTGCATATCTCTTGAACTTGTAGATTGAGTCCCTGTTCTATGTGTTGACCTGCATTGGCCAGGACATGGAGCAACAGCTGCCACAGCAGTTGGAGCAGCTGATGTCCGTCGTGCGCGATGCGTTCCTTAATGCCGGTGATGCTGCGGCTGCCATAAGACGCACACTGTTGCAGCTGATCGAATTAAAGGCTTCGCACTGGCAGCTGCCCGGAAATTCGGTGCTCTACTACACCCACACCAACACTTAGTTGGATAGATTGAGAATCGGGCGCAATTTGCAATTGCAATATGTAAACAGACATTATTATTGTGGTCGAATTGCATTTAGGCCCAGTCCTCGTGCAACACGCAACTATTTATCGTACTACAGCAGTACAGCATAGTCCATAAGCAATATTTATTTTTGAAACCATAGCTAGATGACTAACCCAGGCATTATAATTTTATAGTATACGCATATTTATACAGCTCAACACTTATACCGGCAACCGGAAATGGAAACGGTAACTGCGGAACCAGCTCATCCAACCTTAAAACCATCCACCACCACCCCTTCCCATGTCAACCTCTGGTAGAATACTTCATTCTGCTTATGTAAGGCTCAATTTATACTATGTGAAATCCATATTATTTATGTGTAATAAACAATACGCTAGTCAAAAACAAAAACTTTTAAGAATGGATGAAAAATAGCTAATAAACTTAAAGAAATATGCCTTATCAAAATAGTTGTAAGTAGTAAGTAGTAAGATATACATTTGTGTGTAATGAAAACTCTCATATTATCACTTAAATAAGACTGATTAAGGGGGTTTAGATCCCAACCCATTTTCTGAGGGATGAGCAATGACAAGGGCTCATCAGCATGGTCCTGGTTCTGGTGCTTTTTCATCGTCTACATCATCCCAAAAGCCATCCAACAAAGAATCATCATCGTCTTTGTCCTCGTCGTGATCATGGTAGGACAATGCTTGTAATCCTCGTGTTAACGTAGATGTATCCGATATATAGCCATCGAATTCGGCTTCAGAAGTTACGATCTTTGAGTTAATCTGCTGTTGGTTTGTCATCTTGCCAGGATCCATATCCGACTTATAGACCTTAACTGTTACGGAGCTGAAGCCAAAGTTGACTTCGCCCTTGACAGCTTCTAAGGGTGCTAGTGATTCCTTGTTCAGCACTAGCACCACCTGATTTGTGGCTCCTTGATTCGACTCCACCTTGACCACTTTCCAATCGTGAGTTGGTAGATCCGGATTGCATAGCTGAAACATTTTAAGAATGCGTTCTGGCTCCTTTATCGACGCGGGTATCCAGACGCGAGCACGTGGTCTACTGGGCACTTCACTCCAATCAACGGCAATCAGCTTTGCTCCAGTGTAGACCTCGCCAACGTTTGCCACCGCCTTCTTATAGAGGTCCACAGATCGTTGACTGTCGCATGCTATGATTTTCACATTGCCCTGATACCAACCGATATCCTTGCAGCTAGGTGGTGGACCCGACTCAGACCCGACGAGCAGCTCAAAGCACTTATCCGCCAAGGCAGCTTCTATCCACTTCCAATGTCGTCGCGGAATTCTGCCTTCAACGTTGCCCTGGTCCAATACACCGATTAATATGCTATTCTTAGCCATCTCAGCAAGGGATCTAGCTGGCACCAGCTTGGCAAGCTTAGCAGTAGGTCCTGGCAGATCTTGTAGATGTTGTCGCTTTGTCTTCTGCATTTGTTGGCCGAAGTTCGGAAAAACGCTCTTGGCCCACTCGAGTTTCTCAAGCCAGGCAGCTGAAGGATTGGTTATATTGCTAGTTTTATGACGCTTGAGTATACTGCTAGCTTTTCTTTTCTCTGCGTAGCAATACTTTACAGTCCGTTCGGAATTTCTTAGCTCTTGACCCATAGGCCCTGAATCTCCTCCTATCTTATTAGAAGGCAATTTTCCGATGGGTGTTTTTAAAGTATCGCACTGCATATTAAGTATTTTATTGTTTTTAAGCTCACTCTAAAGCGTAGAGCACAGATATTAAGTTTAATTTGAATCGTGTTTCTTAGCTGATCCGAATTTCTTAAGCAGTTTCCCGTTTGAAATGTCCTCGCAAACTGAAAAGCGCAATAAAAACCAGAAATAGAGCTGAGCATAAAGTTGTACAGACGCATTTTTATTTTATAAACTTGCTGACTGCACAGTTCATATTTCATATTATGTGACGCCGACGCAAAGCCAAAGTAAACAAGTGTTCTACACATGCGTACATAAATGAACAAATATATACAAAATATAAATTACCATTTTCTTCTTTATTTATTATTAAAGCAAAGCTTGCATAATATACATAAATATAACACAGCTTTATTTGCAGAATTAAATTTTGAAAAACGATAAGAAATATCCATTGAAAAGTAACGAGTCGTTTATTTAACTTCGAAAGCTTATCGATATCGAGAAGTTGCCAACGAGTAAGCATCGATAGAAATTGTGTATAACCTGCATCGATTAATTGCAACCGTACCGATGTGCTCGTACTGGCTATGATTTCAATATCTCGTTCATTTGGTTTTTGTCTTCACCCCATAAAGTTGATACAACTACAAGTAAGTTGTTTTTTGTTCGATAAAGTTTAATTGTGTGCCAACATATTTGTTAATAATTATAAATAACTATAACTTTGTAGCTTAACTCAAGCTATTGAATATGTATAAAACATAAAATAATGTAGAAAGCTAATAAATTGTTTAATTTGAAGTACGCATTACCACGTGTTTCAAAATGGCGGCGGTGAAAACACATTTCTAGAATTAAAAATATTTTAAAGTGCTTAAATGATGATCATTACAATTACCTTTTGCGGTTTCCACCAGAAAGCGTTAATTCGCTTAAAGATGGCCTTAGGTGTCTGATTTAAGCACTAAAAATTAAAATCGATATTGTGCTCTTCGTCCTTAACCTGAAACATATTAAAGATTTTTATTTTGATACAATTGCAGAATGGCGGACGCAGCTCCAGCCCGTAGTGGATTCCGAGGTGGATTTGGCTCTCGTGGTGGTCGTGGTGGACGTGGTCGTGGCCGTGGACGTGGCGCACGCGGCCGTGGTGGCAAGGAAGACAACAAGGAATGGGTTCCAGTGACCAAGCTTGGTCGTCTGGTGCGCGAGGGCAAGATCAAGTCTTTGGAGGAGATCTACCTGTACTCGCTCCCCATTAAAGAGTTCGAGATCATTGATTTCTTCCTGGGCTCCTCTCTGCGCGACGAGGTCCTCAAGATCATGCCCGTCCAGAAGCAGACGCGTGCTGGTCAGCGCACCCGTTTCAAGGCCTTTGTTGCCATTGGTGACAACAACGGCCACATTGGTCTGGGTGTTAAGTGCAGCAAGGAAGTTGCCACCGCTATCCGCGGTGCCATCATTCTGGCTAAGCTTTCTGTTGTTCCCGTACGCCGTGGCTACTGGGGCAACAAAATCGGCAAGCCCCATACAGTACCCTGCAAGGTTACCGGCAAGTGCGGCTCTGTTTCAGTGCGTCTGATCCCAGCACCCCGTGGTACCGGCATTGTGTCGGCTCCTGTGCCCAAGAAGCTGTTAACCATGGCTGGTATTGAGGATTGCTACACCTCCGCTCGTGGCTCCACTGGCACCTTGGGTAACTTCGCCAAGGCTACCTATGCTGCCATTGCCAAGACATACGCCTACCTGACTCCAGATTTGTGGAAGGAAATGCCTCTGGGCTCCACTCCCTATCAGGCATATTCCGACTTCTTGTCAAAGCCAACGGCACGCTTGCACGCCGATGCCTAAGATCATTGCGAACCAGAGTTTTTGAATAAACGAAAACACTCACAATTGAACTATTTTTTATATTTTTCATGGGTTGGTTATGAATTCGTCTATGGAAACAGGCATGGCGTTTGAATATGGCTAGTGAACATTAAAGTACTCCATATATAAGTTTATATCCCAAAAATATTGAATATTAACTAGCAAAAAATGTATATGAAATTTTGTTTAGGGCTTAACATATATTTTTTAAGTCAGTACAGTAGTATCGTACAATATAATCTTAGTTTACACTACGCCTTTACGCCGTACGCCTCTGGCATACGTTCAATGGCATACTTGTGCGCTGCGACATACATGATAGGTACCCCTGGTATCTTGCGAATGCGATTTTTTAAGTCCTTATCATTTGTGGCCACAATATAGCATTTGTGCTGACGGACCCGCTCCACTAGACAGTCGTCGGCGTAGGTGCCTTTGTGTAGGCAGGGTAAACGCTCAAAGCGGGGATCTGATATAATACGCAGGGCTAGTTTGTATTTGTTACCCAGCTTTTCCAACTCAGCGCGTACGCAGTCGGATATGTAGGGTATACACTTGGCGTACAGACAATCCATCATGCACTGAACTATATCCAGTTTGTTCTTAATGCTAAAATTTATGAAATTTGTGTCGAGCACGATATGATAGGGTGGTCCCAACTGTGTGTTGTACTGGAAAAAGAGGGCCGAACTCTGTTGGGTGGCTTCATGTACTTTAATCTCATAAGGATCGGCTTCTTTCTTGCGTTTTTGACGCACTTGTTCTTTGATGCGGGAATCGGTAGGTTTCATCAAACGCTTTAGCTGTGCATTTCGCTGTTTTTGTATCTTTTTTGTCTTCTTTTGCTTACCCTAAGTGTTTGAAGTAAAAACATGTCCTTTAAATTATAATTTATGAAACCCGCCGTTATATTTACCATTATAAGTTTGACGTATCTAAATAAAACGTAAACAATTCTTAACTCCACTGCAGTGCGATTGCACGTGCTTATGTATTGTTTTCCCAACACTCAGCTGTAATCGAAGAATTGCAACTCTGAAGCAGTATTGCATTAATAAATATCGATAGGCAATTATATGCAATACTGTTAATAATTTTTCTTCGCTAGGCCACGTGCAGCCGGCGGCCATTTGCATTGAACACTTTGTGAGAGATGGTGAGTCTTAAGGAATTTAATAAAAGCAAAATATAGCGAATGTACTGCCTCAAATGATGAAACTGATGACGAGACTGAAGGGACATTTTCTCGACTTTATATTGTATTATTCAATATAATATCGTATAATATTTGTTCATTTAAAGATGAATCGGCAATCTGATGGCACAATTCAATTAATAAATGTTGGATTTTATTTTATTTAATGTGGATTTTATTTATAAACTAAAGCAAGCTGAATTTCTTTGTTGCAGGGTTGAAAACAGAATTTGCCTAAATGTGGATTGAATATACATATTGAAAAGGTATGCATTACTTGATATTTTTTACAAAATGTAACCATGATGAACTTATTCATAGACCTGTACTGAGTAAAACTCATGTGGAACACGATATAAACTGATATTAAACATATTGACCTATGCTTACTTAAATTTAGGCTTTTAAATAATTAATTTTAATGTAATTTTCAGGCACGATGTCTTGAAAGAAAATAAGTCTGCGGAAAGAAGATGGCGACATGCTGCTAACTTCTAAAAAAAAAAAGGAAGTGAAAATGCCGTAGCGCATATGGTAAGCATGCGATAAAATGTGGATTCTTATATGAAAATGATGATAATGACCACAGACCTGTTCTGAGTTAGTCATGTAGATTTGTATTTAGTAAACTGATAAATGTAAAATACTTTGAAGATATTTTAATAGTAATGTACTTAATATATAAATTGAACTTTTTTACTTGCAGATTGGATGGCCAAAGTGAGGTTATGATGAATACAACGGGCATTATTTGGCTTAAGGTAAAGTAAATATTTTTTGTTCCTCTAGACCCACGTGTTTTATATTTAAAACATGGATCTACATGAAAATTGCTGAAATGATGATTATTTCAATTACCTTTTGCGGTTTCCACCAGAAAGCACTCGCTTAAAGATGGCCTTAGGTGTCTGATTCAAGCACTTTTTATTAATAATGTATTATACTAATGTACAAATTAAATTTCTAATTAAAATTTTTATACTTTATTTGCAGAAAGACGCCACAGACTTGAAAAAGGATTGCATCATGTATTGATAATACAAATAAATACTAATCTCAATAAAATGATTTAACAATTATAAAACTGCATTTTTCTGAATATATAATAAATTTCTGCAGTAGAGATTTCGAAATGTATGGCATTTCTATGGGATACTTATGTATTATATGTAGTCTTAAGTGTGTATGTATTGAGTATCATGTATACGGGTGGTCAGTCGGCGCTTAGCGATATATATATTTCTCTCGACGTGTAGAAATTATGTAAATGAAGAAAACCCTTTATATAATTTAAATTGGGAGCCATTTGAAAAGATTATTGTGAGCGTCATATTAGAGTTCACCCTGTAGAGGAATAGCGCACACGAGTCACCCTGTGCCATGAGACTCGCTGGTTTAGTTAAACCGCTGCGGCTGTTGCGCGTAAATATAAACAAACGCCTGATTTCTGCACAGTATTATGCAACTGAAGCTGGACAAGAGGAATATGCTTTTAATAGCAAAGAGTATTTAGATTTTAAGAAACAATTGAGACAGCAGAACGTTTACACCAAAGATGGACACACGTGCCTACAAGTGGAATGCCGGCTATGCGAACGTTTGCCGGCTGCAGCAACAACAACAGCGTCTCGTACACAGGCTCCATTGGCTTACATAAATAAGAGAACGGGTATGCTGGAAGTTAAATAATTATGCGATTTGCAATGTTGTTTTAATATGCCTATTTTTAAGGCGCCTTTATTTGCCCAAACTGTGATGTGAAAGTTTCGTTGGCGCATGCATTGGCGGCTTATCAGACAGTAGCTCCGGCCGGCTTTCAGCGCCTGCCCGTAAGGTCGCTGGAATATGTAACACGTTATCCGAATCTGATAAGTGTAACAGCTGAGGCTTGTGAAGCGCTAGGCCTGAAGGGCTTAAAGGAGGCACAGCTGAATGCCATTGGAGCGCTGTATGAGCCCGAGCAAAACCTACTGCATTTCAAGCTACGCAATGCATCGCATAAAGTAGTTGGTGAAAAGGTTCTTCATCTTGGGGATCGCAGCGAGCAAACATTTCAGTGCAGCTCAAGTTCTGGCCTGCTAATACACGGCATTGGAAACAAGAGTAAAGCTGTGCTTGTGAGCAATCTCTTGGACTTTATTGTGCTGGCCACGCAAAACATTGAGACACGTGCGTACTGTTGATTTGATAATCAACATAATAGTTAATAGAGCTTAATACTTTTCAGACTGTATAATCTGCTTGCCGTATGCGCTGCAGCAGCTACCGCAGGAGTGCTTGCCTGGGCTGGAGCGTTTCAAGGAGGTGGTCTTCTGGATGCACTATGATGCCACACATAGTTGGGATGCGGCACGCGCATTTGCCCACAAAATGGATGAGAAACGCTGTCTGTTGATACGTCCCACTGAAACGGAACCAGCGCCACATGTGGCTCTGAAGCGCCGCCTCAATGTTCGCCACATATTGGCCAAGGCGACACCAGTGCGTCACAAGGCGATTACCACATTCCACGCCTTGCGCAACGACATTCTAAGTGAGCTGCAGAATATTGAGAAGGTAAATGGTGTCAAATGGAAACGCTTTCCGGTGCTCAACAAGTTACTCAAGGGACATCGCAAGGGCGAGCTGACCATACTTACTGGGCCAACGGGCAGCGGCAAGACAACCTTCACCAGCGAATATTCTCTGGATCTGGCCATGCAGGGCGTGAGCACGCTCTGGGGTTCATTCGAGATACGCAACACGCGTCTGGCTGCCACATTGTTACGCCAATTTGTGGGTTATCCGTTGGATGATAAGCTACAAGAGTTTGAGCACTGGGCTACAGAGTTTGAGCGTTTGCCGCTCTTCTTCATGACCTTTCACGGCCAGCAGCCACTCAAGCCTGTGCTGGAGGCGATTGAGCACGCTCAGTACGTGCACGACATTTCCCACGTAATCATAGATAATTTACAGTTTATGATGGGCGTATCATCGTATCGCGGCGACAAGTTTTGGGAACAGGATTCAATTATAGCAGCGTTTCGTGGCTTTGCCACCAAGCATAACGTGCATGTCACGCTGGTGATGCATCCTCGCAAAGAACGGCAGGAGGATGAGCTGACAACGAGCTCGGTCTTCGGCACAGCAAAGGCCACACAGGAGGCTGATAATGTTCTAATCATACAGGACAAGCGACTGACCGCAGTGCGCGGCAAAAAGTATCTACAAGTTGCCAAAAACCGCTATAGCGGCGATCTGGGCATAATGCCAATGGAATTCGACAAGGATGCGCTCAGCTACTCCAGTTCGGCGCAGAGCGCTAAGCGGCGAAGAGAACGAGAAAAGACATCACCAACTGAAAGTTGACCTCAGTTACAAATGCACTTAAATTACTTATCTATTTTATTTAATACTATAGGCTATGCTAAAATGTTGAAATATTTGTTAATGCATATTATTTACACAAAATGTATCTGTAAAAAAGAAATTGTCTTCACGTCGCACTCTGCTTGTAGTTCTTCGTATTTAGAATTTTCTTGCCGCACATTGCACAAATTGCCTTTTTATAGGAACAGGCCTGACAATAGTGTGCGCCTATTTGATGCACCTTCTGTCTACATATGCTGCAAGCAGAATATTATTTGTACAAGTTTATAAGGAAGAATGCTGTTTTTCAAACTTACCGACAAGGAGCTAAAGTATTGCCAAGAGGATTAAAGCGCTCCTTGGAAGAGGATAGTGCTTTGTTTTCATTGATTTTGCGTCCACCGGCAGCTGCATTGCTAGTTCGCCAGGGATTTGGCGCCGAGACCTTTGACAATTTTGACTCACACTTATCGCAAACCATTTAAACGACGTTTAATATTTCGAGAAGTCGCTATATAATTGTGTCTTTTTTGAGTCAATGTTTTGTTTGTGGGCTTAGGGATGAACATTTACAGCCATATATAATCGATGACGTTTATTTGGAACTATTCTAACGAAAACGTGAACCACTCACTTTATGTTATCGATATCGATATCACATGTGAAATGAAGTAAACAAAACATGACTACAGCAAATAACCAACAATTGCGGTAATTTCTATACTTTTGTTGCATTTAAATGCATTAAAATACTTTTTTCTTACAGAGAACAACTAATAGCAGCAGTGGTTAAAAAACGAGCAGCACTCGCCAGAGCTCATCAAGTAGTTGTAACCCTTCTTGAGAAACAAATTGATGAACAGGCTTTTCTTACTATGGTAAATATTTATGAAAATGAAATTGGCTATATCTATATACAATTCACTTTGTCTCAGCTATCACAGATTGGACCGGATAACTATGCGGATGTTGTCGAAGAACGACATATCAATAAACTTTGTGGATATCCACTATGCGACCGTGCTGTCGAAAAGTAAGCCTAAATAAAATTTATTAATTTATATACTAACTTGTTATCTATGTTTCAGAGTTCCTACTAAACAATATCAAATCTGCGCTGTCCGTAATAAGGTGTACGATATAACTGAACGTAAAAAGTTTTGCTCCGGCTACTGTTTTAAGGCGTCTGAATACATCAAATCGCAGGTGCCAACTTCGCCGCTTTGGCTGCGCGACACGGAAACAAAACCAAATTTCAAACTTTTGCCGCGAGAAAACTTGATAAGCAAATAATAGAGACTGTGATAATATTTCCAATGCTATGTGTAATAGTATTTATTAAACATCTAAGGATCACTAGACGCATTTATATTCATTACAATTTCAATTTCATAATTTGGGATTTGAAGCGTTCAGACAATTTTTTTGTAATTATAATATAATAATTGTATTGTATTACAAATGAGTGCATTGGGATGAAAAGTTCGTTTTTTAAAATTTAAATCATAATAACATTCTCGCGCTCCAAAGTTAAATCAGCTTCACGTTTCGCGTCCTCCTCCGACCATTCCCCACACTTCTCCAGCACATCCGTGTCGCGTGGTGGTTCCGTCTGTTGAATTAATAGTAATAATTAAGTCTGTTCATACTCTTTAATCGTCATAGTTTACTTTACCTCGTTGTTGCCAGCCGCCAATTTGGTAAACATATTTGCATACAACTTCTTCTCTTTGTCCTTGTTTTGCTTTATCTTTTGCTTGCAGATAACAATGTGATTGGCAGCCGCCTTGTTGCCAGGCTCCAATTGTATCACCTGCAAATTGTAGGTAGTTAATGTCGTTTCTCCTATTCAAATATATATTTTACGCTTACTCTCTGAAAATCTTCCAATGCATCTTTCAGTTCATTTATAACCAGATTGCATTGTCCACGCCGATATAGAGCCTTCACATTGTTCACATCCAACTCCAGCACAGCATTACACTACAGAAATTGAAATGTTAATAGAGACTAGTCTTCTATACATTTAGTCATTCGGTGCGCACCTCTGTCTTGGCCTCGAAGTGATCGTTGGACTTCTGATGGCAAAGTGCGATGTTGCTGTGTACGGCCACTTTGAGTGCCTTGACCTCATCGCTGGTATTGTCCTTGATGCTAGGCAAAAGATTCTTGCATTTATTGTACATTTTAATGGCCAACTCAAAGTTATCTTTTTTGAAATAGTTGGTGCCCTTTTCCTTGTAGACCTTAGCCTCAGCCACGCGTTCGCTGTCACTCAACTTCCATTCCTTCAGACCTTTGCCGCAATCAATTAATTTCACGATATACTCAATAGTTGCGTTTGGTGGTATCTTAAAAGCTTCATTGCCCTTGGCGCCAAATGCATATTTTGATTGGATTTTGATTCTGTTAAGAATTTGATAACATAGATGAGTATTAGCAATTCGTTTCATCTAAGTTTATACTAGAAACATTTAAGCATATTATTACCATGGCAAAAAATTAAATTTTTAGTTGTGTCTATTAAATTCTATATCATTTGATGGGTATAGGTATAGATAGGGCTGAGGTATTTTATAGACAGTAGATAGATAGTTGTTTCATTTGTTTCAACTAACAGCTTCGTAAGCTATGTGAGAGAGCCTATACTAATATGGTTCATAGTTTATTTATACACACTTTGATGTTTCGCCAATATTCATTTTCTCCATAGCAAGTTCAAGCCCTTCGACTATGCCAATGGCGCTGCCCTCGCCATAATCAAATTCTACATTACGTTCCTCGAAAACACGACCATCGAAGCTTCCAGAAATGTGAGCTGAAATGTTCAAATCAAATGTGCAAATGTTCTAACCACAATACTGTGATAGCAGTGACCAACCCTTGACAAATGCACCGTCGCTTGGTGTTCGCTTCTTATCGCTTTGTTCCAGAATTGTTAGCTCGATACTGCCGTCTTGATTTGGACTGAGATCTTTACCTTTCCAGCCCAACATTTCCAACTTTAAGCAAACAAATCATATATATGTTGTGATAAAATTGATTTCGTTACTCCTCAAGTACCTCAAATATAAGTGTCGCATCTGGTGGAATACTTGGCGGGCTGCCAGCAGCGCCGTAAGCGTAGTTTGGAGCACATGTTAATATACAGCGTTCACCGAGCTTCATAGTGGCTGCACACATGTCAAAGCCTTTGATGCCTTTGATACAACATATATGTCAACGCAAGAAAAGAGGTTTTTAATTGAGCCTTGTTCTTACCTTTGCCCAATTCCAATTCGAATGGCTCATTGCGACCAACGCTCGAATCGAACTCGGTGCCGTCAACAAGTCTGCCGGTATAGTGAAGTGAAACCGTGCAGCCGTTGCTTGGTGTCTCGTTTCCGCTGCCCTCCTTAATAATTTCCTTGAGTACACCTCCATCGCCAGATAGGTCGAGTTTTTTGGTTTCTTCCGACATCTTTTAAGTTATAGTTTTGACTCTCTGAACAATACTAACCTGATCTGTGCTTATAAATTTCTCGCAAAATATCGAATTTTTGATCTATCGATGACACAGCTATTATTTTCTTATCGGGATATTTCGATATTAATTGGCCGATAGTTCCAATGATTACATCTCACATCACTGATAAAAGTTCACTTGTATCGGCTAATCGAAATTTGGTTCAATAACGGTTATACAAAAACAGTAGTTTCAAATTTGATTTTGTAAAGTTTTACATTTATTCGTTTGACTAAAATAAAACGACTATGTAAAAATTTTGAAATTTGTTAGGATTCTAAAATTGTGATCAACTGCAATCGTTTGATAATTTATACATATATCAATAGAAAGTATTTGCTTTCCATCTAAATTCTAGAATAGATAAGAATTATTGCTACAACGTATAAATAAACATATTTATTTTTTTCCCTAATTTTTGGACTGCAGATATTTGAATTTACATAAGCTTTACAGACCCTCGTCTCAAGTGTTATCGGCTATTCGATATACTCAGCTTGGCACTGTTAACTCGAAATCTTTTATATGCTTAAAATTCAATTTAGTTGGAGACATGAACAACTTTTCTATATCGATTCTTATCAGCAATACAAGATTATAATTGTATTCTATTTATTTGGGATCTCAAATGTTTATTAATAGTCTATGTAATTATCCCGCTGAACGCTCCTCGTAAGCTCCGATACAAACCGAATGACGTATGTAGTTCTCTAGCAGCTCCCACACGTGTAGTTCAATGCTCGATCGGTATCATCGTCAGTTGAAAATTGTAGCCCGCGCGAAGCGAAGCACGTAGGGAGAGCGCGACTTTCAACCGCTGAGCGGTGCACTCATTTTATTTAATTTAATTGACGCCTGTTGCTTTTGTTGTGTTTGTTGTGCTATTTGGTGGAGTGTTTCACTTCTGTACCGCGTTTATTGTAAATAAATTATAATTAACAAAATAAATATGCCAAATGCTAAAATAGTGCCAAGATTACAGAAAACAAAAAACCTTGTATAAGCAAAGTGAATGACAAAACAAAAACACGTTCGACAACAAAATGCGTAAAATAACAAAAATAATATATAAATGTCGCACACATACACTAGCACATATATAATAGGTAAACCATGTTGATAACGTCTTTGGATCATTGAAATTAAATTATAAACATTCCCAACAAAAATTTGAAATTGAACGAATAGAAACTATTATTTGGGACTCTGTGTGCACCTGCGTGCGTGCGTTTGGTCGTGCGTGCATAAACATTAAAAATTTATATTCGATATTTGCAAATTGGGCTTGTTTTGGTTGCTTTTGTTGTTGTTGTTACTGCTGCTGCTCTTGCTTAGCGGGTTTTACTGTTCGCTCGTCGACAGTCTTGTTCTCCGCTTGGCCTTTTATCGGTTCGCGCTCGCGTATTTAATTTGTGCACAGTTTCAATATTTATTGTCGGCGTGTTCCCTTTATAATTGCAAAAATAAAAACCTAAATAAACAAGACTCAGCGCTTCTCTTGCTGAATCGAAAGATAATAATGAGACATAAACGTGCATTTTATACATATGTATTTAAATTAAGCACACACAAGATGTTAGCAAATAATCGTTAACGTTGATAGCATAGTGTGCCAGAGTAATGTTGCACAGTGTTTTTTCTTCATTCACCGTCGAAAAGCTTAGCTCCGTTCCGTGGCTCAACAGCCGAAAAGCAAGCGAAAGTCTCAACGAGGCATTCGCAGCTCGTCATTATATTAACAAGTGTGCCGTTGTCAGACAGTGTGACGAACCCTATGAAAAGTGTGCATAAATATCGTTCAATTCAAAATGTGCCCAAAGTTAAAAGTATCTAAATAAGAAGCAATTAATTATCTAAATTTTTTGAATATATTATATATATATATATATATATATATATATATATATATATATATATATATCAATAATACGTCATATAAATATATATATATATATACTACATATATCTATTATATATATATACAAATAATGTACATTAAATATTTTTTAATCTTAAAAAGCAATGACGTATTATTGATTTACATATCAATACATTTTTACTTGATACCATTTATTTGAAGTATTACAAATGTTCAATCACATAATCAATTTAGTTCTGTTATAGTCCTACATTCATATATGTATGTATGTACATTGAACCACTGTTAACTATTAAAGCTTTGGAAGCAGCTTGATATTTGCTGGCGTGGACATCGCGCGCAATGAATATAAACAGTTACACAAACGAAAGTTTTCAAAGGGGGATGGCGATAAAACGGAATTGAAAATAGCAACAACAACAGTAGCTACAATATCAAGAGACGCGACTGAAAACAAAGAAGTAAAGGCTAAAGTTGCTCACGCTATGATGGTAGTTGTTGTTGTGGCTGTTGCTTGATGAGCCAAAGACAGAGACACTAGGCATATACCAGACACGGCTCCAAATCGAACAAAGACACAGTTGATGTCGCAACGGCAACGGCAAATCATTTTAAATATTGAAGCAATTGAAAAGCCCAGTCCAGTGTCGATGGTAGCAATTAACGGCAGCGACGACTACTGCAACCAGCATCAACATAACATCGAGCAGAATAGTGGCTGCAACAAATTGAAGTGAAGAATATCGCTAAGTGAAAACCACAATAACAACAACAACAACAAAAACAACAATAGCAATAGCAATAGCAATAGCAATAAAAGCAACATTGATGTACAAACAGTTACCAATACAGAAGAACTCAATCAACTCAATTTAAATTCATCGTCAACGTCGTCGTCGTCGTCGTTGTCGTCGTCGCAGTCGCAGTCGCTGGCGACCTCACTGGAGGCTGTGTCGGCAGCAACAACAACAACGCCATCAGCAGCAATAACACAATCATCAGCTTCATTCGTCATCATCGTCATAATAATCACCAAAGCTATTTTAGCTACAACAACTGTAAGTGAGATAGTGCGACAAAAGCAACAATTAGCAAGAGCAGGCACAACAAAAGCTTTAACAGCTGATTATGTCGCCAACGGCACTGGCATCGTGTGCTGCTGCGTCGTGCTCCACGTCTGCCAATAACGCCGCCTCAGTCACAGTCACAGCTACGGCTGCCACAGCAACAACAACAGCAGCGTCAGCAACTGTTCATTTACGTAAATCACATTCAACGCCGGCTCTCACATGTGATGGCAGCAACATTGCCGATAGCAACATTGTTGACAGCAACAAATGTTGCGGCAAAAATCCTGTAGAATCGGCCATAGAGGCTAGCAACATTGTCATTGAAGATGTTGCTGCGATCGCACACATCAAGCGACAGCAGCATGAACAATATGCACACGATAGCAACAAGTGCAACAATATTGATGCAACACAACCAACGACACCGGAATCATTACGTTTCGGCTGCACGCACTACAAGCGACGCGCCATGTTTGTGGTAAGTTGCTAAGCGATATAGAAGAACTTAATACGTTTTATAAATATATATTTAATATATATTATATAATAGAGCTCTGATATTGATCAGATAATTTCTCTGTCTGTCTCTTAATTAAAAAAACATTCAAATTCATTTTCGATTTGATTATCTTTTTATTATTATTATATAATAAAAAATATTTATTACTTCTTTAATTGAATTAAGCAACATTTCGTAAGGCGTGAAACGAATACCTATATATCTTTATATATACATACACACACACACATATATATATATATTTATAACTTTTTGCCTTAAATAAAGCAAGTGCATTTTCATATTTTAGCAATTAAATTAGTGAAATATTAAAAATCTAAAAATTAGCCATACTTTCGGTATTTTCGCCTTTCACCTAAAATAAGATATCATTGCTTACGTTCAACATGTGGCCAAATTTACGGAGGCGCCACACATCGCATTGTTGGCTTCTGGTTTTCATCGTCGTTTCGATCTTCCTGAAGTCGACTACAAATGAAAAACACTATGCATTACACACACAGATACAAGCAAATACACTCGCTCACACACTTAGTCAACATTTCTTTTCATGCGGATACATAATTTGGGTTCAATTGGAAGAATTAGTGTTTGTCTGTGAACAACAACATCAACAAACACAAAAGAAAATATATAGTATATAAAATAGAATAACAAAAGCAAAGCAACAAAAAAAATGAGAATCAAGCAAGTTAGAGTCGAGCATGCACGACTAAAAATATCCTAACGTGCCTGATGCTTCTGCTTGGATGTATCTAAACACACTTAAATGTAAACAATAAACTGATAAACACACTCTTGCCTAAATGTATCTAAGCATAGATACCCCCAAAGCACATGTGTACATAGACAGTTATCGATTACTGTTAGCTTGATTTGTGACTTCTGTAGAAGGCACAATCGATTCTGTAGCTCTTATAGTGGCTGAATCTCCCATCGAAAAGGTGTTTGTGTTTATTGCAGGGTATTGTCTAGTCGACTACTCTTCAACAGTGCATGCTGTATATTTTATTTGGGTGGTAATTGCTGCCGTCTAGCTTGCTCAACCAAATAAATTCGATTGCAGTTGTATCTAAGAAAGTGAGCGCCCACTTAGCACCTCTATTGATGCTGTCTAAATTACGAGCCTTTAGCTGTTTGCCTAAATTAAATATTAACACATATTGTTACTGCGAGCGCGTAAATAAAGGGCTAAAGCAATTGTCAATAAAATTTCTATTTTTAAGATTTGTATAAATTTGTTTCTCGATTTCTCATCCCATCCTTATGTTGTGTACTTTCGCTTCTCACATCCAGCTAGCTGAGACTTGAGGTTTTGCAAATAGATAAGAAAGTGGAACTAGAACAGAAGTTATTGGGTAGGGATCCGGGTAACTGCTAGTCGGCCACTCCTAACTAGAGCACTCTTACTTTAGTTTATTTTATTGCAACGCCCCAATAAAGGGATGGCACACAGAGAGACTTGTATCGACTTACAGTCTTTCAGTTGGAAGAACAGAAACGTTGACCTTCTCCTTAGATTGATTTAAAAATTTTAGCTACACTGTATTAAATTGAAATTAGCAAATATGAAAATATTACCTTTTCATACTTAACTCAACTGTTTGCAAAGATTTTGCCAATTGCAATGGATGCGAAAAGATCTGAAAGCTTTCTACAATAAATTGCAATAGAATTTGATTCGCAATTAAAAATTATGATTGTGGGAAAATCAAAGAAACCGGCTTTTGAGGTACTTTACTTTTTAAAGCAAGCTTGTTTTTTTTTTCCCCCATTTATTCATTTTTATTTACACAAATTACGCAAGAATACGAAATAGTTGAATTTTAATGATGCGTTGAATGTTGTATGCTCTACAAAGCAGCAGCTGGGAATAAATGGAAATTGAAATTGAAATTAAAACACAAAAACAAGTAAGAGTTCTCAGCGGAGAGTGTCCGACTAAAATATGCCTTGATCAGTCACGATTTCAGTCACTCAGATGTGGAAAGTCGGCAGAGGCACTTAAAATCCGAAATATTTAAGATCTGTGTACTCTATGGATTGTTGATTAATAATATGTTATTGGCATGAGTTAACTAAATATATATATCTATATCATGCACTTCGCTAGGTCGACTTAGCTTTTCGTACTGATCAAGAATATGTGTAATGTGGGGGATCTGCTACGCCTTCTGCTGTCACATTCTTATATACCCAGAATTCTCTTCTTCAATTTATTTTGGAGTTTTTGGAATTCTGTTTCACTTAACTAGAGTTGAAGAAGTGTTTCTTAAATACAATATATTATTAAATGAGTTCGTGTTTAAGATAAAAGTAATCGAATACTTTTCGACTGCAAAATTTTCCAAACTTTGAGTTGAAAATCTTGTCAAGTTTTTCAGAATTATTAAGAAACCTTATGATCATCCCGATTGGATTAGTTACAGGGGCGTGTCAAATTGTTTTGGAGGTCGAGAAACCAGATTGCCAATGGGAGCTTGGCAATGTACTGAATATTTTTATTGTCCAAATTTTTTATATATATATATATTTTTTTTTTGGCGATTTTCAAACATTTATGTAGGAAATGAGCGTGTTTAGCTAAAAAATTAGCGGGCATCTAATGAAGCGACGCCTTTGCCACAAATTGGCCAGAGACACCGCCGCCGTCGCCGCCTGTCTTTGATTTCAAATCCAGATTCAGTTTCAGTTTCAGTTTGATTTAATTAGGGTTTATGACCCGCCAAATTGAGTTGCGTCTGCAATGTTTATGACAATGCTAACTGCCATAGTCCAAGCCGAGTCGAATACGAATCCGATATCAAAATAAATCAAATCGTTTCGGAACATTTCGTCACGTACTCACGTACGAAACTCTCTTTCCGCTTTCCATGGTTGCCTGCTTCGAATGCGAACTCGAATTGAATATCACTTAATATGCCAACCATCCTTATACTAAGTTCAGAGCGCTTAGCTTGAATAGAAGAAATCAATAGAAATAGAGATAGGGATAAAGATAGAGCTAGAGGTAGGGATAGAGATAGAGATAGAGATAGAGATAGAGATAGAGATAGAGATAGAGATAGAGATAGAGATAGAGATAGAGATAGAGATAGAGATAGAGATAGAGATAGAGATAGAGATAGAGATAGAGATAGAGATAGAGATAGAGATAGAGATAGAGATAGAGATAGAGATAGAGATAGAGATAGAGATAGAGATAGAGATAGAGATAGAGATAGAGATAGAGATAGAGATAGAGATAGAGATAGAGATAGAGATAGAGATAGAGATAGAGATAGAGATAGAGATAGAGATAGAGATAGGGATATAGATAGAGATAGAGATAGAGATAGAGATAGAGATAGAGATAGAGATAGAGATAGAGATAGATTTCAGTTTGTGAACGAGTATGGATAGAGCTCTCAGCGGAGTATTCTTCTAGTTTTTAGTTTAATATTAAAATCACATTTATCGATTATAAATTCAAATATAAATCAATACCTTTTAATATTTTTTCTATATTCATAAATTGAAGTTGTGATATCTTCCTATAGATGCTACTTAACTAATATATACATAAATTTATTTATAATATATTATTTATGCAAATAAATATACCCTGTATATATATTTTGCAGACACCCTGTTGCGATAAGTTTTACAAGTGTCGCTTTTGCCATGATGAGAACGAGTCGCATCACTTCGACCGTAAGACTCTAACGGAACTCATTTGCTCTGAGTGCAATACGCGGCAGAAGGTGCAGGAGCAGTGCGAGAAGTGCGGCGTGCGCTTTGGCAAGGTAAGTGCTGAGCTCTCTTTCTGCCTCCGTGAATACTTGCTTATAGATGCTGTTCCTTCCAGTACACTTGCCTCATTTGCAATCTGTTTGATGATTCGGATAAGCAGCAATATCATTGTCATGGCTGTGGCATTTGCCGCATTGGCGGCGCTCACAATTTCTTTCACTGCGAAGTGTGCAACATGTGTCTGCCCATGCAGCTGAAGATCGATGGACATAGGGTAAGTAGTAGACAGACTATAAACTGGAGAACGTCTTAGTCAACTCATATACAATCAATATGAAAGACGATGATCCCCTAATGAATATGTATTTTGGATCAGCGTAAGTGGGCAAAACATAACTTCAAATCGTACTTAATTTTTTTCATTTTCGTAAAAACTTCAATATTGTGAGCATATCTGAAATAGATTGAAAGGCCCCAAGTATTACGCAGTCGGTGCCACCAATATATGTTAGTTTAGCTTAACAAAATAGTTGAGTTAGAATAATAAAATTATTCGAGTCGGACTTTGCCTTTTGCTACCCTTGATGCTGATGGCAAAGTTGAATATATGTGCATAAATAGTTTGTAGATCATTAGATGAGACATTAGCCTTGGCTATTGAGCTTTGTGCAGAATCATGGTCCAAAACTGGTTTCCTAATCGCTAAAGGTTTTTGAGCTTGATTCCACATCCAGTTAATGGCATAAATTGTCAAATTTTATAAGTTGAATAATCGGTAAACAGGTACCGCTATAAAAAATCAAACCGGTAATAATTAAAGATAATAATTTATGTTAGGAGAAAGACATCAAAAAACGCTTATGATGGGAGTCCCCGACTGAGAGATGCCCATGTGCTCGGGCAGGACAGCTGCCAATATTTTGTTCGACTAACGAACACTCCAGATACAAACTCGAGATAAGTTTAGATCTATATATAAAAAGAATAAAGGAATACGAATTGGAATACTTATAAACAAAAGAATATATATTTCCAACTTTATGTCTCTAACTTTTAGAGTCTTCGAGATCGATGTGTTTAGGTAGACGTTCGTGCTTAATGTTTGAACACGTTTCCATCTGTTTGTTACATGTATTTGCATAGCATTAATATACCTTTACGATTCAGTTTTTATGAGTTGACGATTTGAAATGGGGAAATACCTTTTGGTTTGCTTTTACTTTGCAGTGCGTCGAAAACATTTCGCGATCGCATTGCCCCGTCTGTCTGGGCGATATACACACCTCGCGCATTCCATGCCACATTCCGGACTGCGGGCACTTGCTGCACAAGATGTGCTTCGATCAGCTGCTGGCGTCGGGTCACTACACCTGCCCCACCTGCCAAACGTCGCTGATTGACATGACGGCGCTGTGGGAGTATCTGGATGCGCAGGCGCTGCGCATGCCCGTTCCGCTCAAGTACGAGAATCAGCGTGTGCACATCTTTTGCAACGATTGCCACAAGGTAGGACTGCTCGCATCCAAAGATCTTACTCCACGTTGAACCACATCTATATTGTGTATACTGTTCGCTTGCAGACTTCTAAAACCAAATTCCATTTCATTGGGCTCAAGTGCGTGCATTGCGGTGCCTATAACACCACACAGGATGTGAAGCGTCGCCTCTCGCTGGTCACCGATGAGCCAAGCACGGCCTGACACTTGCTTTTGCCACGGCCCCAGCGCTATTGGGTGGATTCAGTCGTAATCGCAACAGGAAATCTCTTGCCATGCTCCACATTTGAAGAAACTAAATTTATGAAACTGAAATCGAAACGCATTGAATTTAGACCAAATTCGAGCTGGTATCGAATATAAATTAAACAACAAAAAACACAAAAAAAAAAAAAAACAAAACAAAAAGAACATTTACAAAGTCAACCAAGAAACATATTTTGTATGCGGTTTTAGTATTTTTTGATATTTAGTAAATTTGCATTCAGTAGAAGAAATGATAATACAAAAATTATTTACACTCGAATTTTATTATATATTTTGCTTGTATTTACCAAATCCTATGTACATCTCGAATTTTCCTTTTCCAATTTGCATAGATCAATATCAATCTCAATCTCAATCTGTTGTTAAAGATTAAAAACATTTTTAAGTTTTGACAATAAATATATAGAAGAAAGGAAGGACTTTAGTCAGTTAAGCCTGTATTTTAATTTTAAAATATATAATCTTTTCCAAAAAATAGTTCCGAAATCTTTAAATAAATTTTTATATAAATAATATAATTGTTTTTTATGGACTTCAGTGAATATGTTTATAGTTATCTGTGAAAAATTTAAGATAGTGCTATATATATCATATTATTCTTCTATTTGGACTTCAGTTGTACATGAACAAAATCTTAATAACATTGGGTAACTTTTTCATATAGCTTTTTAAATTATAGAATCCCTCGATTGTATGTAAAAGGTTTTATATACTGAAAAGAAATTTTAGTTTAATTTCTGCTATTTTTTTAAGCTCTACTATTGCATCATAGTAAAGCTCATTATAATGTATTATGGTTCGAATATTTAGAATTATATTTACAATCAGCCAATCTTTCTACAATGCTATATGGCTCCTTCAGGAACTTGTTCGTCAATTAAGCTTTTTTCTATAATTTGATATCATCTACAATCATCAATCATTTTCTTTTATTTTATTTTAGATATAGCAAAATATGTAGGTAATAAAACTGACTTTAAACGAAACTTTGAACTCTTTAGGTTAAATTATAATTGTTTCAGTTAAAACATGAATAAAATACAGTTTACTTTTATGCTTTCTGGTACCCTCAACCTGTAAATAGGTTAAAAATAACATTGGATATTTGCAACTGTCAGAAGACTTCTCTGCTTCCATAAACTATACATTATGCACAATATTTAATTATTTGTATTTTTTATATATAAATTGTATACAGCATTAAATACAGTTTTCGTATAGTGTTTGCAGACTACGAATATTTTAACTTTTTCATTAAGTATTTTCTCTTATCTAGCCACACAAGTAGATGTTTTTGTTTTTCACAATTGTTTAGAAATAAATCAAAATCATAGTTTTAAAATCTATATTCCTCGAGAATATAAACTTCGAGAGATATATCATAAAAGAAATTCTTACTGCATATGTTTAAAAAATACGAACTTTATCTTAAATAGTGGCCAAGACTTAGCTTGTTGTCCAGATTATGAATATATTTACTTTATAGGATAGGGCTTTCTAATATTGCTAAGTAAACTTTTTTCTTGCTTTCGATATTTTAGTTGGGCATCCACATTGGTGCTCGCTTAGTTCCTTAAATTTCGTTGCACCGATGTAGAAGAAAATCATTATGGTGTACATAAACATTTGACTAAGAATCTATAAATTTATATAGAAATGGAACACGGATAGTTGCAGTCTTTCACTGCAGAATAAATGTGTTTGGCTGCTGAGCTGTGGAAATCTCTTACTGCGCCTTTTGTTTGGCTGCGCTGGGATCCCCAGCGGATGCAGTGGAATCCGCAGCACGTTTTGCTTTGCGCTCAGCCGACTTCTTTAGCTTTGTGAGGTACAGACCCACGATAACCAGAAGGGCCCAGGTGATGTAGCCAATGTGATAGACGGAACTATAGAAGCGCCAAATGCTATCGAAGGAGGATAGCAAGAATGCTGTGCCCAGATAGCTGAAGCCAAACCACTTGCATATCCAAAAGATAACATCAATAACGGTGCGACGCATGCCAACAGCATCCTTGCGAACTAGCTTGTGCCATGTATCCTCCATTATTACATAGAAAGGTGCGCCCATAATGCAGAAATAGTGTCCAGGCCGGAAGCCATGCCAATACGCGGAACAGAGGAAAATGGCACCCGTTCTGAAATTGGCAACAATATTCAATATTATAATTATCTTTGTGGAGTTTGTGACACTCACCTGTATTTCTTGATGGGAAACAGTTTATACACATTCACCGCTAGCCAATATTGCACGCAGACATTCCAATGCTTCATGCCTTCACGGAAAGTCCAGCAGCGCTCTACATCTAGCACTCGTGTGTTAACAATTGTTGTGAAATTATAGCTATGCTTCTCCGGATCCTTTGCCATATCCTGGTACAGCTTTCGTGGTCCCTCCCCATTGTTGGTATCCGCATCATCTGGATACGCTCCAAATCCGGCCATTGTACAGACACATTCGCTTAGCGTCAGCCCCGTGTAGATGCGTGCGCGGAAAATAAAGAACGTGGGCCACACGTACAACACCCGATAGAGAACGGATCGATCATTGTAGAACTCATCGCTCAATGCATACTGAATTTGATAGATTTTAATTTAATTTATTAATGACTTATAGTTTCTTTTACTGTTATTACTCACGTCTAGTGGCCACATGTAGTTGGCCAACAAATAAAGACTGCAGTAGAAGACGGCTGCCTTCAGTTGCTCGATGGTTGCCTGCACGCAAGGCGCATGATCCTTGAAAGGCATTTGAAAGTAATCTCGATATGTTCGATAGCGATAATAGGGACCTGTAAGACAGAATATCAAATATGTATACTAATTTTAACTAGAGAAAAAACATTTATGTCTGTTATTTAACTATAGCATTACGAGAAATATTGATACCAATTTAAAGTCCCTAAAGTCTAACTTATGAAGCTTATAAGCTCATAAGGTTTGGCACCCGGCAAGGCATAAAAATGTATATGAAGTCAACTCAATGCAGTAATTTAAGAGTTACATTAATATAATATATGAATATATAAATGACTATTTTTTTTTTAATTTTATAATAGATTAATATGAGTTTTATAAGCTTAAAATTTTTGAAACCAAAAGTTTCACATAAATTTTATAATGTAACCAATATCTATATAGGCAATTTATTATAGATTAAACTTGCTATAAATACTTTTAAAGATGTTCATATTTTCCTAACTCAGTTGCAGTTTTCATTTATTATTTATAAATAAAAACACATGCTGAGTTTGCATTTAGATAAGACGTTCAAAGCATATGTACAACGATTATTGGCGTATAATGATAACCATCCGTAACATTTTTACTATCTGTAAAAATGCAAACACTTGGACTTTGACACAACGACAACTTGTTCAATTGTGCGGGCAAGCAAGTTGAAGACACATTTGCATACATAGAAATTAGCCAATTTATGTGCAACTACAGTGAAGGTACTAATAATGTACAGCTGTGAGCTTGTACTGTGCTAAGAAAGACATGCATATATTATTCATTTGAACTGTTCACTGACCTGTGAGCACGCCAACGTAATTAAAGCTATAAAGCACAATCTCCGTAGCACTAAGCTGCTGCAAGCTTAAATCGTAGCTTGTAACATTCAGATTGGGATCGCTATTGGCATTATCCTGGTCATTGTTGACCCGTTCATCTTGAGCTCGAATACGCTTCCAGGCTGCAGTTTTCTCAAATGCAATGCCGGATACCTGAGCAAACAGTTAGTAGCTTCTCATGTCTGAGTCAATAATTGTTATGTAACTAACCTTGAGTGTAAGTAACATTTGTATCATATTTGTTGGCCCAGGCACAGCAGGCAGACCGAAGAGATAAACGAGCCGGAAGAACACCAAATAGCCAAACATTACAACAAAAGTAATTACATGGCAGTTGCTGGAATTATGATTATATATTAATGTATGAATATTAGAAATCAATTGATGTAAAGTGAACTTACCTAGGATGCACTAAGAGCACACTGGCTGTGCCCAAGCCGACGGAAATGGCGCAGTGCAGGCTATGGAAGCCCGAGACAACAACAACGACAATGAGGCCCAGCATGGAACATACGTATTTGCGTTGCGTCTCATCGCGCACCTTTCGCACATAGCTACCAGCAGCAATGCAGGCCAGAAGGCATAATACGTATATTACGTCGTCTACATTCATTTTATTGATTTGTTTTAGCCGCGACTGCGGCTTTCTTCCCAGCAGGCAATTTGATCTTTGTTATTAATAACGCATGCAATACAATGCAGTATCTATCGATAGTGTATCGATATGTTTTGGTGCTGCCACCTATTACAAAAACATAAATGGTGTTGATGCAAAGCTGACTGATATGAAATAAAATGTCAAAATACGTTACTTTTTTGATGATTTTGCACATTTAAAAATTATTATTATTATTACTATATTTTCTTATTATGTTATGTGCATGGATTTATTTTTTTACTTAGTTAGCAAATTAAGCGCAGTTTTCCACGAAAAGCTTATTTTCTATGGCATTTATTATTTAATACGTTTTTATATAAGTTTCTAAAACTGAGTGAGATCTATACCATATATATTGGCCATAGAAATAACTTGGGAATATAATGAAAGAATCAAATGAACATTTAATTGTTAACAGTAGTCATTAAAAAACAGTTACTCATTAAATAACAATTAAAGATATTAACTATGACGATATAATGATGACAAATATGGAAGTTACGTGAATTCTGGAAAAAAAACAATTTAATTTAAAGACGTTAACAAAGGCACGCATCGTTCAAACCATTTTAAGCTAGACTAAATGTGTTATTGAACTAAATCTTAACCTCAATTACAACTGTGCCATTTAGTTAATAAAAGTAATGCATAATGCATAGCCTTATCTCTGAACAATATAATATAAAACGCCCGAAATCAATTACAGAAATTCCCATACGTCATCAAAGCGAGACTCTTAAAAGTTCAAAGCAGTTATGGGTGTCTATATGCATACATATAAACATATTTAGAACCGGTAGTCAATGCACGCTGAGAGTTGCTAGTGGGAAACGCGTGCCGTGGGCAATGCCAGTCCGCTTGAACGTCGATAGCTAATCATTGCGTCTGGCTACAGGTTGTGCAGTGGGGAAAATGGCAAAGCTGTTGAGATTCTGTTTGATTAACAAGTTGCTAGTGTCAGTCACCCATATAGAACATATATAAGAAGCGTGTGAACTGATCGTAAGCAACAGAGTCTAATAGTCGCTACACTAGTGCAGCAGGTCAGATTTAGAGCTGATTGAGCCAATATGAACTTGCAATCATTAGTCGTCTCGCTGCTGCTGCTAACTGCAGTCTATGGTAAGTAGTTTACCTTAGGAAATTGCCAGTATCCCTAATCCTGATCTCTCTCATGACAGCACAGAGCAATAACGATCTCGCTGAAAACTATGAAGCTGAGATGGACGAGTTTATGGACCTGGTGCCCGATCCCGAGGAGTTGGACTTTGAGAGTCGCGGCAACTTTGACGAAGCAGAGCCCGATGATTTGCTGTCCTCACTGGAGGCGGACGAGTACGAGGGTGCCGAGCATTGTGAGTGGAATAAGTGCGACAATGATCTGAGCGAGCCGCGCGGCATTGGCAGCTTTCTGGATTTGTCGTTCCTCAAGAAAATCGCCGTCAACCTGAATCCCTTTGGCACGCCTCGGCATCGCATGCAATTCTATTTGTTCAAGCGCGAGTTTCCCGAGTGCGGACGTGAGCTGGACTACCACAATGAGCAGAAATGGCGGCATGCCGGCTTCAATAGCTCCCTGCCCACGCGGCTCATCGTGCACGGCTGGATGAGCCAGTCGCGTGGCTCCTTCAACAGGGACGTGAAGAATGCCTACTTGAAGCACGGCGACTACAATGTGATTGTGGTCGATTGGAGCGCCAGTTCGGCCAACATCAACTACTTCTCGGTGGTGAAGCTAATCGAGGAGATGGGTGCCCAGCTCGTGCAGTTCACACGCGAGCTGCATCGCCAGTTCAATGCACGCTACGATGACATCTACTTGATCGGTCACTCACTGGGCGCTCAGATTGCCGGCGCAGCGGGCAAATATCTCAAGCCGGAGCAGTACAATACAATCTTCGCCCTGGACCCGGCTGGACCCAAGTTCCGCCATCGCAGTGCTCAGTTCCGCATCGATGCCAGCGATGCCAAGTATGTGGAGTCCATGCACACCAGCGGCAACTTTGGCTTCCTCAAGCCCACGGGCAGCGCCACCTTCTATCCGAACTATGGACTCTATCAGCGCAACTGCTTCTATCTGGGCTGCTCCCACATACGCGCCTATCAAATGTTTGCCGAGTCCATCAATTCAGCCAGCGGCTTCTGGGGCACGCCCTGCAAGCGCGACGGTCGCAAGTGGCAGTGTGACCAGCGCCAGCGACAATCGCATCGCATGGGCGGGGAGCCCTCTGTGCCCAAGGCGGGCATCTTCTACGTGAAGACCTCCTCTAGCGATCCCTTCGCTCTGGGCAGATGAAGCTGTGGAATGAATTCCAATTAAGCTGCCAATTGCTAGGTAATTAAGTTTAAATAAAGACCAAATAGATAACTTTTATAATAAAATTATGTTTAACTGTTCAATCAAGATCAAGGAAGTTGAGCATAATCGAAATATGCTTGAATACAATTTCAATTCTTATCTATCAAATCATCTATTTATCCAATATGATATATATAGATAGAAATAATGAACACACTGAAGAGTCTATCAGTCAGTCAATCAATTAGTCAATAAGTCCATCAGTCAGCAAGTCAATAAGTCAGACAGTATCAGTTAGTCAATCAGTACGACAATTTCAGTCAGTCAATTAGCTAATTATATAGTCAATCAGTCAGTTGGAGGTCAGTCAATCACTTAGTTAATCAGATCGTCAATCAAGCAGACAATCGTTGGATAGTCGTCAGTCGATCAATCAGCTAATCGTCAATTAAGTGAATCAATTGATGAATAAATGTGTCAATCAGATAGTCAAGCAATGCCTTAATGAGTAAGCCAAGTGAGTCAATCAATCTGTACATCAGTCAAGCAATCATTAGTTAAGGACACATTTAATCATCAGTACGTGAGCCTATCACTCAATATCTGTCATTCATTCAGTCAATCGCTAGCAAGTCAGTCAGTCAATCGTCAGTCAGACAATCGCTAGTGCTTCAATCATTCAATCTAACTTGGCGCAGCTTTTATCTGTCTAGCTGAACGCAGTCTGCGTTGATCTGAAACCTGACTGATCAATAAAGTGTCCTGCCCTTACGATTGCCTCTTGCAATGCGAAATATTGCAATTTTTTTAATGTCTTGAGCGAAATTTAATTAAAGACATATAGTTGAGCAGCTGCTGGTGCTGGAGTGGGTGTCCTTAGGGCTAGGAGCAGGCTGCGATTTGGAGCGCATGCAAATTGGTCTGGGCAATTCAATCTTTGGATCTGTGAAATATATACGCGACTCGTGCTCGGCGCTAATTGCAGCAGATAAATACGCCGTGGAGCCCATAATTACGACAGACAGATTACGAGGCGCACTTAATTGTCGACCGTAAAGTGTTTGCCGTATCTGCGAGGCAGCGCCAGCGCCAGCGCCAACGTAATCCTCAAGCAAGCAACTAGCTCGATTTTAATTATTCGACTAACTGCACCTTCTGCATATTCATTGGCTCCACTGTGGGGGCGGCTGCAGGCTCTGGCGCTAGATGGCAACATTTTGATTTCCATTATGGGCAATTTTTTTGACAAAAACTTTTCGCTTGCACTGCGGCTGAGGCGATAAGACGTTCGAATGTGTTAAGCGATGGCCAACGAAATGGACTCATAATTGGAAAATGTTTAGCTAGAGTTCATAAAGTTAAGAGCTGTTTCCAAAGAGTTTTCTGTTTCTATATGAAAGATCTTTCGGAAGAGTTTGGTTTCTGAATTGGAGGAGAGTTAAGAACAGTTCACAAAGAGTTACACATTTCTATATGAAAGATCCTTGAGAGGGCTTACTGCTTCATACATGGCAGATAGTTATGAGCATTTATAAGGAAAAACCTTGTTTCCCATTTCGAGAAAAGGTTCTAAATTAAACTGGCCATGACATCAATTCGGAGCTAGGTCGCCTTTCCGTTCAGCAAGTTGGAGTCAGTTGTACATTACGTTTCGGACAGAATAGAGCCAAAAAAATATTTATGTTTAGAGATCTGTAGGGGTTTTTATCAAAATTTTTTTATTTAAATTTTCTGTACAATAAAACTGAAAAAGAACAGTAAAAATTTGTAAAATAATTCGAATTAGGAAAAATAACGGAATAACAAATTGAGATATGGATTTTGGACAGGGCAATGGCGGTGGTCAGTACCAGTCAATGGAAGGTTATGGCATGTCTTCCCCTGACGGCCATTCACCAGAGATGGGCCAAGATTACATGCAGTCTCGTGGCGGTTATGGCAGCGGAATGCAGTCCTATGACGATTCCAGAAACTGCCAGAGTGGCTCGGCTTCCTTTGGCGGTCCCGGCTACCGCAGCCCACTTCGTTATACGAAAGTCTTGAGAGAAATGAATTCACGCAATGGCCTCTAGTGAGTAGCCCGATAATGATATAACTATGAACGTTTCCCCATCTCTTAACCTGCAATGCAGCTCACCCACGGAGCAGCGCTCGGGTCGTGGCAATGGCGACTACTACAACTCGCTGCCAGGCGTTGGCGGTGCCGAGGGTCAAATGTATGGTCAGGCCCGTCAAGGTGGAAATCCCTATTACTCCTAGTCCTCGTTTGGATTTGACTCTTGTTATCTTTGACTTATAGTAAAAATAAAGTGCTCGGATGTCAGGATTAAAGTTATATTTATTGTTTCGTTCTTTGCAATTGTGCTCCTTAGGAGGTGGCCTAGCCGTGGAGGTGGCTTCCTTAGAGTATTTAAAAGAGAATGTTCATACTTTAATTTCCATTCATTGGGTAGCTTTTCTATGGAATGTCTTGATTCTAGACTCCATATAGCTGCATTTTACATAAATTTAATATATATTTCCAAATATCATCACCCTTGCCTTGCTTCTCCCTTTCTTTGTTCTGCCTGAAGTGAACGAAATGTTTTGTGTTTCCTCAGTGTTTGAGTTCTGCTCTACGGAAGTGGAGCTTAAATTTTAAATTTTTTCGGCCTTTTCAGTTCTAAATTAAAATATTTGAAGTATGTGTAATGGATGCGGAAGGGTGCCGGCGCCGCCGCAATTTTTCATAAGCAGCGCGAATTTTCGCTACGTCATGCGGGAAAGGAAGCGAGAGAGGGAGCGGCACCTGCGCAATGGCTTAAATGAGTATGTTTATTTATATATATCTAAATATTCACTAGATTCTATAACAATTCTCTGATCCATATCTATAGTCCACCTTGCTGTAAGCCAGCCTGCGGTTGTGGCGCGTGCTATGGATGTTGTTGAACTGAGACTGAAACCTGTGTCTTATATGGAACTTTGCTTTAAAGATATGAATGATGAAGTCTCTGATAAACAGCTAAGCTCATTCAGCTGCAATTCAATTCATTTAAAACTTTTAAAATTGCTGCAATAAAGTATCTATATACGTTCGTCATAAATATGCTCTCACTTCTTATACAGGAGATGTTTTTAAAGTATCATAATTTTAAATAATAATAATATATAATATAAATAATACAAAGAAATATGTATTTGCTATCAATATGTTTATTGGTCAAAAACTAATTGACATTTATGCTTAAAGATGACTTAAGCCATGTGGTTTAAGTGTATCAATAAATGTCTAAAGAGCTTGGTAAGTTTGACAAACAGAACTCTTATTTTGTTATTAAATTTTAGCTACTTGCAAGCGTTGTTTTAATGTACATTTATCAATGATAAAATGGCAAGCATAACTCTGCAAAAAGGAGCTATCAAATTTTAAATACGTTGTCAAATAAAGCTGTGCTAACCACTCAAAGTTGTAGGCCTCTAAAATAAACATGGAATTGTATGTGTTGTCTCAATGCCTTAAGCTTTATGAACAGTTAACAACGCAACAGCAACAATAGATTAGTTATATTTGAATATGAGCTAACTCTTACTACTACTATATATCTTGAGTCAAATCTGGACTACTCTTGGCTCTCAGCAAGTTTGTTGTAGTAAAGAGACCTAGCAGACTACCTAGAGCATACAAATTCTTGACCGAGGAACAACTAGCTTAGTTGATCTCGCCATGTCCGTCATTATATTCACAGATGCTACAAGCTGAATTTGTTAATTTATATTCCTATATACCATACGCAGTATATGTTGATCATACTTTTTGCGATAACCCATTCGAACATTTAAGTATGGTTTTTAAGCCAGAGTTCAAATTGTTTATTGTTTAGCTAACGCATCGATAATAATCGATCACATTTTTATGATTTTTTAACGTAGCTTGAGGCCGGAATTCAAACTATCTGTAATGATCTATAATGAGATACCTTCTGCACTTTGCAAAATTCAGAGGGAAAGGAGTCTTAGCTGGAAGTTGCTAAAGACGCGTTCATCAGAGATTTGAAAAAGGTAAGACTTAAGACTAAATATATGAATATAACTCTTCAACCGATTACCTTTAAGGCATTACCTCATCTTAAGGCATTAACTCATCTAAAGATAACTGCTTCATATACACTATACTATTTACTACTATTACTCCTTAGAGTGTTTTCTTTCAAATCTAGTTGGCATTTAAGCATTCGAAGTTGTCTTACGACTTTTCAGTTTTTCAGTTTTCATTCGTTCAGAACATTTTCTTTTACTACAATCTAAAATTAGACCTAAAAATTTTTTTTTTGGCAGAGGCGATATTTATTAACGGTATAATCCAGGATCAGTCTAGTAATTGTATAATATGGATTACTTTGAGAATGCACAAATCGGTGGCTATCGCATTGAAATGCCGTTCCCCCAGCTTTTTTATCCCGAAGTAAGCTCGGCAGACGTTTTTTTTCAGTATTTTAATTTCTTTTTCGTTTTCTTTTCGAATTTTCCGTTAGATGAATTCCGTTAATAAAAGCTTTGACCAAACGGCTATTCCGAATATTGGCAGCTGTGGAATCCAAAGTGATTTTTATGATAGCGGCGTTAAGCCGAATATGGAGCATCAAATAGGGAACATGTCTAACGTCAACTATGGCCATCGTCATGTGTCAAATAACCCCTTTTCCTATCGGTGTGTGCAGCGTGAGAGCCGAAGAGCTCGTGAGAGGCGAGCCCGCAACGGCTTGTAGTAAGTATTCACAATTTGCATCTACAGAACTCTATGTAAACCTAAGTCCGGTCTCTTCACAGTAGCCCAATCGAGGGATATGACAAGCAGAGCGAGTATCCAGAGTACACTGGAGGTATGTGCTTGAAAATACGATGAAAGCCCAACTAAACTTCCACCTCCCTCCCTCCCTTCTCTCCTTGTTTCTTCCTCCAGATCCCATGGGTCAGTCGGTTACAGTCAACTCCCTTTGGCAGTAAAGGACGTACTCGATGTCACAATTGTAAATATTCATAAATATAAGCTGCGTATTGCTTAGAAGATATTTTTGTAGTAACAAGTGGACTTCATATTACTTGCTCATTAGAAAAGTGAATGGATCATGTAAATAGTTGAAAATTCTAAGCGCATTTTTCATATTACCGCCCAAATTGTCAAAAATTTTCAAATTTTAAAAATTTAAAATTAATTAAAAATTTATTTAAATTAATGTAATGATAGCGTATATATTTATGTATAGATATATACATTATATTCATATATCTGAGCTATATCTTTCATGTGGATGGAGTCTATAGCCTTACCAGATTAGTTTAGTCTATGATCCTTAAAAACGGTTAAGCGAAGGTTGTCTGTATATATTGACAAGGATGATCTTTCATATAGTACCCAAGAAAGGGTTCTATAATTTAAAGATTTTATATTGAATAGAATTTTTGAAATACTTTTGGCAAGTAGAGCTAAGCCACATGTCTGCAAGGGTATATGATCTTCGCCATTTGGGTATTTCCGTTTTCTGGTTTTGCCTTTTTTGCTATTCGAAATCAGACGAGTCGCTATGGAGATAGGAGTTCCGGGTTCGAGAAGTGAGGTTGGAGCTGCTGTGGGGGGTAATTAACGTGTGTTTTATGGCCATTTGCCACAGCATAGAAACTCACGCAGTTGGCAGGCGCTGTGGATGGAGCTCAAGGCGCAACCCAACCAACCCCTGCCGCCCCCGAAGCCAGCAGAATGCAATGAAGGATTAAAATAAGAAAGATGTGCAAATAAAATATTTTACAAACGGACAACGAGGACAACTTTTGCAGCCGGTAGGCAACGCCACGTGATGTGGGATGGCTTTGTGACCATTCGGAACACGGCTGAGGGATGGGGGACGGTCCGAAATGCGAATGGAACATGTCGATGGGACACGAGCAATGGGACCTGGACGCAAACAAAGGCAACCGGACTTGGCCTCCGACTCGCTCTTGCGACTCTCCCTCTCTCTCTCGTTTCTCTCTCTGTCTCTCTTCGTGTGCACTGCATGGAGCATTGTCAAAATAAATCAATCGGTTTTATGTTGTTTCTGGAATTTTTGTTTGCTGTTTTGTTACTTTGTTGTCGACGTCAGGAAGCGGCTGCAGAGGGTTGCAAGTGGTGCAAGTGGTGCAATTGGCTGCCAGCAGCGCCAGCTTGTGGTGGCATAAATCAGTTGGTCGTTGGACGCATTTATGAAAGGATAACAACACACACACACACACACAACGGACACACGTAGCTCAAGCTCATAAAAATGCATAAGTTAAAAATGCTGTAAATAAAAATACAAGTTTTCTATAGGAAAAACCCTAAGCCGGCCCCGCCCACTGATCCGCTGCTCCACTTTGATTTATCTCGAAGGGAATTAAGATGTCTCAAAAGTTGCAGCGGGCAACATTAAAATGCCATTGCTGGCATCATCAGAGGCAGTCATAATCGTTCACGCATCCTTCAGCACCATGCAGCGGGGTCAGAGGTCAGGCAGGCAGTCGGTTGGGCACAGAAAGTTTTTGCTGCTGCTGCGTTTTCTTTGGCTCGTTTTGCAGAGCGTCCAAAGTGATTTCCTTTTAGTATTTTCAAAAACTTTCACCCAAAGGTGCTTACTCACACACACGCACACACGCACACACATTATAGACATGTCCAAGTCCCTTGCAATGGCACTCGACACTCTAATGAAGCAAATTCCGTAGCGCATTTGCGTCCTTAGCCGCAACTCTTTTAATCCCTAATAACTTTTAAGCAAGTGACTTTGCGCACACAAAATGTCCAAATTCATCAGCCTCACGGAACGTGTGCAGAGTGCCGGAGCTTTCGCCTTGGATGGCAAGACCTGGACAGAGGGATTTCTGCTTTCATGTTGAGCCCAAGGACTTAGAGCGAAAGTTAACTTCACACACACGCACACACACACACATGCACACACACATGCTCACATCATTAGCAAATTGAAAATTTTAGACTAAAATGTTTCTAATTTCAGCTAGAAATTTGGTTGCACAGAATAAGCACATGAGAAGCTTTGCTTTGCAGAGAATTACTTAATTACTAGGAAGAACATTAGATCATCAATAATAACCTTGGGGTGGGCTTTATGTACCGTCAGCCTAGTCAGTACCTCAGTCAGATGTGTCGAACTGAACTGGCTGCCTAAGCTCTTTGAGGCTCGAAGCATTTGCCTAAGCCCAGTCGAGGGTCAATGTATGGCGGATCCTTTTCTTCTTCAGCTGTTTCATTGCTTTTTCACTTGTTTTTAAAAATTGTATATTATAAGTGCCCAGACTGCGAGCAGCTAACATAGCTCATATCATAGTTGGGTAGCCTTGCGAGTGCTTAAGCTGGTGCTTATGGGAGTCAACGTTCGAGCCAGGATCTTGCACAGATTTGTCTCAACTTCTTGAGCTTTGACGGGTGTCAGTTGCAGTTTTGTCCTAGAAGTCATTTCCACACGATGTCACACCTGAGCTCCAAGAATGCTACATCTGTCAGCTCAGACGCAATAAATTGCAAAGTAACTATTTTCTTTTCGTAGTTGCTCCAAGATATCATAGTACAGATTTCTAATTTACCAGGTCTAAAAAAGATCATACTTGAACGGCTGTATAAACGCTATTCAGTGGGAGCAATCAGGGTGACAGAAACATGGGACTAGAAGGGCGACTGGTTGTCCCCAGATGTGGTAGATTAGCTTCGTCTTGTCTTGATAAATAATAATAATAAATACGTAATAAATAATAATAATAAATAAAAGCAAATGCACGGCCTCTAGCTACAGTGCAAACACTCAGTTGTATACGAAGTAAGATCAAATCGAACAATTTCGGCAATCTAGTCAGTTAAGATTTTGAAAAAGTCGAGCAAGCCTTGTTCGGTGCTCTGGGAGTTCACTTTTATTCTTACGTTTGGGCTTAACACGTTTTTCTAAAAAATTCAAATTATTTTTATTTTAAATTTTCAAAATTATGGAGACCTACGGAATGGCGGCACCTATTAATGATACTGCGATTGATGTGAGTTCGACAATTATTTGCTGAGTTCACTTTTGTCTTAAACGCTTTTTGGCATCTGCTGTGCAGTGCTACCATCAGTATGTCGCGCAGACTGGTTATCGTTGCGAGCTACCTGAGGACGATGACCATCTGAAGGCGTACACTGACTGTCACGAGCCACCCCATTATAATAGGCTACACGATTGGTATCCCCAAAGGTCGAGGAACTATCAAGATGATTGTGCACCCTATAGAGACTCTGGTTATCGCTCCTCCATTAGGAATGATGCGAATAATGGTCGATACAGTTCCCGAAATGGACTATAGTGAGTCGCGCTGCGCCCGTGAGTCGAGTTGCAAATAATTTCCTCCCTCCCCATTGCAGTTCTCCTGCTGAATTACGCAGAGGTGGAGGAGATACGTTCAACTCGTTGCCAGGTGAGTCCAGATCTGCATGCGGACCTCGTATAATTGCCTTCCTCTGCAGGTCTGGGTAATAATGATCGCTCAATGTGGCATCGGCGGTCGCGAGATCGTTTTTTCTAGTTTAAACAACGTATTTATTTGTGGAATTTGGAGGTCACCATCACTCTTTGAGGCGACTGCTGGCTGCATCTGATTTCGCACTACTATTCTAAATCTTTGGATCTTGATGTTAAATGTTCTTATCTTTTTTTTGGCGAATGAATCTATGGTTGAAGCGTGTATGACATGTATACTGCACTGAGGTCTATATATATATATGACTATTTAAAAAGCTCTGCATATTTTCAAACTGATATTAAACAGAAACCGTATGAAGTATAAATTGACTTGTTTCGGTTAAATGTGCAGTGGATCATAGGCGGGAAGCTTGGGCAACTGATCCGATGGAGGTGACAATTGGAATTGTTTCTCATGTATATATGAATGGTGCTCAACTAAGATTCGCACTTAAACATCTTATTTTTCAGGGGCTGTCCAGGCTGCAAACGAATTCAGCTGTTGAATTATTTCAAAATTGCCATCTGTGCAAATCAATGACTTGTATTAAAATAATTTGATAAGTTGACTCTGACTTCAATCGCTGTTTTCATTTAGCAATTCTCTAGAGAATTGCCAAGCTAACTCTGGACATATTTAGCTGATTTGTGTTAGATAGAATCTTCCACTGACAGGAAGGCTGAATTGCCATTTGAGTGGTCTCGTAGGCAAAGATAATGGTGTAGATAAAGCTTAAGGAAATATTTAGTATCAATGAAATGTCTGCAAAGGTTTTTGCTTTATTGGGAATTCTTTTTAGATCACTCTGTAGTACTTCCAATATCAATATATTAATTTAATAATTATTATTATTAGTTGTCAATGTTTATCTGAGTTTTATGGCACCTCAGATAAATGTATTTTCGATTTAAAATATGTTTCAGCAAAGCGTGGGGCGCGCACAAGAGAATTGCTTGGCTTAAATGAGCAACGGACAGCATGGAAAGGCTGTGCGCGTATTGTAAAGATGAGCTGGACGAGCGCCTCAAGACTAACGACAATAGTTAGATATCCTGTTTAAGGATCTGGCCCAAGCCCATGCGCATCCTTCGCTCGCTCGCTCGCTCATATTTAGCTTGTCGCCCCGTATAGAAAGTGGCGGTGTCATAAATTAAAACTTAAACTTTTGGAAATGTCAAGTATAAAACGGTAAATCTCCGCACATATATACACCGAGAAGCACTCCTCCAAACGAACACACACACATACATACGGACGCCCGTCTGTTGGAAATGAATTGCAGCAACAGGATCAGGGTTGGGCTGGGGCTGGTCTGTTGCTCCGGATGGGACGGACGCCCATTGAATGCGCATGTTTTAGTTTTTGGGCGGCTGCCACCAGATACCGAGGGAGGGCAGCTGAAAAACTATACAGGGAACCAAGAAAAAGCACAACAACAAGGCCAGCCAACAGCAGCAGCAGCAGCAGCAGCAGCAGCAGAGGAAAACTCCACCCGTTTCACATAAATTTTGGAAAAGCAAACTTACAGATTATCCGCATTTAGTTGTAAAGGTTCCACAAAATGTGTTGTATATCATTTATGCTGCTGGCTGGCCGGCTGGACTTTTGAAAGATGAAGTTGGTCCAGGGATCGCTGGCTGCTGTCGATGATTTACATTTGATTTACTTTCACTGCCTCCTCGACTTTTTTTGTGCATTTCTAATTTCTGGGCAAAAAAACTTTTGCTCATTTGCAATAAATTCTAATGTGCATATGCCACGCCCCCCTCCACCCACCTGCGTCCAAAGTTTAACTAAATTTTCTAATCATCATAAAATCTTGTTATCATTTTCATAACTCGCCCTAAAAGGAAAAAAACCAAAAAAAAAACAGAAAATTCCCTGACACATTAAGCGGCGTCCCGAAATGAAATTTACTATTGCCAAAGTGAAAACATTTAAGTAAAATTTATGAAAATTAAAATGCTAAACAACTTTTTGGTCATTCGAAAAATTTAATTGATCGCATAAATTCCTTGAGTGAGAACCTCTTGGCAACTCCCACTCTCTCCCAGCGACAACAACAATAACAGCAAAAACAATTTATGTCAATTTGCCATGGCGCAAATTTAGGCTGAGAGAGAGAGAGAGAGAGAGAGGGAGGGAGCTGCAGACGAATGAAGTGTAACCGCGAAACATAATCAAATTTCGTTGGTGTCGAGCTCTAGCATAAGTTTTTGATGCCCCACCCACTGTTATAGCCTGCGCCCTCCCAGCTGGTAGCTGACACCTGACCAGGTCTTTCAGCTTGTATTTTAAGGGGTGTGTGTGGTTTCCGTTGCTTTGGTCGCTGGACGCTAAAAATTGCCATATTAATTTGAAAACAATTTTGTGGCCTGTGCGCTCAGCTTTTTTGCGCCCCCATTTAGACATTCATTTCTCCAGGGAAAGTTTTGTAAAGAACGAAAAATCTTAAAAGTTTGTAACAGAATATTTCTTTTTCCTATAGACAACCGCGAGCTGAAAGCATTCGCAGAAGAACAAGCTGAACAAATTATATGTATGTAAAATTATCTGTTTAAGATTTTATATAAATTCCAGAAGATTATAGATCTATAGAAGTTAATGAAATCTGTGATCTTTTTTATGACTGAAGTGCTGAGCTTCAATCTGAAGGTACTGTACTCTGCTCTATTTCAAACAAGTTTTGATTAAATTAATTTTGTAATATTTATTGCAAAATATTTTTCAAATAATATATATAAAGATTGCTTTATTCTAAATAATATAAAATATAATGTTGCTAAACAAAATAATTTAATATAATTAATAAATAAATAATTAAATTAATAAATAAAATTTTAAAATAAATTAAGAATTTTTTACACTAAAAAAATTTAAAAATATTATTTACTTATTAAATGAACAAAAATTGTTAAATTAAACAAAACTTTATGTTCGCCAAAGTTTTACTTTTTAAAAAGTATTTTTTTAGACTCTGATTTTTATGAACACTTTGTGGGCAAATGAAGTTCCGCCGTAGACAATATTTACGGGAAAATGAATTTACTTGCGGCGAGCCGAGACATTTTTGTTGTCTCACGGAATTAAGTGAAGTTTGCCTTTTTATGAAACGATAAATTTGTGTATTTAAAGATTGTGTGGATCGGCCAGCTGGCTAGGCAGTCAGACTGCCTCTCTGCCTCTCTCTCTGCTTGCGAGGCAGGAAATAGATTAAACTGAGCAACACTTGCGCCATTTGGCTTCCTCTTCCGCAGCCGTTCGTTAAATATTCAGTGTCCCCGCACGGCATACTCCAGTCGAATCCAAATGCGTATCACATACCCCGTGCTTCGTGCGGCTGCCCATTTGCCAACTCTTGACAGCCAACAGCATAAACTTTTTGAATCTTATTTGTTAAAAAAAAGACCAAACAAGTCCCAGTTGCTGTTGTTGTTGTTGTTGTTGGCTTGTTCTTGGCCTGGTCGAGCAGCGCGTAACCATTTCCGTAACCTCATAGGCCGCCACCCGGCGCCAGGCGCCTGGCCTGAACCGTAGCTCGACCTTCTCCGCCTGCATTAAATAACTTTCAATTTGAGCCAAGTATTCGCGACTGGCTTCCTATTAGCCGTGTGCCCACGGCCACTGACAGTGGGCCCATTCTTTTTCGCTTGGGGTCGCCGCGCCTGGGTAATACGATTTGCGCTGCAAAACATCGACAATTTGTGGACTCGGCTTCCGGTGTGTTTATTAGTTCATTTCGGACTTCTTGCAACATGCAAATTACACGCCAGCCACTAGCCATGGCGGCTATTCGCAACTCTCTGCGTCTGCTTTGGCATTAGCCCCAAGCTGGCGCATATAACTAGGAAGCAGATAGTGTGAAGCCAAATATATAGTTGTCTATATCACACGCAACTGATTAAGTTAATAAATAATATTCCTTTGGCTGCAATTACTTAAGTATTTACATTTGGTTGATTTAAATACTTGCAAATAGGCGTTACAATTACTCAAGTAATTAAATTGTGAAATTACAATTTTTAAAGTAATTATGTCTTTTACAAAAGTTTAATTTAGTATTACCGAAGTAATTACTTCCGTTGAATTACAATTACTGATTTTATTAAGTAATAATTACAATTTATTATTCTGACTTAATTACTTAAAATGAAGCTCTTCTGCTATTGCCTCACGTATTTATTTAAGTAATTGAAACTTTCGCTCAAGTAATTAAATACTTATCTGTTAATTACTTAAGTAATTAAGCACACATTGATATCCGATTTAGCTGATTACAAAGTCTTAATGCTTTACAAATAACTTTTTGTTATTAGTGACTTCAAGAAAATTAGTTAATTGCGTATTTAAATTAATTTCATTCGTTGTTTCATATGATTATTCAATTAGCAGCTTCTTTTTCGCGTGCCTGATGCTTTAAGCCTTCGCTTTCTCCATTTAATGCCAGCTGAAAGTTCTCGTAGGATCTTTATTATGTCGCTTAGCTATTGTGGCACCGCAAATCACATAGCTATAATCGAGATTCTTTCCCTGCGTAGCGCAGTGTTGCCCCCTCGGAAACTACTTTATTTGTTTTGGGAATTTTGCGAATGAATGCGCATTTCAAGTTCCTGTACACAGCCAACTGCCGAATGCCGAATGCCAAGCAGCACGAACTGAAGATGAAGTTTATTTTATGGCCAACTGGCAGCTGGGGCTGGAGAGCTGTAGAAGATCGAGTCCTTTGGCTGGCAGCTGCATCAGCGGCCCGGCTTGGCTCGGCTCGCCGGCAGGCAGGCAGGCAGGTAGGCAGGCGTTCCACACGTGTGTGTAATCAAATAATTTCCACCAAAAATCGAGAAATTATTACGAGCGCATTTTTACGAATTCATTTTCACAGTTTTCACAAACAACAACGAAATCGTTGAGCAAGTTTCTTGCGTTGCATGCAAAGTGGCTGCATCGAAGGATGTGTGGATTTTCCGGCATTTTGGCGCTGCGCCCCTTTTGTTTATTTCTTTGAGATGCGGCGGAACAGCGAACAAACGGCCTGCCGCCCACGCCCGCCCCCGACTTTCCACATAGTATTTGATTGTGCAAACTAGTCGACTCCAGTCGACTTTGTTTGCATGCACTCGCAGAGAGTTGCATTCCTATGGAGTGGGAGACATGGCCAAGAAGGACACGTGTGCCTCGGTGGGCTGCTCTCAGCCTCAGCCCCAGCCCCAGCCCCAGCTGGCTGCCTGCTACTCTGCTGGTCGCTCGTATCAATTGTGTGTGATGGTCAAAAGTCATTTCAACAGCACTAAATTATTATTATCTTCAAGAAGTTTCACATGCTCGACAATCATCCGAATAGTCGCCACCCCTTTCCCCTTTTCTACCTTACACACACTTTGGCTCTATCGTCCTGCTCTGCTGCAGTCATAAAGGATGCGTTGGATTTGTGTAATGGCATGGAATGTTTTGATGTTTGCCAAAAGTTTATTAGTTTAAAATACATATAAAGAATATAGAATATTTAGATTAGTTATAATTTTTTAATAGGCGTGACAATATTATACATAAAAATTATATTTCCATTTGTTTCTTAGA